TAGCGGCTGTGTCATCAAAGCTTTCCGATCGAGGTTCAGCGCGAACGTCGCGATGCAGCTTCTATGAGTGAGATAGATGGGTTTTGGTAGGCCTGTCGATCCCGATGAATGAATGATGACAGCTCTCTTGGGGTTCTCGCGTTCTGGGTCGTATGTGCGATGGAACACTGGTGCGTCCACCTTGTAGTAGTCGTGGTGCTCGAGCGTCTCGAGCACAGTGATGCTCCTCTCATTGCGCACTTGCACCAAAGCATCGTGGAAATGGGCAGTTGTGAGTATAGTGTCGCATTCAGCTTGTTCAAGCAATGAACATATTGCTGGACTGGCGAGCCGCGGGGATAGAAGAAGAGCGGCATAGCCTAGCCTGTTCAATCCAAGGAGAGTGATGATGAACTGCAGAGAAGAAGGAGCGAGTATTGCGATGGTTGGTGCCTGAGCAAGTAAAGAATCCTGTTCTCGCTGTCAGATGTGACTTCTTCGCCGGTTCAGCTCCCACCTACCGCTGGCTTCAGCCCTCTCCGTTGTAACGCGTCAACTGCCGCATCAACATAGCTGTCAATCGCCTGTGCTGAATGGTCTTCATAGTCGGTGAGACCTTCTCTCGGAAAGCAAAGCAGGGGAGAATCTCCAAGTTCCGATGCTCGTCGCTTGATCAGCTCGTCGATGGTATGGATTGCGTCATCGCTTCCAGCGAGACGAAGCGCCGGCGTAATCGCGTGCTCCTTTGTTTTTGTCAATAAGCCAGGCATGATGATATGTCTGATTAGCTGGTACTTACAAAAGCAAGCTCTTGTACCATGGTATCTATACTGTCTTGAGCCGCCGTGGTTCCGATGTTCCCGATATTTCCGATCGCACGTGATATCAGAGTGTCGGATAAGAATTCCGCTGGGTTGATGCCAGATTACTCACCCACATCATCACGCGAGGAATTCTTTTCCGCAGGATTCAGCCTTCATGGATAGTTTCAGGTTGTCGGGTAGCGGGGTAAGTCGATCCGCTGCAAGCAGATAAATATCCCACCAACGACTGCTGTCGACTGTGTCGGGACTACTTCGGGCGGCCGGAGTTCTCGACCCCATATCGTCTTTATCTTGTGTGTTGAGTCCGTGTATGCTCGACCAGCGCACGAGCACATTCTTTTGCACACCGGATATGCGAACCCCATGGGGCACGGGGCTTCCCCCGCATCTCGGCATGCAGCGATCCCTGGATCAGCAACAAGTTACGTCGCCAAGGTCGTGGAGTCTGGGGAAGAGAAGGACTACAAAGCTGGCTGTTGTCTGGGGACAACGAGGCATCATCAGCTTCGGAGGTCGCAAAGCTCCATCTATTCACTATGGCGACTCCATCCAATGATATCAAGTCCAAGGTCTCAATCGAGCATATTGATACACTAGACAAACCGCAAAATGTCGTTCCCTTGGATAAATTTGGAGCAGCGACCGAGTATACTCCTGAAGAGAAATCTCTGGTCAGGAAGCTTGACACCCACATGATGGTAAGCCAGTTCTGGAAGCATATGGAAAGCTCGTTGCTAACAACCACAGCCAATGCTTTGGGTCATGTACTTCATGAACTTCCTTGATCGTAATGCCATCGTTAACGGAAAGATCAACGGCATGGACAAGGATCTCAATTTGCAGGGGACAGAATACAACACATGCGTGAGCATCTTCTTCGTCGGGTAAGAAGTTCGTCCGCCACCCTAAGGTCCTTTTTGACCCTTGCATAGTTATCTCGTGGGGCAGGTACCCTCAAATATGCTCTTAACTCGCGTCAAGCCCTCCCACTACATGGCTGGTTGGACGATGGCGTGGGCAATCGTATCGACACTGATGGTTCTTGTGAAAGACTACCACGGCATGTTGGCATGCAGGTATGATTAGCTTGATTACATGTGAAAGTCACGTACTCATATCGACAGACTTGTACTTGGAATGACGGAGGCGCCGTTCTATCCGGGAGCATTGTACATGATCAGTTCTTTCTACACGCGTAAGGAGACCGCAACAAGGATGTCGGTGTTCTATACTGGTAACCTGCTTGCGAGTTCTTTCTCTGGCCTCATCGCAGCTGGAATATTTGCTGGACTGGACGGCAAACATGGTCTAGAGGGATGGAGATGGCTGTTTTTGATACAGGGAGTCTTTACAGGTACGCTTAGACTGATCCCGCTTCATATTACCAACGCTAATTCAGCCTCCAGTTCTCATCGCGGCGATAGCCTTTTTCCTCTTACCCAACGCACCCCTCCAAACCCGCTGGCTCTCTCCAGATCAGCGACAACTAGCACACAGCCGCATCGAGCAAGACACTACCCAAAAGCAAGACAAGGTAAACGTCTGGAAAGGTCTCCGAGAGGCAGCAGTCGACTACCGCACCTGGATCTTTGCACTCATGCAAAACCTCCATTTGTCAGGTAAGTTGTGCCTATACGAAATGCATTTGAGACATACACTGACTTCGTATTCAGCGAATGGCTTCAAGAACTTCCTACCAACAGTCGTAAAGACATTAGGTTTCAATCAGACCATCACCCTCGTACTGACCTGCCCTCCGTATCTCATCTCAGCCTTTGTGTCGGTAGCAGTATCCTGGTCATCTGGTCGGTTCAATGAGCGCACCTGGCACATCACGCTCTCCAAAGCCGTCGCGATTGTGGGCTTCATCGTAGGGACTGCCACCTTGAACATTGGCGCGCGATATTTCGCCATGGTGCTCTTCGTAGGAGCGACCTATGGTGTCAACAACATCGTGCTGGCTTGGACCGCCGCTGTGCTCGGCCAGACGGACGAGAAGAAATCAGTCGCGTTGGCTATCGTCAATACGTTGGGCAACCTCTCCTTCGTTTACACGCCGTATCTGTGGCCGGACACCGACGCACCGCGCTTTGGCAAGGCCATGTACGCGAGCGTGGGCTTCTCGGCGGGTGTGGTGCTGTGTGCGTGGGTGATGAGACTTGTCTTGATGAGAGACAACAAGAAGATCCGTGCATCGGACAACGAGGCTATCAACTTCTATGTTTACTAGAGAAGCGAAGGAGACCACCCAGGAGATCTCTTGTCGTTGGCTTTTGCCTTTCATCGTAACATGGGATGGCAGAGTGAGAGGAAACGGAAGTTGCAAAGCGCCAGGAAGCTCAAGGGAAAGCAAAAAGGAGTGATAGCCTATAGTGTAGCACAAATTGCTGATGTGGCGCACCAGTACGAGAGTTTGTTATCGCGTTGATGGTGCATGTTGACAGCCCTTCCTCTCGAAGTCTGGTGTATGCCATCGCTGGAGCGTTGGGGGTTACTTTTGCATTTTGCGCACCAGCCTTCTGTCAGATATCCATACCCTTACCAGTCATTCGCGCCAGTTGCTCTGTAGACCTTGCTATGGAAATCGTAACAGGGCGTTGCACTTATATAAGGAAAGCTGTGCTCGAAGCAGACTTTGGTCGGAGTCGTGAGCCGGTGAACAGATTACGGTTCGATGTTCTCGCCCCCCTGGCAACCCCTGCGCACCACTCAGATGCGCCAGCAGCAGCTATGTTCGCCGTACAGCGTCTGCATGTCAGAGATTTGCTTGAATATTTTCTCGATATTTCTTCCTCAATCGACTGGCAAGCCAGTCGCATCAATGAAAAAAAAAGTAGCCTGTCAGATTGCCGTCAACGTCCTGCCTTCCAGCGCAACACGAAGTCGCAAACCAGTCAGCTGAAGATCATCGCCACGCGCGCCGAAGCACCCGTATAAAGCCTCACTCCGGGACATCGAGGCTGATAGTCATCAACCAGGATGGAGATTCTGTGGCTACTTAGAGTAACTCAGAAGAGGATGCATACTATTAGAAATGATTCTATGAAGTATGATCGACATAATGAACAGAAAGGAGGACGAGGGACGATGGGTTTATATACCCAACCAGAGGCTGTGCACGGGGCAGGTATGCACGGATGTGCGAACGAGTGAAAGTTTTTCGGGGGCTGGAAAGATCCACTGCATTGCCGATACTCGCCGTGGCGGCCAATCGTGGTGGCTGGGAGAAAGAATTTGTTCGTGACTGTTCGGTTTATGACCATAGCTTTTCGCTGTTCGCAGACATGATACGTTATTCTAGCAATGCATCCACTCTGCCTGGTTTTTGCGTTGATATCGCGAAATTTGGTCCAGTGTGAGGACGTCAGTAAGTTCAAAACTTGGCCGCCGTGAGCCGCATCGGCCTGCCTCTAGCCTATCGCAGCCTCCCAACACGTTGCCGACAGAATTGCAGCATCCGCTCAACATTTCCAGTTCGCCGTGTATTCAATGGTCGCCGGCAACGTTCGAATGCCCCTGATCGGAAGTATGCTTTGGACCTCTCGAGAGATCTTGAAGTCCAATTGTTGAATTGACATTGCAAATGCTCCGCCGGCCTGGCTTCGGGAGTGACCATCGATTGAACCAAGATTTAGACTCCAGATCTTCTTACAACCCATCGCAGCCTGCGCAAAGGTCGCTAGAGAGATACTGCCTTGGCTGTCAGACCACGCAGCGATGAGGACTTTGGCGTATCCTTCATGACTTGGAATACGCAGACCGAAATACGCATGCTAACCGACTGTTCACCCGAAACTTGCCCGTATTGGGCCGTATAGTCCAATGAATGTACGAACGGGTAACATATTATGCGGGGCATCATACTTTGCGGGGTAACGTCCTGTACAGAACATGTCCTAACCTTCTAACAACGTTAAGCTTAACATTTAAATTCCCCGGTGATGCATACCGAAGCATGTTCGGATCGGTCACATATGTACCGAGCTCACTACCTAGCCAGTACCGGAGTCAAATCGACAGCCTTTCCCCACATTCCGCTACCTGGCCATGCATCCTAGGCTCGAATATGGAGTGGCAGTTGTCGTAGTGTTTAATGCATAGCAGTTACTGATGACCGCCGGCTATAATCATGGCTGTCCAGTTGGATCGTACAATAAAGGGCTTAAGATCGCCTCAAATGGTATCTAGGTAGCAGCCATGATCATCCTCCAGCGTCTTGTATTTATCCCAGTCTTCATCAACCCATTAGCCACTGCGTAAGCTACCGTAGACACCTTTCAAAGACGAGTTACTCACCATGACAGCTTTGTCAACTATGGCTCTATTGTACCCAAATCAATCCTACAGCAATCCGCGCCCTCTTCATCTGGCTTGAGGCCATGGGCAAATACGAGCCTAACACTATCGCCATCAAGCCCACTCGTTACACTCGATTACGGTACCGAAGTAGCCGGGTTTCCCTTCTTCAACGTTTCTACAATTTCCGGAACAGTACAGATCGAAGTAAAGTACAGCGAAGAATATCGTGGAATTGAAGAACCATTCTCAGATGGACCTTGGACATTCTCGAACGGACTGTCGAACACTTTCCGTGTCGAAACTTTCAATGTCACGGAGACAGGATACATTGAGAGCTTTTTCGTCCAGGGAGGACAGCGATGGCAGACCGCACGGTTAATCACGAACGGCTCTGTCACTATCGATCATCTAGGATTTCGCGCAACGAGCTCAAACCTAGATGTCGATATGCTGCCAGGGCACTTGAAGACATCGGATGATACTTATAACCGCGTCTTCGACCTCGGAGGTCGTGTCGCACAAGTGGCATGCGTAGATGCCGGTAACGCACCGTCTACATGGGAAATCACGAAAGACGGAGCTCTCGTTCGAGGCCAAACAAGCGCACAGTCATCGCTGGGTGTTGAAGCAGTCAATTACACACTCGAATTCGATGTGAAGATCGCTCGCGGCGGCGCCGGCTGGCGAATAGCAAGTGCGCTGCAGCCGCTTGGGCCGTACTTTGTGCTTACATCCGAATATCCTCAGCAGAACACTTTTGCAAACACGAACCGGACCCTCCTGCCGCCAAACACCTTGGCGTTCAACACTGAGTGGAGCTTGGTAAACCAGAGCACGTTACCTGTGCCGGAAAACCAGTACTTCGTTATCAACACAACTATCAAGGAAAATACGTGGTATCGCGTAAGCACATCAATTGAGAAAGCGGGTTACCGGATAGGCTTGAACGGAACCGAGATCGCCTTCGTACCCTTACCACCACCGGCAGCCCCTGGAAACTTCGGCACTCCTTCGCGATACGAAGGCACATGGGGTTTCGGAGGTATGCAGGATCAGATCACGTACTACAAAGATGTGATTGTCACCGCCAGAAACGGTACAATCATTTACTCTAATCATCTTACCAGCGAAGATTGCTTGGCCGAGTATCAGGTTGCGCCTCTCGACCATTCGGTCTGCCTTGACGGTGCCAAGCGGGATCGCCTAGTCTGGACAGGAGACTTCTATCACACTGTGCGTGTCGTCTCAACTTCGTCTGCTCGATTTGACTACCTCTTGGGCACCATCGAATACGCGCTAAACTACCAGCTGGATGAAGGCCCGTATGCTGGCTTTACCCCAATCTCCGCCAACCTCGGATCCCGACCCCAGTACAAAGAGGCAAATATTGGAAACTACGCTGGGCTAGTAGACTACCAAGACTTATTCTTGGCGGGAATAGGCCATTACTACCGTTACACGGGAGACTTGGATGGCCTGAAGCCTTACTGGAGTCAGATCAAAAGACTTGCCACCGCGAGATTGGCTTTCATCGATCCCACATCTGGTCTTATCGGAGGTTCCCCAGAGATACCATCGCCCTTCAGCTTTCTTGGACCAGCCAACGGGACTGCAACGACTGGTCTCTTCGCTTATATGCTCAACGAGATTGCGCCACTTGCTCTTGCGATCGGAGACGAAGAAGCTTCAACATCTTACTCACAAACGGCAAGCAAACTGCGCGAGACCCTTAATCGTGAGCTATGGAACGACCAGCTTGGAACATACTCACTATCTACCACCGATCGGGGAAACTTTTCCTTGACTGGCATTGCCTGGGCAATTCTATCCGGGACGGCGAATGTGACGCAAGCAGCGTCCTCTATTGCCAAGCTTGAGGAGCTTCGCTTCGCGGTAGGTTACAAGACCATCTCAAGTGACTTGGAGACGGATGACTATCAGCTTGCCCCCAATCCATCAGGCTTCTTATTCGAAGCTCTCTTCAAGGCACGTCGTGATCTTGGAGTGGACAGTACGTCTGCTATCACGCATCTACTCGACAACCTGTGGGGCAGTATGGTGGAGAACAACGAATACTACTCCGGAGCGAGCTGGGAATATGTAAAGCCCGACGGTTCGCCTGGTATCGATCTTTTCACTAGCTTAGCACACCCATGGGGTGCAGCTCCAACCTACGTACTGCCGGAATACCTTCTTGGTGTTGTACCGAGTTCTCCGGGGTACGAAATGGTTGTCATCACTCCTATGGTTGGGTTCCTGAACCAATCTGAAGTTAGCGGGAGGGTACCAACACCCAATGGACCGATCAAGGTGGCATGGACGGTAAATGGTACGAACGTCGTTATAAATGTCGCTATACCCAGCGGTACGACAGCTACGTTGCAACTACCAGCTGGAGCAGCTGTTGTCGGCGAAGATTTGCACGACGGACAACTCGAGCTTTCGTGTGGAGTGAGGGAACTGATCATGGAAATTTAGGTATGAGGAGAGTAACTCGAGAACGTTAAAAGTCAAGCATGTCACAGCGTTCATGATATGGAGGAGGAACCTGAACTCGTCTGAAACCCTACCAAATCTGTATCTAGAGGAAGTAAAGTAGTCCCGTGTACAATGACAGTGTTGTGGACTATTTCTGACCAGCCTCTGCTGATCCCTCGTCTACTACAAGCTTCGGCCCCACACTCCTCTTCACGAACACTCCGCACCTCTTGTGTACATGCACACTTACTTCTCGACCCCGCTTCCTGAAACCCTTGATGAGCCACTTGCCGAACTCGTACAAGCAGGTCATGGTTTGCCCCTCGCCTTCCCTTGGATAGACTCCCTCGAGATACACGTTATTCACGCTGTTGTGTTCAAGCATCGGCTCGAAATGGAAGAAGTCCAGGAAGTCTTCCAAATCTCGCGGTTGTGGGGCCCACGGAGCTTTCATAAGCTGGCGGCAATTGAACACCATGGCTATAGTGTCCAGGTTTGTGCACTTTAGCATGAGTGTAACGTCGGGATTCTTTTCGTCGACGACACGCCCGATTCGATGTTCGTTATACTTGGACTCGTGTGGGAAACAGATACACTTGATAGCTGCAAAAGCTTCGGTGGTAGCCACGCCATTGACCATGATAGTGGGAAAAGTGGAGAGGAAGTCTGTGAACCAACGGACGATCTTAAAAGGCTTGTGTTCGTGGTGTGCGGAAAGGTATCAACTCAGCCGAGAGCTGGTAAATATACAACCATGGGCTAGTCTAGTATTTAGGCAGACACCAGAGCATTGAACCGTAGTCTGAGTCCGAAAGATGCTAAAATCACTCCAGCAGCGTGTGACCTGTTTCGCTGCGAGCATTTGTGCTTTGCGCATGAGCTGTGTGTACGTCAGCCAAGCTAGCTCGCTACCACTGACTACGCGTGGAACTGATTGTACCATTTTCTCTTTCTCCTATTGCCTGGCCACCCAGTCGATGGAACATCTGATAAGAGAAGCCTTGCGCTTGACTTTAAGAATCTCTATTCTGGTGCTACAGGATTGTTGAGCACCGTGACTTGCAATGTGTAGAAAAGACAAAGGTATATAGTCCTTCTATCAATCTTATGATTCGAAGACTGCTGATCGTCATACCCTGAGATGGATACAGCTTCACTAGTATTAAATTGCGATGCTAATTGCGAGTTTGTAGCCTCGTTTTCCTGGTCGGCTGAGTGATCGCGAAGCGAAACTGATGATTGCAGATTGTGAGCGAATTACGTAACATACGTCATACTATTCACTATGTTGTGATCGCGCAGACGAAATATCCAAACCCCTCTCCGGGTTACCTTTGGAGGTGTGGCGTTGTGGAAATGCTTGTTACCTTTGGAGGTGATGATGTCCGAGACGAACCTTTGGAGGCAGGCGCAGGCGAAGCGCTGCACGCTAAACCCCCGAGGTCGCACCTGGCCAATCACGAGGAACATCCTACCGGAGACCACCAAGACCTGATAGCTATATATAAGATCTCTGCTTCGTTCATTCGCGCGTCAAAGAGTACATAAAACAGTTTCTGCTGTTTTGAATACGTTTGCGCTCCGAAGCCTTGCAAAGCGAAATTATGGCGTCCACACCCCATCCGCTTGACCCGCTTACGCCGGAAGAGATAACGAAGGTTGATCATCGATACACATCCTCCCTGATCTTGTGCTAACGTTGACAAAGGTGGGAAATGCAGCTCAATCATCGTTCGAAGGTCAGGCTTTGAACTTTAGGGTCATCACTTTGAGAGAACCCCCGAAAGACGAGCTCGTCACATACCTCGAAGCAGAGCATCGACGTGATCAAGCACTACCGAAGATCAGTCGTTGCGCTCGCGTGGAGATCCTCGTCAGAAGCAAGAATGGCGCAAATGACCTATTCGAACTCATCGTTGCCATCGACAGTAATAATGTCATTGCGAAACAGCATCTTGAAGGCAAGCACTCGTACATTGACGCAGCGTATATGAAAGAGGTTGAAGAGGCGTGCTTGCGCGACCCGAAACTCCAGGCAGAAGTTGAAACGCTCAATCTACCAGAAGGAGCATCTGTGATTGTCGAACCATGGGCTTATGCTACTGACGGTTCAAATGATATGTCTCGTCGTATCTCAATGGTATTGCCTTGAACTTCCGATGTCAGATCTCCGAAATGCTGAGTCAAATTGCAGTGCTGGTTCTATCTTCGCCTCACAGCCCACACCGACGCAAACTACTACGCCTATCCACTCGACGTCTGCGCCGAAGTCTCTGAAGACCTAGAAGTTACCAAAATCTACCGTCTACCTACTTCAGGCAATGAACAAATTCACAACGACATACGCTCTTTCGACCGACGAAAGATTCACGCCACAGATGCGAGCGAGTATCATCCCGATCTGCGATCCAGTCCTCGTATGACTACAAAGCCGTACCAAGTTGTCCAGCCAGAAGGCCCATCATTCCAGATCGATGGTCATAGTGTTAGCTGGGAGAAGTGGATGTTTAGAGTGGGTTTCAACTATCGTGAAGGTCTGACTTTGCACGACATCCGATACGACGGGCGAAGCCTATTTTACCGCCTATCTTTGGCAGAGATGTTCGTACCCTACGGTGATCCACGAGCTCCGTTTCCGAGGAAAGGAGCATTTGACTTGGGAAACGATGGCGCAGGTATCAATGCGAACAATCTGCGACTGGGCTGTGATTGCCTTGGTACGTCTTGTTACATCATCGAGAGCTTCGGCAGTACTGACAACAAAGCAGGCACTATCAAGTACTTTGATGGTTGGCACAATACGTCCTCCGGCCTCCCACTCAAACTGCCGAATGTAGTCTGCCTGCATGAACAAGACGACGGGATACTTTGGAAGCATACAAATTTTCGCACAGGGCATGCCGTGGTGACACGCTCGCGCATTCTTGTATTGCAAACGATCATCACCGTAAGCAACTACGAATACATCTTCGCCTTCCATTTCGGTCAAGATGCGTCGATCAACTACGAGGTTCGGGCAACCGGTATCCTCTCTACCGCACCCATCGCTCTCGGTGAGCCCAAACCGCCCTTTGGTACCATCGTAGCACCCGGCGTGCTTGCACCATACCATCAACACCTTTTCTGCCTGCGAATCGACCCTGCTATTGACGGTCAAAAGAATTCAGTCGTAATCGAAGAGTCGCACACGATGCCTATGGATGATCCAGATGTACAAAACCCTTTCGGCGTCGGGTATGAGACTCGCACCAGTTACATCGAGCGCGAAGGTGGATTCGATCTCGATCTGACCATGAATCGCGTGTTCAAGATCGTCAACGAAGCAGAGACCAACGCCATGACACAGACGCCGGTAGGCTTCAAGCTGCTTCCCTCGTATAGCCAGATGCTTCTTGCGCATCCCGCATCCTTTCACGCTCGGCGATCAGAGTACGGCAAGCATGCAGTATGGGTAACAAAGTACCGCGAAGATGAGATGTTTCCTTCAGGCAAATATACAATGCAGTCGATGGGTGGTGACGGCATTGCGAGTGCGATTGAAAAGAGAGCTGGAGACAAGAAGCAGGCGAGTGTTAGGAACGAGGATGTCGTGGTCTGGCATACTTTCGGGTCAACACATAATCCTAGGATCGAGGACTGGCCAGTCATGCCATGTGAGAAGATGGTGGTTGGGCTGAAGCCGGTCAACTTCTTTGACAAGAACCCTGGACTGGATGTTAAGCCAAGCACTCAAGAGGTGAACAAGAGTGTGCTATACGATGGCGATGCGGCGAATACGCAAGATTTTTGTACGAAATCTGCTATGTAGCCAAGGGATACCAGCACTACTTTGGAGTGCTGTTGGTCTGATGCGGCTCTTGTCCGAGCAGCCTAGAAGTTACCCAACTTAACGCCTACGCTAAATGCAAGCGCACAGTCTATAAGCGCACTTTTCTGATAGCATATCGATAATCCTATCCTCAGTTGGGATTTCAATGCATTGAACTCTGCGTATTCCACAACCCAACATCTACGCTCGATTCCGATAATTGTAGAAGATTTCCCATAGCTGAAGGTATACATGCTACCATTTGGATGTAATGAATCTTTGAAAATTGCGCATGACATACCAATGGCTACCAAAGACTCGCGGCATCCCTTTCCCACTCCACCTCATCCTCATCCTTCCAATACTCAGTACCACTCTTCTTGAACCCCATCTTCTCCAACACTCTTCCGCTTCTCGCATTTTCTTTTTCTGTCTCAGCAATGAATCTTTTCACACCTCTTTCAGTGGTTGCCCATTGCATGACTGCTTCCGCGGCTTCGCGAGCTACGCCTTGGCCCCAACAGGATGGTGCAACGCCGTAACGCAGTTCAACCATCTCTTCCCATGGCGGTAGCGGAGCATCCGAGGCATTGCGTGGAGGAAGAGAGGTTGTAGTAGCGTCACGGACGCCCGCGTAACCCAGCCACTCAATGTCGTCAAGCGTCTGATAAACACCGTCCATGTCACTTCCATCGATGACCACTACTGTATTGGTCGCCTCCGCCAGTTTTCGGCCTGTTGTATCCTCAATTTGTAACTTTGATCGTCGGCCTACTGCAAAATCGCCAATCGCTCTCTTGTCCCAGGATCGCGCAATGTCTCGCGTGGCAATCACTTCTTGCATCTGTTCTTGGGTTCGCTTCTGAACAGGGAAAGCACTACCGAACCCCATGCTGCAGAAAGCGGCATTAGCATGGAGGTCAGCGTACAGACTAACATAAGATGGAATTGAGATGGCTAATGGCGTCGGCATAATAATGAGACGAGATGTGAGAAGGGTGAATCGCCGAGAAGGTCTTAGGGTGTCTTGGGTGCTCATGCTGAAGTCTTAGGGGATCCGAATTCTAAGTATCAGGTTTGCGCAAGTATCAATACACTCAAGAGGATCATGAACACGATGATTTGAAAGGTCTTCGGTGGAGTGAGACCACCGCTAAGCACAACAAAGCCTAGCGCTGATATGACTCAGAATGATTGGTTGAAGTGAACGATACCTTGGTGACTTAGGCTGCCTTCTTTACCTTCATCGGATCGATGTTGAATGGTGAGAACTCTTTGCCTCTCATGGTATCCCAGCTTTGATACAACGCTTCACACCTCCGCCACGTATTTTCCACCAGTTTCTCATGCTGTCGTACGGTCCTCTCTACCCAGCCATCCCTCTCATCCGCCACCATCACGATTTCGTCTCCATCACCAGTGTACTTGTACTCTTTCCATGGTGTACTTCCGTTTGCAAAACTGATCCAATTTTGCGCATGTTGCGTGGAGATATCCTTCAGTCTTTGGGTGGGGTAGCGGAATTGGTACGTCTTGAACATGAAGTAGACATCGACCCAATGATGCGCTTGTTGCCAAAAGGGACTAATCGGAAAGGGATTACGGACGTCGAAAACGTAACGGTAAACTTTCTTGTTCGTATGCTGGGTAAGGTACTGTGCTAGTTGGTGAGTAGGCGCTACGAGATTTAGTGACGCATGCTCCATGTTACCGATCTATAACTCACCATCGAAAACAACATCGCCCATCCAGCGTGCACCCGCTGTTAGGAACAAGTTCTGGTCGGTATTTGGAGCGACACCATAAACTTTACCGACTAGCTCCGCGCTTTGCTCGCCTAACTGAGTTGCAATGCCACTGAGGAATGCGTCCGGGCTGACGGGAACTATTTGCTGCATGAGGGTGATGCCCTGGATGACAAGTAAGCCTCTGATGGCGAGTGCGTCTGGATGCATCATTCCCTTACCTCAGAACCTGTAGTTCCCAGAATAATTTCATTGACCCAGTCGCACTTGCTGAGCAACTCAGGAATGCGATCCCAGGTTACCGATCCAGCAGCATCGCCAAACCATTCTGGATCTTGGGCGATCAGCCACATGCCGCCATCCGCGCGATACTCAGAAGTTGCGTCAATGATCTTTTGCACATCCACCTTGCGTAGTAGATCAAGACTGACCTCTCCGTCTTCTTCAATTCCCATTCTTTCCAAGAAGTCCTTGTAAACCTTGCTTGCGTTCTCCAGCGACAACGGCGCTGTTGTTGGTCCAAGAACACCAGAACACAGGATGGCTCTCTGGAAGAGTGGACCAGACGATGGAGGCGCAGACAGCATGTGGCTACATATTGACATGGAGCCAGCAGACTCTCCAAACACGGTAACTCTCTTGCTGTCTCCTCCAAATCCTGCAACAAACTTCTGGATCCAAAGAAGCGCGTTTCGCTGGTCATTCAAAGCGAGATTCGCGTTGCCAGATTCCGGAGTGTGCAGATAACCGAGCGCTCCCACCCGGTACTGTATGCTTGCTGAGATAACAGGCTGATCATCAAGAATCGATTGCTCAACCATCAGGGCTGTGCTGTGCTGCTCATCGATCTTTCCGAGCACGAAGCCACCGCCATGTATGTACACTAGCACGGGAAGCTTGGACGAAGGCGGCTGATCTTTGAGGCACGAGAGCGGTACGTTAAGCTGGAGGATAGCACATTGAAATTCGTCGGATGCGGCTGGAAAGCTTTCGCCCGGGAAATTTCCACCTCCCACTACGTTTTCACTGAATACTTGCGGACATACGTAACTGTGATTGTCAGAGTTGACCAACGACGATCGGTTATGAAGCCAACCTGGATATGAAGATAGGCTATTACCCATGTTTTGTGAAGTCATCTTTGCCCGCAAGCGTTTCAGCGAGAACAGACTGCTTGAATCGAGCCGGTATAGTAGCATATGGCACTGCGCGGAATTGGACCACGTTGCTTGGTGTAATGACACCAGTCATGGGACCTAGGTCGGCATGATGGAATGTAAATGTGCTTGGGTCCTTAGATTCGGTGGCCATCTCGTTATGTTGGCTTCAAACTCCAGAGGTAGTAAGGATATATAAGTTGCAGGTGATGACCATGAGCATCGTGGGGAAGAACGTTCACTATGCCTGGACAACGTTGTATAAGTACCGGGAGTGGAGTTCAGGCCCGGCGGACCGGTCAGACGCGCAGCAACGGATGCCTGCTGCCCTTGAGCCCTTTCATACTTCCTCAAGCGGCAAACTACATAGCGTAATCGAAACTGATGCCTACACACAGCCGATATGGTGGTAGCAAGCAAACCGTAAGACCAACCAGAGCACCACCAGGGAACGTGCACCTAAGTAAGCTCCAGCCCTTCGGAGCTAGAATGGTTGCCGAGCGACACATTGGGTGGAGTAGCGGGGTTGACCATCGGGGCACTTTCTTATGCGACACCGATGACGACCGGTCGTAAGACGTTACCAAAGAGCGATCAAATGATGGCCAAGTGAATATGTGCGATGAACGCGTCTCACCTCGTTAGGCATGGCATGAAAAGGGCTGATGTCTCTTGATGAAGTTCCGCCATTCATAACGCACCGATGGCGCAGTAGAGAGGAGCAGCAGAAGCAAGGACGGTCTGTGCGTAAGCGCTATCCCACATCCGAACTAGATCTTGTTCTTTCGAAAAATCGCGTCGCGATACTGCGCATCGCGTTTTCAACACTCTATTCATCGTCACAAACAATGACATGCATTTCACAACGAACACATTAGTGATCGCATTGGTATATTAATTCGCCACTTTTCTAATGTGTCTCATGTTTGACAAAGGGAAGGGTATCGTTCTATGCAGTCGAAATGTGAGCAAAAGATCCTCCGGAACGCCCAATGGAGTAAGTGTCTACTTCGCGCTTCGCTACCCATACGCGCCCTATTACGGAGAAGCCGGTGATATGTACACGGAAGCAGGCACCTTTTTGCTACCGTCTTCCTTCGCAGCAGCGAGAAGAGCCTCGGCCTCATCAGCGAGATAAGCTGGATTATTCTCGAAGCGAGGATCAAGCCAAACGGCATTAGGGTCATTATCCTTGATCATCTTCTTGATGGTCTTTGGTTTCTTGTGGCCTCCAGCGTAGAAGATAACAGCACGGATAGCACCGAAGATCGATACAAGACTGTAAAGTTGTTTGTACAAAGGGTAGGTCATGGCAGCCCAGAACCGAGGCTGGAGATCAGGCCGGTTCCGCGCGTTGAAGTATTTGAAGGCCAGAATAGGTAGAGTGGCAGCGAGCATGAGCGGTATTCCAAGTCGCCAGAAGTTTGGATCGCCACCCATTGTAACGAAGACAGGAATGCGCACCCAGTCCACGATGATGGTAGCAATGGAGTATAGATGAATGAACTTCTGGGTGAAGATACCCCAAGGCGTTGTCTGTCCGTTGAGCGAAAGCAGCATGCGGTCTGCGAAAGCGATGAGACGACCATGACGACCCATTTCCCATGAACGGTATCGTTGATTCCACCAATTAAGACCTGGGCCAAGGACGGTGGTAGGAACTTCGGTCTCGAGCACGCATGTTGCGTCAAAGGCGATGCGCTTCTTCATCTTTTGCATGGAAAGACCTGTGTTAACGTCTTCTGCGATGAAGTCGATGGAGTGGTAGTTGCTGATGAGATCGATGAGTGTATCTCTTTCGCAGAACCAGCCTGCACCATGCGGGTACAACACGCCACAGATGGACGACTCAGCAAGCTTGGTGAGACCGCTCATTTTGTACTCGCAGTCTTGCCATGCCACGAGGCAGAGTGGCACGTCACCGTTGGCATCAACAGCTTTGAGAGGGAAGGCACACCCCTTCGTTATGTCATCCATCTTGTCGATTGGTGGACGGAAGGTCGCTGGGATAGAGACGTCGTCGTCGACTGTCATGATCCAGTCGTAGTCTTTAGCCGCTATAGCACCAACGAGTTGTGCGGCATTCTTGCTACCAATCGGCGACCAGATGTAGTTGATGTCGGCATGCTCGCTTCGAATGAAGTTACGGAACTCGGGAGAGACCGGGTGCCTAGTGCGGCCATTGTCGACGACGAAGATGTCTTGAGGTCGGAAGTGAACGAAGGCGCTCTTGAGTACCTTACTGGTAGCTTCGTGGTCACTATTGTGACATGGGATGACGAGTGCAGTGCGATGTTCTGGTGTAGCTTCGACAGTGCAGATGGCCTTCTCCACATCTAGCTCGACATCCGGAGCAGCTTTTTCGACAGGCGGACCGACGGGAGGGTGAAGAGGTGGTACACGAGCAACCAGTAGGATGACAGTAATCATGATTGGTTCGAGACCGATAACTATGATGAGAACTGGTAGCATGTTGCTGCGCGTTATCTCCATGGACTTCTTGATCCAGCCGAAGTAGTGATCCGATATCGCGACTCCGACAGCAAGCGCAGCCACGATGAAGAGGATGATGTACTTCTTCCAAGTGAACGGCCAAAACACCTCACGGATATCGACCATCTGCCATATCGTCTTTGGGTGAACGTGACTGAAGATCTTGCGCTTCATGGCCGAGAAGCCGCGAAAAACGAGGTTTCGTCGATCTCGTTTCGGCACGCCTTGGCGGAGAGGAAGCGACTCGTTGCTGGACTGAGGAAGACTCGTTGTGGAAGAAGAGGGCGTACCATATGGATAGGGTGGAGGTTGATCGTCCCAGCTGTTGACCGATCTAGATGAGCCATACGAAAGGAAAGCAGGCCGAGGATGTGGTAGGTCATTGTGATCAGAAATGGTGATTCCTGGCGAACGCAGTGCAGGATGTACCGCGGTGTCTGCCGCAGAAGAGCTCGGTAGAGACGGAGAATTAATGGGCAATATCTCGTCCACGTCGACAAACGGATTGACAGGAGTCATGCCCATGGTCAAGGAGGGGAGTGATGTGAAGGCTTGACCGAACGGTAGTTGGACGAGGGGTAATGACTAACAAAGAACTCTGAGGGTCAACTTGAACCACCTATACACAAGAAGTTACAGCATGGCTTCTCGAGCTGTTTTGAAGGTCCTATACATCCCCACCACAGACCTAGAACGAGATGTCAGAATATCGATTCTGCACTTGCCATCCCAAAAACTCAACAACATCGCCGCTGCAAGTTCAGCTCTGCGCCACAGTATCGTTCTGGAACACCGCAGCTAAGGATACTATTTTGGTGCTATACTCAAATCCTACACTTTGCTGTTTAGTTACTGCGCCCAGCACCAGGGTTGTAGTGCGTGAACATTGCTAGCTCATCGCACATACCACTGCGGCTCACCACGAACATCCCGATCAAGGTGGTCTAGCGACGTGGGCTGTGAAAAAGAACAGTGTAGATTGGACTCGATCTGTATGTCGTGTAAGCAATGGACCTATTTGGAAGTGCCAAAACTAAAAGTGAGAAATTTGGTTACCTAGAGGTTAGTGCACGAAGTACCTGTGGCTAAAGTGACGCGCCGCCTCATCGGGACGACCGAACCAAAGTTTGAAAAATTCACCGCATCGCTTAAATCCCGGCATTAATCATTTCCACAGCGCATTACCGGGTACCAGCCGTGCAAAGGACTGACCAGGAAGTATCTCCGGACGTTGACGTTGCGTAACATCAACCTCTACGTTCTCAACACAATTCTACGTATGGTACAACCTCGCCACAAAAGCGATGTTGCAGTGGAATGAGATTGACAAGTCAATTTACACAGAAGTCGTGTCTTGTAGCCTGAAAGCTTCGTGGACATGCTGCGTACTACTCCAGCCCTCGTAATTAACAACATGAAATCCTACGGCTTGTACCAACAACAGTGAACCCAACATTCGCGATTTACCCATGATCGATCGATTCCGATCTCAGAGACATCCTGGCAGTATCGAGTATCAGATCAGCCCGGCGACCCTACAGCACCCTTACATGGAGTGATGTGACAAATGCCTGCTCATCCCTGTTGCCGAAGTTCCAGAGCTGGGGTTGTACCAAGCACGTATAGTTACTGGCAAACGTGCAAACGCCATGTCGTGGCCAGGCGGGATGAAAAAGTACCTGTGGCTGACACGTTTCTAGACCACTGTGGTAGACTGGCTGGTACACACAATCCACATGTGGGATTGGCTGTCAGGCAAAACCAGGATAAACAGTCAGATATTGGAAACGCATGTTGTCAGCTTAGAGAAAAGAGCGTTCCCACTATCGAATCGAAGAGGCTTTTTACGGAGAAGCTGCTGTTGAGCTGAGGCTGACAGACGAAGAAACTTGTGGAGTCTAGATCTGGAAGCACAGTTCAGTGAGCTGTATAGGCGATGGCGAGGTCGGGAGTGTTGTGGAAGTGAAGAGAAAGCAACATACATAAAGTGGGTAAGAGACTGCAGTTGAAGAGAACACCTCCATCGCTATCGATCATCATGTCTTACTTCGAAGCTCATCCGTATTCATCTTCTAATGATGCATCTCCTTCTTCACCTGTATCAACTATCCTCTCTGGATACAGCACCCCTGCTTCTGAGATCGACGAGCCTACATCCTTCATTTCGGATGGACCCAATGCTCGCCGATCCCAGTACGTTCTTGTCGTTGGCGGTCTAGGATACATTGGCAGTCATACGTCATTGGAACTCCTCAGAGCCGGGTTCAATGTTGTCATTGTTGACAATTTGGACAATTCGTACCTGTCAACACTGGACCGCATCAAGGAGCTGCGAGATGATCACTACCGAAACTCTTCATGGAATCCATCTCTTACGTTCCACGAAGCCGACTATCGAAACGAGCACGCCATGTCTGTCATTCTCAAACGGTATAGCGCTGGACTGTCGGGATCCGTCATCGAGGGCGTCATCCACTTCGCTGCTCACAAGGCTGTTTCCGAAAGTATCCAGCAGCCACTGCGGTACTATTCCAACAACGTCGCAGGCATGGTCACCTTCTGCACGTTATTGGACAGCCTGAACATCAAGAACCTTATCTTTTCTTCTTCCGCCGCCGTTTATGGTGAAGTGACATCCGAGGTTGGGCTGCGGATAAGCGAGAATCATTGCCTTCACGAAACCCGGGATTGGCTTGATGCTGCAGGAAAGAAGCAAGTCACGCAAGGCGGCTGCACGGCGATCTCAAATCCCGACGGTCGTTCTAAATGGATGTGCGAGGCTATTTTGAATGACTTAGCGGTCTCAGACCCAGAGTGGTCCATTGTGGCTTTGCGCTACTTCAACCCCATAGGCTGCGATGCTTCTGGCAAGCTAGGAGAATACCCTAGGACAGAACCCAGCAATCTCATGCCTAGCCTGCTTCGAGTCATGAACGGACAGATGCCGCATCTCAAGATCTTCGGCACGGACTGGGATACCAGGGATGGTACGGCAATGCGCGACTTTATCCATGTCAGCGATCTGGCGTTGGGCCATGTTGCTGCTCTCAAAGCGGTTGGTGAGTCGCGGCTGGAACCAGGATTCCACACGTACAACCTAGGCACCGGCGATGGTAGCTCGGTCAAGGAAATTGTGACAGCAATGCAAACCTGTTCAGGAAAGGTCATAGAAACGCAGGAGGTTGGACGTCGTGCGGGTGACGTAGGCGTTGTTGTGGCTGACCCCACGAGGGCAGCTATAGAGCTCGAGTGGAAGACGGCAAAGTCGATCGAAAACTGCTGCCAGGATCTGTGCCGCTTTCTTCAGATTGATGCGTCTGCGGCATGTAGTTGACACTTTTACAAGTTCCTTTTGCGAGCGGGAGTCGAGACCGATGAGCGGGTTTTGTTTTCGGGTACGGTACCTTCTAGCGCTAGGACGGGCGGAGCCGCGGGAGTCAATCTAGACATTTTTGATTGGACGCCACTAGCAAGCCACAAAACTCTGCAAGCCTCATCTGTGTCATCCTGTCATCTTTTGTTACACGTCTCAAAAACAACATAGCCTTGTAATACCCCACGTTCACGTTACGTTTCTATGAATGGAAATTTGAGCGTCAAATCCGAGCAGCTGAACGCCTTAGCTTACCATGTCTCGCCTGAACGCCTCTCCAGGTGGAATCGAGACCATGAGACCACCGAAAGGAAACCGTTACACGTATGTAGTATAAGCAAATGCGACTGATAAGTCGTAATATCTGCAGATCAAGTCTGCTGTGATCCCAATCGCTTACCTCCATTCCTTGCCATGTTTTCCAGTGCAGCTCTCCTATTGGCTTTCGCTGCGTCTTTTCTCCTCGTCCAGGTCTCTGCAGAATGTACCCAATTCTCAACGAATGGCTCGACGGCAGCAACGTACGACTTCTACCGCTTCTACGACTTTAGGAACATCCGTGATAATATTGATGGCGATGCGGCTACCGCCTCGTCTTACGGAAAGAGTTACACGGCTACTGAATCGGCCAATGGCCAGTCCAAGATCATCGAAGCTGCTCCCTGGAACTCGGGTTGGAACGCTAGAGATTGGTTCAGACCTTCCCCTAAAAATGACACGATAGACATGCACTACAAACCGTCTCGTGTATCAATCAGTAAGTTATACTCTCTTCCGTGGCTTCAGCGCTCTCTTAACCAAAGTCAGGCAACAACACCGACGAATCGGAAGAACTTTCGACTTACCTCTCTTTGCATACGACAAGGCTTTCAGACGGAAGCCAGCTGGCGGCTGAGCTTGACTTTGCAGAATACAACGTCACATTCGCCTCCATCCGCATGTCCGCACGCATCCATGGAGCCAGTGGCGCAATCGCTGGCTTCTTCACGTACCACGATGACACATCCGAGTCGGATATAGAGATCCCGACTGGAGGCTCGGCAGACCAAGTGCACTACTCCAACCAGCCTACCACTGACCCCGACACTGGAGTACCTATCGATGGCGCAACATTCAATGTGTCAATGGTGGCTCACCAAACCACTTCAACTTGGAACAATTACAGACTGGACTGGGTGGATGGAAGAAGCGCGTGGTATATGAACGGAGCGCAGTCAGCGGATACAGAAGTCAACGTGCCAGACAAGGAGAGCATGATCATCATGAGTCTTTGGAGTAACGGTGGTGCTTTCTCAGGACGTATGGATGTTGGTCAAGACGCCTGGTTCGATGTACAATGGGTTGAGCTGTTATTCAACACAAGTTCCAGTGCCATCACGGATACGAGTGGCACAATATGCTCGGTAGAGTCATCGCTGGGTTCGCCGACACCCAACGCATCTCCTTGTCTTCGGGATCTGGTCACGCAGTGCATTTGGTGGGCTATTGGGATGGCGTCAATAGTAAGCTTCATGGCCTTCATGTAGTATCCGCGTCAAAGGAAAGTTTATGTGTTGGACGCGACTTGGCAAGCTGGCTTGATGACAACGCGTAATACAACGGAGAATACTCCTTGTCGTCGAGCTGGTAGGGGTCGCACCCGGAGTCAAGTAACAAAATAAACATCTTAACGCTATCTTTTCGAGCACAATAATGGAGTGCGGTTCCGCCAACAAAGTTTCCCGCCGCCAGGTTGGCGCCATGCTTCACTAGCGTCGAGGCAGCATGCATCGCACCAATACTCGCCGCAATCATGAGAGGCGTCTGTTGCATAAAGTCGATAGCATCAGGTCTTGCCCCAGCTTCTAACAGCTTTTCAATGAGATTGCTATCATCATTTTTCGCAGTATAGTGTATTGGCGAACACCTGTCTACGTCTCTCACATTCACGTCGACTCCGTATCGCAGGAGAGCGTCAACAGCGTCCGGATTGTTGCTTATTACGGCCACATGAAGCGCCGTGAGACCTGACTCTAATTCCGGTAAGGATGTGGCATCGATATCTGTTGCATGGCTCTCGAGACCGGCTCTCAAGATCGAGGAAGGGCTCATATCAGATGTCGTGGTGATCATGTTTAAACTATCCCTATATGAGTGTCAGAAAAAGTCTTTATGTAGACATATCGAATGCTAAACGTAACTTCGCATTGATATATGCTGGAACTAACATACCTGAAAAGTGCTATGTGCCCAAGAACATGGTCGGCAAGCATCTGTATTGCCTCTGAGTTGAAGGCAGCCGCCAGATGAAAAGGTCGCCAGTAACCGAATCTCTGACTCCAATGTGATTCGTGTGATAGGCAGCATTTCAGAAGCTGCTCAAGTAGAGAATTGAACAGTGGGTTTTGTACGGCTATTTCTAGAGCCGAGGCCTCGAAACCGAAGCGGTTGGTCTTTGTACATGAAACGCCGTTTGTATAAGCTCCATAATCAAGGAGTAGCTTTGCAATGCTCAGCTGGCCATGTGCGAGAGCGAGAATAAGTGGCGTGCATGGACCGCAACCATCGACTATTACGTGAAAGCATGGTGTAGCTGCAATGATCGACCTGCAGCCTTCAAGATCTCCGTTCACGATCCTATCATACAGGTCTCCATATGACTTCAGTTCCTGCCTGCGCCGGATGACTTCCATCACAGCGTGAGGGATCGAAACTCCGATGTTGGGGAGATCCTCGAGTAAATCTGCACAGATCATAGGGTCCACCTGCATCTCGGGTGTTATTCCCGCTGAATCTGCAGAGAACTCCGCTCCAGCTTCGATCAGTGCGATTGAGTTGTCGAGGCAACCCAGCCTGAATGCAAAGTGTAGAGCAGATGTATCTCTCGTGCCACACTTTGCGTTGACGTCTGCACCGTCTTCCAATAGCCATCTGGTCGTCCGAGACGACGTTAAACACACGGCAAAGTGAAGTGGGGTGGCACCCTCCTGGGTTCTTCCGTTGATGTTACCAGTTATGTTGTTGTCTCGCAAGAACTGAAGCATTGCTGAGCTCTCACTGTAGGCTGCAAGATGTGCTAGAGTACAATCATGATACCTTTTCAAAGGGAGCGGACCGAGAGGAATGTTATGAAACCTAAGGATTTCAGCATTCAACGCTACGGGACGCTCCCATTCAGCTTGCTCTGGAAAAAGCTGTCGTAGGTATTTTGCTACAACAACATTCCCGCTAGCCACGGATCCGTGTATCACAGTCCAACCGTGGTCGTCCATGATTGTTAGGTCTGCATGGTTCTCCACGAGAACTTTGATGGGTTCGAGGTAGCCATTGCTAGCTGCAACATGGGCTGCAGTTCTATGGCTATGGTCCTTGGCGTTTGAATCAACGCCTTTTCTTAAAATTGCTTCCAGCTTCAAGACGTTTTTGATAGCCAGTGGTTCTATATCCTCCTCGTCCGAGTCCGAATCCTGAAAGAGATGCCAGACTTTGGCGACCTTGGGCGGAACGCAAAGAGCAAAATACCTCATGTAGCCATGTGCATTGAGCTTGGGTATCTTGAGAGAATCTGCATGATCGAGAACCATACGAAAGAATTTCTCTCTAACGTTGCCCTCGATAGCGATATCAGTGGCTGAGTCCCCACCATAATCTTCGCATGTAGCATGAACATCTACTCCCAGGCGAAGGAGCCGCTCAAAGATAATGTCCTCTGATTGAGTCATGGACCAAATCAACAATCGTTCCACTTGACGATGACTACTAGGCAGATTAGAGGCTGTGATGGTCTCTGAGATATGCCTCAAGATGACCCTAACAAAGGATAAGGCTTCCCAACTCTCCATGTCACCCTTCGAGATAGTGTCTAGGCACACCTTTATCAAGAGAGCCAGTCCAGATTCGGCAACAGCCTCTTGGTAGGCTTCCAATGCACCTCGTTGGATCAAGATGTTCATAACATCTATGATAAGATCAAACTCAGAAGGCAATCGTAGGTAGCTAAGAGCATGTGGGATCGTCTTGGTACAGAAATAGAACCAAGCAGAGTTACTTTCCTTGTCCTGAATGATGACGCAGAAGGGCGTAGCAATTAGCTCGACGACAGAAAGTTCGAGATTTCTGCAGTCGACGTCAGAGTATCCGAGTGATTCGAGTCTTCGCGAGTGCTGGTCAACTTCTAGGAAGTCGACGAAGGGGGATCTTCCGTGGCTATCAATACGATCTACATCAAGACCGTGGTCTAAGAGGGTTCTTAGCATGCCAGGTGTTGTTTTCTGGGTGATGAAGTACAAAGCACTTTGATCCTGGTCAGGTCTGGTGAGTATGCTGGCACCCATTTCCACAAGTTCTCGTAAGGTGTCTTCAAGACCATGTGCCACAATAGAATGAACAACACGGGGATCTGTCGCAAAAGGCTTGTCCACCGGAAGTGACCTTAGAATCCGAGATACGATATGGCTCTGTCGATACATAATCGCCTCTAAGAGTGGGGTTCTTCCCAGTTTGCTCTCCATATGGAAGTAATGATGATCTGGTCCAAGTTCTGCGATAAGTACATCGAGAACGTCTAAGCGACCTTTCTCAGCTACGACGTGCCAGACGCTTCTTCCATCGCAATCTACAACCTCAGTCGAGTTTCTTTGGATCAGCCGATGTAGCAGAGCAATCTTTCCAACGCCAGAATTGACAGCGTGGTTCAAGTCTGTCCGCCCGAATTTGTCTACACCAGTATCCTCGGAGTATCTGTCTAGTAGCAGCTCCATACATTCTAGAGAATCGTGTTCCGCCGCTATCCGTAGAAGTGTTGACGCGCGATATTTTGTCTTCATGTTGACCGAGAATCGCTCGTCCTTTGTAAGGCGGAGGAGTTCTGATACTAGGCCGTGCTTGGTGGTATAAAAAAGAGCTTCAGCATAGACCTCATCGCTCATATTTCCCATAGTGCTCATTGTCGGAATGGTATGCGATCCAACATTCTTCGTTCCAGTAAGATCAAGTAGTCGCATTCTGACTTCCAAAGGAATATCTGCATTCTCGACACCATCAAGGTTGACAAACAACTTCTTTATTAAGTCTTCATCACAGGTTTCTCCAAGTTGCTCGACGCCCCAAGCTGTCAGAGACATAGCGTTAAGCAAAGACTCTGTATCTACCCCATCCACGTTCCAGTCGGCACCAGCTTCCAGCAATATTGATACGGTGCGCTGAACATCGTCCCGATTTAGCCATTCCAACTTCGAAATGACAGGCTCCTTGAAATAACTTAACCGTGGACCAAGCAGTGCCAATTCTAATGGAGTGCCGAGCGCAGATGATCCGTTTACATCGCATCCTTCGTCGAGTAGCCACCGACATATTGTTCCAAATGGGAGCATAGCCGCAGCATGCATACTGCCGAACTCGTGAGAACAGACTTCGTCGATCCATTCATGTCTTTGATGTGTATTCATTGCTATCTTATGTAGAATAAAGCGGGTTAGATTGTATGATTTCGGTGAGCGGAACAGTTTTCGGAGTTGCCCCTGCATATCCCCTTCATGCTTAGCCTCTTGAACATAGTTGGTCAAATTGCGGGATACATGTCGGTAAAATGGATGGTCTTCAAGGTCGTTCTCGAAATCAGAGGGGAGGCGATCAAATGATGGAAGACATAGGTAGTTGACACAGGTCTTGGCCAGTGTCAGGGTGTCAGTCTTACTAAGACGAAATTCGTTCATGCTTGTGTCTTCGGGTTTGATTGCCTCCAAAAATTCTTGAACGGTGAAATGAGCCAACTCGAGGCGATCGTAGGAAGCGCGGTCGTAGGAAGGGATGCCGTAGGAAGGGCTGTCGGAAAATTCATTCACTCTGCGAACTAAACTTCCACAACATCGAAGTAGATCCTCTAGATCAGGGCATGCCTCAGGGTCCAACTCCTCGTCATTCTCGTCTATGGCGACGATCTCTAACAACTGCTCGTCAGAGAGCGCGGGCCATTTTGCGTATGCGATCCACTGTAATGTCCTCCGTACCAGTGGTCTGGCGGACTTCTCGACACGCATGAGTACTCTTACATACGTTTCGTTCAGAGTTGATGGTAAACACGTTAGGGCTTTACGACGAAGCGCATCTGTTGGGAGTTCGCAGAGGTGGTTGAGCTGGCAAGACACCCAACGGAACCTGTGGTGTTAAGCAAATGTTTCAGATAGCCTTTCGAGCAACACTCACATGCCCTGTGCTCGTGTTACGAGTTGATGAACAATTTCCTCTTTGAGTTCACTACTCTTCAGCCGAAGTTTTTTCTTTTTGAGCCTTTCTTCTATCTCGCTACGGACATAGTGTTCTACGTCTTCTGTATGCGCAGCAATCTCAATGTGTTCAAACATGGGCGCTTCGAGTTGCGTACGGATATCAATCTCGTCTCTGCTCAGAAAACACATAGAGATGACGGTGTGACAATTTCCCAGCGATTTGAGTGTACTCGCTATCTCACCAGCTTGCTCGTTGCACTCGTCAAGACCATCCACTATCAGACGTGCATCTTCGAAGTAATCCGACATCTTTCGTAGCAAACCAACGAGCTCTCCAACTTCGGGGCTTCGTCGTAGCTGGTGCTCAGGCCGCAGTTCATCGTCATAGTCCTTGAGTAGTTGGAAACAGCTTTCGTGTTGCTGTGCGAGTTGCGATGCAAGGCTACTCAGGATCTGAACCACGTCTTGACTTTTGGTATTCTTATAATCGCAGTAAAAGAACGCTACTGCTCTATCATCTGTAGCTTGCTTCAAGCATTGTTGAATGATCAAACTCGAGAGAAGTGTCTTACCGGCCCCAGGGATTCCGCTTAGCCAAAGATGCAAGTTTGATCCTTGCATCCATTTGGTGAATTTGTCAGTCTCAGCAAGCCAAAATCCGGTGGTTGCGTGTCTGATTCGCGCATTGGTACGAAACGAATCTTCAGGATTGACGGACAAGAAGCTGTCGAGGATCTTCTGACGTTCCGCATTGACAACGATCTTAGTGTCGATATTCTGTTTGTCTCTCAGTCTTGTCTCAAAACCAGCGACCCCCGAGAGTAGCTGTTCTTGTTTCGAAAGACACTGGAGCAAAGCGGCCATAGTATCGACCGATAGAGCGAAGTTGAGGTGGTCTCGATGGCCTCGAATATCATCGACGAACTTCTTTGTATCGACAGCCTTGAAAGGCCAACTGAGCTTGTGTACCGTGCTACGTATCTTGCCTTTATCGAAAATACCAGCTTTTTCAATGTTATCTTTCAACTTGTAGAGAGTGTTGAAACACGAGTCGATATGATCTAAACGTATTGAATTGTTTTGCAAGCCGCTGGTTTCCAAGTCCTGGGCAATCAGTTGGAGGTTGTGGAGTACGCCATTGAGCGCAGCGACTTCATTCTTGAGGGTTTTCACCTCTTTCTCCGCACTTTTTACATCTTTGACGTAGTGGTAGAGCTTACGAAAGATTGTGTCGCTTAGTGAGATGAGACCTGCGATCGAGCCGGCCACCGATAGGGGGTCCATTACTCTTGAGGGATGAGCGTGATCGCTCAAGAGAAAGCGAACAACAGGCCATAGAGGAACGGACTCGATTTAAAAGGACCATAGTTCATTCCGGAGAACAAAAGGCTGCGATTCAGCCTCGCTCCATGCATACTGATTGCAGATGGTGGAGGCGCAACAGGCGGCCGGTGACACGCCTCTTCTGCATGTCGGCCTTGGGGAACACGTACACAACTTGCTATCTGCTCCTGGCGCAACACCAGTGGCGCTTTAGATGGCTTCTTGTCATTCTGTATGGTGGCACGCGCTGCAGGCAGACTGACGTTTTCTGCTAGAGTAAGTGGTGAGGGGGCAGAGGCCTGACCGTAAGCGCAGACAGTAGTGGGATCGAATACGCACCTGCCATTGGTCGGAACATCCTGGTTAGGATGTCATCATCTCTCTCTCGTCACTGATAACAAACCACGTATTTTCCTCGTGCTCTTATTCGTGAACGGCAGCGCAGCTGCCTAACCGTCTTGGTTTCTCCGTTACAACAAACTATGTCTCTTCATTCCAGACGCTGCTACAACATTCTGCTGTGGCTGTGTCGCCTATGGCTCCTTCTCATTAGCTGTGGGAGAGCTTAAGTCCAGCAGTCAGCAGCCTGTAGTGGTCGCGGTTCCCCGAGATGACGCCCTCCGCTCCCGCAAAGCCTGTGATCATCACAGACACGACAACACAGCAACAGCTCAGCGCAAAATTGCGACCTTATACAACATGACGGGTAGAGTCGCCACTGACCTAGGGTTTTATAGCTGGAGTACATGGAATACGAGCATACTACCACGTCGTTACGTGGAGCCAAGACAATGAATATCGTACTGGAGTCGGAGGTTTCGTGTGGCGACGATTGTACACAACTAACATATCAAGCGAATATCTGGATATTGTTCCCGCAGAGATTCGGTATGTTTGTATCTGGTGGTAGAGTTGTTGAGGTACAAGCCCCCAGTGTTTGTCGGCCCCAAGACGCAGGCTCCATGCAAAACGGGGAACGAATCAGCCTCACCGTCTTGGCCGTTAGCCCCCACTTCCTGGCAAGGACTATGATCCAGGAATACAAGCTAGGAAGGCGACCGATAATCTCTGAAAAGCTTGGCTAGGTCTTTCTAGTTGTTGATCAACAATAGTGGCTTGCTCCGTACTTATGGAAGGTTTGCTGCGCCCTCATAGGTTCGCCTCACGTGCGCAACGATCACTCACACGTCACTTTGAGTATACAACCACGCATGAAAAACTGTGGCTAATATGCCTAGGAGCTCAATGTGCATTCTGCTCGGTCTAGCTAGCAAATATACAGTCGTAGTGCATTGGAATGTGTTGGTAAGGAAATCTATTCTATAAGCCGTATTCATGAAGTTACGTCCAAAGTCAGGGTATCCATATAAACAAGAGGTTGAAGCTCGAAGTCGTTTCGGGTATAAGTTATCGTGAGGTCGTGAGGTAGAGGTATCGTAGAAGCAAGAGGGGTGGTAGGCCTGACCGTATGCATGCTCAGAATATGGGAAGACAGGAACAGAGAGCGAGGGTGTCAAATATGCAAAAAAGACGGGGTGTTGAGAAGCAGCATGGCGCAAGGAGAAAGCAAGTTCTGCCAGAGGTTCTCAACCCAGGTGGCGGTGACACATCTCAGAGTAGCTTGAAAATCTCCTCTTGACAATGAACCCCAAAGGCTTCATCGTCCATTTTGCCGTAGATGTAAGCCTCGCCGACGAACCGATAACCAAGGTGATCACGCGAGCTATTTTCAGTCGGTCGAAGGATGACGGGAACACTACCACCATATAAAATGGCAATCACATCCCCTCTCTCGGTCAAAGGTGGTCCGAAGCCAACGAGCTCGTCGTGATTAGAACTGCAATCCCCAGCAGCGGCGCTACAAATAGCATCACCTCTAAGGAAAGATCGGTTCCATGTGACGGCGCGTACACGACAAAGGTAATCGTACACCAGATCCTGGGAACCAGATTGAAGCTTCCGACGAAGTATATTGCCGAGATTTATGTGGCCGTTGTTCGTTTGGTAAGCAAGGCAATGTTGACATGCAGTCTTGTACCAAGGTGGAGGCGGACCTCCTTGCGGATCGCGATCCGCGACTAGTGTTTGCCAGAGCTTAGCAGGAACTTCAGCAATCTCTTTGGCATTCTTGTCGAAAACCCAGCCTAGGCACTCCAAACAGTCTTTGGTGATGACGCCATCAGGAAACGGATCAGTGCGGAATGAGACCGACCCGATCTTGACGCCTTTCGCGTACATCGACATGTCGTGAGTGACCTGAGCTGGCATCGAGGAACTCCGCAGAATTGGGCTCTGCGGGAATGTAACCTCGGCTTGCTTGTATCGCCTGCCACAGGCATTGTAGTTGTTGCTACCAGGTAGACCAACAAAGCTGTCCCCGGCCTTTCGGCCACGGAACATGTCTTCACCCTTTCCCCAGGCAGAGTCTTCTGCGAACAGGATCCAAGAAGGGAGATGAACGAGCCTAGGCGTCGTCGGCGTCGGCTCTTTGCGCTCCTTCAGCGCCCAGTGGCGGCAGATGATATCAATGGATCCCGTGGTCTCAATGACCCACTGAACAAAGTCGCGATAGATTTCGAAGAGATCATGGCTGTAATTTGGGGTGGGCGGTAGCTTGTGGGATTCTGCGACTCGCAAGTCGTACTTGGTCACTTCCTTCGATATGCTTCTGAAGGCGTTAATCGTATCGCGTGGATCAGACGTATCGAAACCTGCCAAATAGCATACCAAGCTCTCTAATCCTCTCGTAGACTCGAGCGAGCCATCGGTTCGCTTACGAAACAGAGTCGATGTCATATCCACCAACAACTTGGCACCAAGATGCTCGATCTCCAGTGTTGAATCATCGTTCAAGTAACTGCGCTTGATTTGAGAAGATTCGTAATGCAACATGAGCCGAGACTTCAAGACGTCAAAGTGTCGGTGAAAGATGGCGATAGCAGTTTGGAAGTCACTCCAGTCGCGCACATGCTTGCCGCAGTGCACCGAAGCGGACTGAGCGAACGCCAGCTCTTGTATAACCCAGCGTCTCGAAAACCTATAAGCGGTCAGCACATGTGATTTCTTTGGCTTATGTTGCACTCACCAGCTCCATTTCAGAAGTTCGTACAAACTTGCCCAGTCTTTGATGTAGTTGTCGCCAGTCAAAAGCTCGGGGAGGTTGTCCGGGTCAATGACCTTTGGAATGAAAGCCATGGCCCTGTTCGGAACCAAGTCACCGGGGCTATCAGAGCCGAGCCACACATTGACATTGTAGGCTTTGCGGTAAATTTGCGCCATCTTGAGCACTTGTTCTTCTTTCTCCTTGTTGTCAAACTGGTTAATGCACAGCGCATCTACCCAAAGCGCGACGGTGTGGGTTTCCTTTCGTAGGTGTCTGAGTGCTTCGTAGAGATTCGGCTTCACCTTGATCATCTTGTCCCGCGCGATTGCTTGGAGAGCACCAACTGCCTTCGCGATAGACTTAACGGGATTCGAAGCTGGATCATTTTGGATAATGATGGTGTTGTCGTCGTTGCTGTTGCCCCAATTGTACGAAAGGGCAGAATAAGGGAAGTGCTCGCTTCCCAGATCATCGTCGCTTACGACCAGCAGTGAAGCGTTGATCTGATCGTCGAAGGCACCAGGTTTGATGAGTAGAAGACGTACTTGATTCTCAGGTATACGCTTGTAACTGTACATCTTACTGATCTGGCCTATCGCGTCTGCCCACTTGGTGCTTTTCGACGAGCCTGTTGACTCACTCGTGGGCGTATTGAAGCCACCCCTGTTGATCGGAACAGCTGAACGCGATGCCCATGAGTGTTTGGAAAGGGCTATAGGCGGAGTTGATGGCACGGCACGCTCGATTGGAGGGATGTGAGGGTGAACAGCACGTTTTGGAAGAGATCGAGGTGTGTTCGGCGTAGCATTGGCTTGCGCTTCCGGCTGAACCCCAGGACTGCATGCTGGAAGCGGCATAGATGAACGGGCGGTAGTCTGTTCTTGTCCGACCGACGGCGGTGTTTGAGGTGGAGATTGCGGGCCGGTTCTCGCTCGGGCGGAAGCTGTCGAGCGACGAGTGACCTTCCGCGGACGATCAGGGGGTTCATTTTGGGTTTCAGGATGTGGTCGTTTCTTAGTGGGGTTAGGTGTCTGTTTCTTTGGAGGCATATTGGAATGTCGAGGGTATTCCGACCCAAATGATAGACGATGCACTAACGTTTAAGTATACGGATAAGAGTCATATTTCAGTATCACGGCAAAGATGTTACTGTGCGATGACGACACGCGTTAAATTGGTGGCGCACCACAGAGAACCTTTGACCTGTAGATGGGAAGGTCGAGAAAGCATCTGTGTGAGTGGAGAGTGATCTCATTGGGTGTGTGAACGATTTCTATGTCCGTGCATTCATGAGCTGCGGTGGGTAGTCACTTTTCGTAAGGTCGCATCGCGTGTCGGATCCTCGAAGGAACCTAATCACCTAAGCTCAGCCTCCGGATGGCATACACATTCCGGCGTCGGGTATGGCCGACGGGAGAGCCATCACATGGGGCCATGATGCTAGGGTCTTGGGCCTAGGCCAGTTATGGGTAGGATCGGGCCCAAAGGTCCTGTTCTTAGCGGCGGCTTGTCGAGATATAACGGCATGGCCATAGGATCTGCGGTCGACCTCATGGATATAGCCGAGCTTCGCTAACGACAGCGATCGATGGGATGTAGTGAATTACTGGGTGACAAGGTGTCCAGAATGGCGGTGTACGGGTCTTGGGGCGAAGAGGTCCTTTTCCAAGGTCGAGGCTATGGCTTGACATGCATGAGAGTCCTCTATGGTGTTAGTCTTTCAGCCTTGTGGCTGTAGTCTAGATGTCGAAAGAAGCGAAGCGACAGGAACAGGCGGGGCTGTGCCTGATCCTAGCAAGCAGATCAGTGGAACTGACGACAAGCTGTATCGATGGTACTGCGGTTCGAAAAGATCAGCCCATTATTGCGCTCCCAAGATGGCATCGAGTTTTGCGGCGAGGTCACGCATACGCATCCTGGTACGGTGTGTCTTGTCGCGGAACAAGTCGAGCTGAAAAGCTGCTCGCTTGATCCCGTCTTTCTGCCTTTCTGCCTTGTGGCCATGGCTGCCTAATAGCGAATTATCAATGTCACTTTGGGCAGCAGCGGTTGTCTTGTACAGAACGAATGAGCATCTTCGAGGTCAGAAGTAGAGGGAGGTGAAAAGATGGGATGAAACTCCAAGGCGCTGGCCTCTTATAAAAAAAACCACTATGATAACACTCACCGGACTCGTGTTGGATACCCACTCGGCTGCACGACAATGCCTCAGCATCCTCAGCGCCCACCAAGCGGATGGGTAAAAAACGATGTCTTGCGAAGGTGGTGGTGTGTGCAGGCTGCAGCCGGGCTGTGCGTTGACGCCTATCGCGAAACGTTACATCCGCGCTCATAGCCACTTACCAAGAAGATGCCGGTGAGGCGTTCTTTGCATCAACCCATGATGTTTTTGATTGTTGACTGTGGGTTGCAGCTCTTGAGTCATGGTCGGTGAACGGGGGTGAAGATGGCAGCCTGGAAGGGCGCAGTATTCGGAAGGGCCCTGGAGGCAGCTGGTCCCTTGGAGTAGCCGAAGCCGGAGTAACGCGTCTTCGCGAGGCCCCGGCCCGCACACTGTTGCCGCTGTCGCGTCATGTCTTCCTCCATCAACCACGTATCGACCAAGTCTATTTAAAATTGATAATTGGAGGTAAATGCCAATGCGAAGTCCAAATTTGCCAGCATTCGGCTAATCTTCGTTCATATCTTCTCGACCTCCTAGCTTCTTTCTCTATCTTACATGACCTTTCTTTATGCCTTTACTTACTCAGACCACGGCTTCAACCATCTCTTCATAAACTCGCGTTGCATGGCAGTGTGCTGCTCCTCCTTTTTCATGTCCTCGTCCTTTTTTGCGTTCAACACTTCGTCCGTGTCCTTATCTGACGCCTCGTCTCCCTCTTTGTCTAACGCCTCATCCTCTTCTCCTTCATCCGACCCCGCAGAACCAAACAGGACAAAATCTTCTGCCTTGCCTAATCTCGCTGGCATTACTTTAGTATAATCTAGCCGTGAACCTTTCCGCGTATTATAATAGCTCCGATACCGATTGGTGTAATCCTCAGTATCAGGCTCGTATTCAGAGTCGGAGCTAGCTCTCTTCCGCTTCCTTGTGTCTCGGCGAAAGTCATGGCTATTGATCGCACGAAGCAATTTTATCCATTGTTCGATATCTGGATACCACCTGCCAGTATCACGGTATCTCGCTTTGCGTGTGTAAGTCGCTCCCGGATGCGCCCAAAAGCCTGTCGCAAGCTCGAATTCTACTTTTCTAGTACTTAGTGATTCAATGACCCGGACTGCCATCTCTTTGAATCCAGTAGCTTCCCGCGGCCGGAGACAAAGCAGCGCGGCCATGACCGGCAAAGCAAGGTCTCCAAATAAGATGCCTATTTTCTTAGCAGTCGCAATGTCCTCGGTCGAAATATCAACGGGTGGTGCGCGGTGAAACATCCTTTTCCGTAGCTTACGGCCAAAGGGCATGCCCTTCGAGCGATTTTTCTTCCAAGCTTCAAGTTCGGGGAACAAACTATAAAGCCCATTAGTGACGAGCTGCTCAAAAGGCACTGCGGTATAACCACGACCCCGTATACATCCATGCGCCAGATACTCGATGTCACCTTGCTTAGCACCGAGAAGATCTGGCACCCACCAGACGAGAACCTCGCCTTCTAATCTCATGCGATCGATAACAGCGACATGAGGGTTCCAGTCGGCTCGTGTGTCTCGGGCGAAGCAGAGAACCGCATGGAGAGATGCTGCCCATGAGCTAAACTCTGTAAGAAGCTCATCATTGCCATGAAAATGGGCGTTCACCATGTTGTACATCTCTTTCTCGGTCTTAACATAGACACTAGATCCTTTGTTGCCGTTCATGAAGCCCCGAGGTACGATCTCGGTTGCGTTGTTGATGGCTACGCCCGGGCCGCCGCCGCTTTGCCGATGAAACATTCGGAATAAGAATCGCGGGACGTTGTTCTCTCGTAAGTCTGTAGTCGCGTATCTAATTAGTCATGCGACTGGTGAAAGGAGTGGAGTGTGATCTTACCTTCCCAGTGATCCCTCTCCTGACCAACAGTTTCGTCACTCGTAGCATCTAGAGGCATCGTTCAAATATGTTATCTTGTCTGATTTAGTCAATCTTGGTCTTCTTCAGACCCAAATCTTTATATATTATCTACGCCATAGCTTATAGTTCAATGTCTTGAACAGTTCAGCACATATTCTTCCAAGACACCCGACGAAAGGGCGTTAGTTACTTGTTTCCCTGCATCACCGACTCATTCCAAGACATACCAAGATCATTAACGACTACATACGTGATATGTGTGAGCACAGCTTCACATAGACATTGTGTTTCAGAAACCAGCACGACTCCAAAGTCTGATAGCGCGAGACATGGCTCTACCTCATCGCGGGCGGAAATTGAATAGCTTCTAATGGCATATGTATCTAACTACCTCCTAAGCCGGTGCACAAGTAGTGATGTAGTGATGAATACTGTATTTCAAACAAGAATCTTCTCCACCTATACATTTTCCCAAGACCAGCTACGCACTTCTAAGAACTAGCCTAACCTCGTCTACCTAACACTTCTAATAGCTATATACAATTAAACTAGTGTAGAAGAAAATACTTGTTTGAATTGCTTCTAAGATATTGAACATACACATAGATCTCTAGCTATATGATCTACCCTGATCAGTAACGCCATAGAAGAAAGAAAGAGCCGTGGCCTAACTACGCAAAAGGCATATGAATCGGTCTGAAAGATATAAGAGGTCACAGCTGATAGAGAGTCAATATGCTAAGACCCTCGATGGTGCTCCGTTACATGCTAGTCTACAGCAAGTCACACAATGCCATATTCAATATCAACTCGCGATTGAATAACATGTGTGATATCTAGGGTATGTCGTGACCCTCTATGAAAGCTCTTCATATTGTCCAACCTTCCGCCCGTGACCTACCCGCGTTGGCCTTCTAATCGTGTGCTTACACCATCACGTGAAGCAAGTCTTGCGAAAGGTGATTATCACCCACCATCTAGCGTCTTCCTGCGTAGATATTCAGCGCACCTTGCGCGAATTCAAAGGTTCCCCGGTCCCCTAGCAACAACTCATATGATCCGTGACCCAAGTCAAAGATGACCGACTTGAGACTCGAGCCCGCCAGGGAAGTGGTGATGGTATAGTGCAAAGTGTTGCCGACTATAGAAGTAGTGATGAGGACGCCTTGCAAGATGTATTTGAATTTCCCGTTCGTTCCGTAGCATTGGCGAGTGATGCCCGTAATGTCTCTTTTCGCAAGATTCCTCTTCGGAAGGGCGCCGTCGACAAGAGACGAATCGGCAGCGTTACTAAGGTACTGTTAGTAAGGCATCGTTTCTCCACGTCAGGGGAGCGTACAAATTGGCTCGGGCAGCAAGTTGGTGGACTTGCTCAGAGCTTGCGCTGGGGACTGGAATTAGCTCCGTCATCTCGTAATGTTCGACTGTCTCACCTGGGAATTCCGAGAGATAAGGCCAGCGGAGTTGCGGCCGAAAGAAGAGCATAGTAGAAGAGCTTCATGGCTCGTGATTACAAAAGACGGGATTGATTAAGAACGTACGAGTTTGATATACATTCTTGAGGGGAGTTCGCAGTGACTTATATACTAGGTAAGTACCAAAGAGATGCGTTGAGATGCATCCTTGTCTGAGTCAGCCACTGGGCGTGACATAGTTTCAAGGCTCAGACTACTCAAACTCAAATTGAAATACAAGCTCAGTGAACTAAGATAACACTGGAAAACACCGAACATTGTACAACATTTAGATACCTTGCAGGAGTAAGCTCTACTTACGGACGTAAGAGCGGATCGTTAATAGACCGCAAGGTTTAGCAGCCGAAAGACTATGAAGGCAAAGACAAGACCGTGCTTTACCACTAATATGTAGGCTTGTACACTGACATTTTGCTTTCTGGTTTCCTGACACCTATCAACGGGTGACTTGGCTTGATTAAGCCACGGTGCGGTGCTTTTTTGATAAGACTCGCCTTGCTTAACAAAACCTTACTTCTGTACTCATAATAAAGTTGATGATTATCGAAAACATTGTGAAAGTAAATGCGAACTGGAACCTAGAATCAAACCCAAAGTCAGGTTCGAATAAGAAAGTACCATCTTGATGCCGTCGAGGTTATCTCCCTTCTTAATGCATTGCTTGATGATAAACACAAGTAAGAAGACTCAGACTGCAGTTTGCAGTCGGAGGGTCTGATAATCTACAGCAAGTAGGAAGATATATTGTTGAAGCTTGGTAGGCCAGACTTGTTTTCAACGCGTCTGGATTCAGTACTTCTAAACATATCATCTGCTAAAACCGAGGGTCTAATCGTAGAAGCAGGATTTCGCTACCAACAAGACGTAAGCACTAACTAAAAGCCTAGCATGCCGAGGAGCTAGCAGCGGAGTGATACATATAGTTATCATCATTGTAAGCACAGATCCAAGTCAAACTTTAACGCAATGAGAACTTCGACAGCCTCAGTCTACAATAGTGTTCAAGGTACTCAACATTAGACTTTCATAGCCATCATCTCATCCTTGAGGCATTCACACAAAAAGGTAGCCCTCCTGCGCTTCCCTAAAGATGGAGATATATAAACACAATTACATGCTCTTCAACCTTGGACCTCAGCCTACTCCGTTGTATCTCTCTTCGGCACTACATCTATTTCTTCAAAGAACCAACGTAACCATCATGAAGCTCACCACCGTAATCCAACTCTCCTTGTAAGACTCCCAAAAGTCCGACATATCCATCTATTCACTAAAAACACCTCTCAAGTCTGGGCTTTTTCAATCTTGCCAGTGCCGAAAGTTGGGACCGCTGCTTCTGCCACGTCCGTGGAGTGCAAAACTCATGTGCGACGACAAAGGCCTGCGCCGCCTTTAGCAACCGTGCATTTGGTGAGTTGAGTTACTGGTCACAACGTTCTCCTCGGGGTCCGTTTATACGCAAGGGAGGAAACTAATCTTCATTCCTGTGTAGATGGCAAAGATTGCGTCGCCGAGCCATACAATCAGAAGATCCGAGGCCCGGAGTTTCACAACACTTGCCTCCAGTTTCTGGGTGGCGCGGACAGCTGCTGTACGCGTGTGGAGAGGGTGGGGGGTCCAATCTTTCGTTCAGACGGCTGTAAGGGTACCTAGAGGAGTGGCGGGTGTGTCTAGGTGGCTTGTGTGCCTCGGGGCTGTCTACGTGGGCTCCCCAAGAACAGTTTGGTAACAAATGTGTAGGAGGTGACCTGAGGGTATGGTACAGGGGGGTTTGGTATCTAGATCCACCTCGGAACGAATGAAAGAGGTATTCAGACTGAATTCTATCTTGAGACTTTTGCGATAGGGTATTCTCCCACCTCGGCTACACGAAGAATATATCTCCTGCCGTTTCTAAACAGTGACTCATACAGTAGCTTGTATCAACATCTTACCAGCATCAAACGGTTCAGTAACACCATCACCACGTTACGTTTCTATACAGTAAAACGACGGAGCGGTGGACATACCAATCACTACAACAGTCTCCTAGTGTCACCATCTTATAGTAAAGATAACCATATCTCAGAACCTCGTAGCTCTTAACACCAATCACCCTCCACTCATACTTTCTCTAGCGTAAAAACAAGAATACTCAATCATATTGCGTTCAGATAATCAAATATACACATGAATCTCCCACCCACATATTCCATCCCTACCTGTAACGCCATAGAAGAGCCATCGCAAAAGATTAAGCCCAGAACACACACACGTATCATCCCATCATACCAGCATATATCTTGCAATGGGGGTATAACCAAAAAAAAGGAGCCCATCGTCCTTCCATCTTTCCACCCTTCATTACATCAAAATCCACACAGCCCCTCCCGCAAACAAGGCAAACATCAAAATCGTCAAAATCGCCGCCCCCGCCTTGTCAGCCGTAGTAATTTCGCTCTGAAACTTGGGCAGACGATCATCATCGTTCCCACTGCCCAGGCCCGGATTGCCCTCACTAGTACCGCCCGTATTACTACTATACGGCGGTGGCACCCGCTGGGCATTCAGCACTGAAATGACATTGAGCGCCGTCATCTGCGGCCCCACACCACCAATCCCATCGAAACCGGTGGCATACCATTTCATGCCGCACTGATGGGGCCCGCCGTTGTGTTGGGACGGTCCCTCACACGTTTGGGCAGCGGCGACGGCGGATTTCTGCAGCTTGGGCAGGATCTGGGGCGTGAATTCAGGAGCCATTTGCATGGTGATGCCGAGCCAGCGGGCGAGGTAGGCTTTGAAGGATTCTTGATCTGCGTCGCAGACTTGGTTCGCTTCGCAGATTTCGACCATGACACCGCCTTTTTCTTCAGGGAAGAAGATGGCGACTTTGTTGATGAATTTGGTAAGTTCGGTGCGCCATTTTTCGGCGCCGTTGGTGTAGTTGTACATCTGCGATATGTTAGTATGTGGATCGTAGACTGTACACGCGATGTCTTACGTATGCGGCTCCAGCAATCATGATACCGTAGTTGTAGGTCCAGGGCGTTTGGTCAGCGTCGTGGCACGGAGGATTCGTCGTAATGCTCGTTCCATCGTACACCTGTCCATCTCCAGGTAATATAGGACTCTGCGCCATCCAATCGAACGCCTTCTCCGCCCACCTAGCATACGTATCGTTCTTTGTGTACATTGCCAATCGAGCGCCGAGATGGAAAAGTCCTCCGTTGGAAGCAGTGTTTTTATACGTCCACCCATTAAGCCAAGGATAGATCTGCCACCGCATGCCACCGCCGCAAGTGCCATCCGAAACCTCCTTCTGGTAGCGGCCTACGAATTGATTGAAGACAGATTGTGTCATGGCGAGCCAACCGGGCTGGTCGGAGGGAGGGTCCTTGAGCTTGTACTCGGCGGCGGCGATCATGGAGAAGGCCCAGAAGACTTGGTCGTCGTTGCCTTCGTTCTTGGACTGGTTCGAAGGCATCTGCAAAGGTTAGCGATACACTTCCGACACAGTACACATGGATGCATACCAGATCTTGATGCTCTCCGAACTGGTGTATCAGTCCCTCGCGAACCATCTCGTTGTACTGGTCATCGCCGGTGTAGTGCCAGTAGTCGAGCAGAGTGCCGAACATGGCGCCCGCCTGCCACCAGTAGTAGGGTGGGTAGAGGATACCGGGGTAACCTCCCAGTACGTGTATGCCTTTGTCGTCGATGGTCGCATACTGCGCAACGAGCTGTTTGGCGACCTGACTAGAGACATCCTTGATGGAAGCTGTGACACGACGTCAGTACATCTGGCACTCTGATAGATTTGCGCAGCTGCGCGACAACAGCGTCTTACCCTCGGAATTGGGATCGAGGACAATGGCCTGGGTGAAGGGTCGCACGACATCTGTTGACAACAGAGAGAGCGCCGCTAGCGCTCGCGCAGGGCTGAATAACCTCATCTCGACATGTGCCTTGCGGCTAGAACAATGCTAACGAATGGCTACCCCGCAAGTGCGTGAGACCAAGTGGGGAGAGTTGAGCGCGCTGTGGCGGGATCAAGCAAACAAAGCAGCGAGAGAGAGGGGGAGAGAGGTGGTGTACAGGGCTGGGTTGCGAGGGTATACAAGAACAAGAAAGCAGAAGGTGGCTGCGGAGGAACGGGCGGAGAGGAAAAAGCGAGCGTGAGTGGTTGAGTTGGTAGCAAACAGGCGTCCAGCTGGTTTGATGACGGATGTGACAAAGAGAGGGCGGGAGCGATCGTCGCTCGCGCCTGACGAAAGAATGCGGATGGCGGCAACTTGCAACTTTGTTACGGTGAACACGGGCCTTTGCCTTCATGCGATTACCCCGGTGGCTGGATGTTGAATGCGACTTATTGGATGCAGTCAGCAAACCAATCTGCACGCTGGCGATTCCCTTTCAGCCTGGCCTAACCCTCGTAAAGGCAAGTCGACTTGTAATTCACACACACACACACACACACACACATACACACACAAGCGCTGGTGCGCGACGGGCCTCGACTCGTCACAAGCCACATTCCACCGTATGCGACGGCCAACCGGCACCTGTACCGTGCGAGTCGACTTATTTTTCGTCGAATAGGGCCCGCCATCTGGGTTGAAACTGAGGGGGATCCCGAGTACCGTACCTAGGTGGGGGCGCAGGCAGGGAAAATCTGTGGCGCAGGCGCCTGACTTGGCGTCGATCCACCTGCATTTGTTTTGTTTGAATGTGTTTCTCAGTGGCCGACTGCTTTCGCCAGCCGCTGCTGAGGCGCAGCAGAGCGCATCTCGCATGCGTGGTTGATGGTTAATCGTTCCCAAGCGTTTTCCAAGCAAGCTTGCAGCACTTGAGCGTGCTTGAAGCCACGGTCCGCTGTCTTGATGGCCGCCTGCCAAGACTGACGCCAAGCCAATGTCAGGGTTCTATGGGTACGTCCGGAGATTGCGATCCATGACCCTTGGATATTATTAGCCTGCAGATTTCAAGGCCAGAAACAACATGGAAACACAAAAAATGGAGCTCAAAAAAATGGAACACAGATCGAGGTCAAGGTTGCGAACATCAAGCTTTTTAACATCCAACTCGTACGCGCGTTTTTTGACGCGGCTTGCACGACGCTCCACCCTTAGCTTTCCCTCGCTCAGCACCATTTACATCCTAAATACACCCCAAGTGCTCTCCTTCTCCACGCCCTTGTTCTGCCCACCACACGCCATCTGCAATCCCATGCCAAGCACCCTGCGTGTATGTTCCGGTGGAATGATCCCATCGTCCCATAACCTTGCCGACCCGAATGTCGCTTCGCTCTCGTGCTCGATCCGTGCCTTTAGCGCAGGATCCACTTTCTTGCCAACGGCTTCCATGACGGACGACAGCTGTTCCGCGCCCATGACCGAGGTCTTTGCGTTGGGCCAGGTGAAGAGGAGACGTGGCGAGTACGCGCGGCCGCTGGGAATATGTTAGCCGTGTTTCCGTGAAGAGTTGAAGTAGGGATAGACTCACCACATGCCGTAGTTTCCAGCGCCAGCACTAGATCCTACAACGACAGTAAACTTGGGTACATCAACACAGCTCACAGCCGTTACGAGCTTCGCGCCGTTCTTTGCAATGCCGCCTTTCTCAGCGTCCTGACCGACCATGAAGCCGGAGATGTTCTGCAGGAAGATGAGAGGGATGTGTCGCTTTCCGCACAATTGGACAAAGTGCGCGCCTTTGAGCGAACTCTCACTGAAGAGAATGCCGTTGTTGGCTACGATGCCCACCGGGTGACCATATATCTTTGCAAAACCCGTGACAAGCGTGGAGCCGTACAACGGCTTGAACTCATCGAAAGACGAGCCATCGACGATACGAGCGATGATCTCGTGGATGGGAATCTGACGGCGTAGGTTGGTACCGACGATACCAGACAGCTCCTGAGGGTCGTAGAGGGGCTCTTGGAATGCAGGCTGCTGAGTGACAGTCTGATTGCGATGCCAGTTGAGGTTACCCACGCTCCTCCGCGCCAGGACAAGCGCGTGTGCGTCATCAACTGCGAGATAGTCGGTAACACCAGAGACCTCGCTGTGAAGCTTGCCTCCACCCAGATCTTCTGCTGAGACCACTTCACCAGTCGCTGCCTTGACCAGCGGAGGACCTGCGAGGAAAATGTGACCCTGATTCTCTACAATGATGTTTTCGTCGCTCATACTAGGCACATACGCACCACCTGCGGTACATGGTCCCATGACAACACTAATCTGCGGGATGCCCATGGCAGACATGCGCGCCTGGTTGTAGAAGATGCGACCAAAGTGGTTGACATCAGGAAAGACGTCTGCTTGGTTAGGCAAGTTCGCACCGCCAGAGTCGACAAGGTAAATGCAAGGTAACCTGTTCTCTTGCGCGATCGTCTGGGCTCGCAGATGCTTCTTCACTGTGACTGGGTAGTATGTACCTCCCTTGACCGTAGCGTCGTTTGCAACAACCATGCACTGCACGCCGTTGACTGTGCCAATGCCCGTGACGATGCCGCCGGCTGGCACATCGTCTTCGCCGTACATGTCGTAACCTGCCATCTGGCTCAATTCGAGGAACGGCGTGCCCGGGTCAATCAGAGCAGATATTCTGTCTCTGACCAACATCTTGCCTCGCTGTATGTGCTTGTCCCGAGCCTTTTGGGGTCCGCCTTGCGCGATCTTGGTATGCAGGTTGACTAGGTTCTCGGTTGCCTCGTCCATTTGGCGCTTGTTCTCTTTGAAGTCTGCATTGCTCGTATCGACTGTCGTAGGGATGACGGAGACAGCTTCGGCATGGTGGGAATGTGTAAAAGTAGCTGTGTTCCGAATTGACTGTTGAGGAATTTGAGACTGCGCGTGCGATGGCAGGGTAGGACGTGTGGTGGACGACAGGAGGCAGCGTTGTGTTTGCGATCGAACGACTACTGAGGGTCGGACTGAATGCTTGAGCAGGGTCAACGCCTCTCTTGAGGGCGCTCTCGGGACCATTTTGAGTTGTGTGGTTTGTTCTCGTTCGGCTTAGGAAGCCAATACAGCACTCGGTTTATATGAGGGGAGGTTTGCTGTACGCGGTGTTCAGACGTCGCGTAGAATGCGTGATGGCTTGTGTAGTATGCTATTGTATCTCAACTCAATGACACAGCTTGTCAGAGGAAAACAAGAGAGACACAAAGATTCCGGGCTTCCGCCTCGAAAGAAATCAACTTGGTTGTTTGCCGAAGCGCATTCGAAGCTGGGGTTCGGATGCCATCTCAAGACCGTTGTTAACCGTACCGCGGCTCTGCGGGGAAACCACGCTAGTCACAACAAGCAGGTACGTACCAAAACACCCAAGATGGATCGTGATGCGCAAAGTATTTTACATTGATGCCTGGCATTATGCCTGAGATGATGGATTTTATAGCTTTCCACCCTCGACAGGTACCTCGACTACCTGATCCAGTCCCTCATACGCTGGGATATCAAGATTGTACTTGTCCGCCATCTCCGGGCTCAAGAACCTCCCGCCAAGAAAATGCCTGCCAGTAAACTTCTTGACCAGCGGTTTGGGTGCAGTCAAACTAATGAGAGCCGGTGGCATGAAGCCTTTGCCTGGTCCGGAATCTCTTGGGCCTTCTTCAATGTCCCACGATGATGGTGCATCGACAGCGAGAACAGGAACGGAAGTAGATGCCAGAGCTTCAATGACTTTGGGAAAAGGTTCACGCACTTCGCCCGAGAAACTGAAGCCGAATATCGCGTCGACAATGTGGTCGGTTTGTTTCAGTGCGCTGGTGAAGTCTTCTGTAAAGGGCACCTTGAGGTCTTCGAGTTGTTTCTTGAGGCGCTGTGATATATGAGCTAGGGTATACTCGGTGCTTGACAGGCTTACAAACCTGGTACAACTCATTCTTGCTCTGCTTTGGGTAGTAGATTGTAGGCTGGTAGCCGTAGTGAAACAGGTGACGAGCTGCGACTAGGCCATCGCCACCGTTGTTACCAGGACCGCATGCTACGAGGATGCGCTTGCCTTTGCTGAGGGGCTGGAGTTTGAAGACTGGTTTTGTTAAGATAGTGGAGTTGTTCTAATGCAATGGATTCATACCTGCCTGCGATATCGAAAGTCCAGCAAGCTCCATCAACTGATCGATAGAGAACGCGCCTGAGGACATGAGCTCTTGGTCCAGCGCAGCCGCACTTTTGGCGGAGAGGGTCTATGATAGAAATGAGTATTAGCTATTGATAAAGCTTAGGCAGAGATTTACCTACTCGAAGAGCCATGCCGATCTCCAAAAGTCAGAAATGTTGTGTATGTTGGAGCTGAGAGGCTTGTCCACATATAGTTCATGGTGTTGCGATTACATCACTGCTCCAGGATGAGGTGAGCGAATGTAATAGCAATCTAACACCACCACGACATTGTTGACTTGGAATCTCTACTATACAAAGTGCATGTCTGCATAGATGATGTATTGTTTCTACAGAATTCCACTGCTCAACACTGTTGACCGTTCATGTCAAGATAGCCACCTCTTCGCACGTGCCCACCCGTCTCGGCAGATCCTCGGCCCTAAAAAGATATACCCAAACCTCCAGCAAGCACACCCGCGCCCCAACGCAGGTGTCGCATCAACCCCACACAACACACAATGGTCCTAAGAATCCGACTCGCCCGCTTCGGCAAGAAGCACGCCCCCTTCTACAACATAGTCGTCGCACACGCACGGTACGTCTTCGCCTCTTCTGCAATCATCGAAGCGAATCTCGGAAGTCCACAAATACTTCAATCGCCCTCAATCGCAGACTACATGCCTACGCAAAGCGCACCAATGATTCTACCAACGCGATGCTAATAATACAATCAGGACAGCACGTAACTCCCGCCCTCTAGAAGTCCTTGGAACGTACGACCCAAAGCCACAACCCCCACGACCAGGCGACACACACGGCCGGCCATGGAAAGACATTAAGCTCGATTTATCGCGCGCGCGGTATTGGGTCGGTGTAGGCGCTCAACCTAGCGACACAGCGTGGCGGTTACTGAGCATGGTGGGCATACTGGAGCCGCAGTATCGAGTGGGCAAGATTGCGGGGATGGTTGTTAAGAGTGGGAGTGCGGCGAAGTCATTGATAAAAGAGCAAAACACGGCGGAGGCGGAACCGAAGGTTGTGGTTGAGAATATGGAGGGTGGGACTAAGGAGACTGCTGCGTAAAGAGGGGGAGGATGGCGTCTGGAACACTACTGCGGTATGAAGAATGCATTATCAGCGGTTGTCGTGATTCTATGGGAGGAATGGACAATGAAGAAGTACACCACGACAGCCCGACACTAGGCCTTCAGGAACGAAAGCCCTAGGAGATCAGTGCACGAAGACTTGGTGTGAGAGTAGTTGCTTTGCAAGGGACAGGCCCTCAATTAGACCACGAGAGGCTACATACACAATGTATAACCTGTAACAATACCACAAACATCAACATCAACGTCAATATCCAGGCCTGGTACTCTTAAGAAGTTACCTCATTTGAGATAGGCTAGATGTTTTGAGATGAGCTGTTATTGGCTTTCCCAAGCGAGACGTGGCGGTGGTGGCGGCATGCGTGTGCATGGCTGGACGTTGCTTGTTCTCCAGCTGATAGGCGTGTATGTCCAGTAGGCAGCAGCCTTGTCAGCACTTCTGCCCCGCAACTCTCACCATTCCTGTCTCATCATTGACCATGGCGGATCAGACAAGCAAATGGATCACAAGAAGATGGAAGTCTCGATCCATCAACGATGACGCTGCAGGTAAGTTCGCCCCACAGCTCTAGTACGTGACAGTACCAACGCCGTCAAGCCAATGGAACAGCTGCCATCTCCGGTCTATCTTCCATCCATCCAGAGCTACTTCGTCGACAGATCAATGGAGCACCGAGGGCACTTTGTTCCCGGTGTTCGTCCATTGATGTCGAGAGACTTTTTTACACTCTGATGGGCACTGACGGAACAGACAAACTAATGAGGCTTGGGAAACTTGGGATAGAAGCAGAACTGTCATCATGCTCACTATGTCGCCTTTTCCATGCGGCGAGGATACAGGACGACGATAATCCTTCAGTCGATACATACAACCTATACTTAACACACTCCCCATCACAGCGCGCAACAGATCACACCGTTTGGGGGAGATTGGTGTTTGCTATCGCCAAAGGGAGTTGGTCCATACACCTAGAATATGAGAAAGCATTCCCTGCGTTCATTGCACACTCAGAAGGGTTGGATACAGTTCCTCATGCACACTTACTGCGAGGGCGAGCTATTGATACACGAGCAATTAACTTCAACATCCTTCGACGGTGGATAGAGCTTTGTGATCAACAACACGAAGGGCGTTGCACCCAAGTCGAACAATCAGCCTCATCTCTAGAAGACATGAAGCTGATCGACTGCGAACTCCGGCGGATTGTACCAGCATTACCTTCATACAGATTTTCTGCGCTCAGCTACGTATGGGGTACGAGCAGATCTGGGGATGAGGATCAGTGTATCCACAACATACTTCCTACGACCCTGCCACGCACTATCGAAGATGCCATGAGTGTCACCAAGAAGCTGGGTCTTCGTTACATTTGGATCGACAGGTATTGCATCAACCAGGAAGACGATGATGAGAAACAAGTCCAAATCCGTCAAATGGACCTTATCTATCAAGAAGCACACGTAACTATAATCGCTGCAGCAGGTACTGATCCACATTTCGGCCTGCCTGGAGTTGGTGCTACCTCGAGAACTCCTCAACCGACTGCCTGGATTAAAGGCCGACGCCTTGTATCAAGTCTAGCAGATCCACGACCGCTCATCAATGCTTCTAAGTGGATGAAGCGAGCATGGACCTATCAGGAGAACTTTTTTTCGACCCGACGGATTGTTTTTACAGAGCAACAGGTATTCTATGAGTGTCGAAGCGGTATGGGGTTTGAGTCAGACGATGCTTTCCAGAAGAATGAATATTCCAATTTTCTCAACCCGGCCGAGACTTCGAAATATAAAGATTCAAGTATCTGCGACCGCCTGGAAGACTATTGTGGTAGAGAACTGTCTGTCCACTCCGATGCTATACGCGCATTTGAAGGTGTATTTCACAATCTCAGGAAAGAAAACCACGTTCATCAATACCTGGGTATTCCCATAATGCCATCAGCGATGGAAGGATGGTCGAAAAAAACACATCGTAGCAGGGGTGAGGCTTTCGCTGCTGGGCTCTCGTGGTGCAATAAAGCGCAAGGTACCAGGCGTAGCTTGTTCCCTACGTGGAGTTGGGCTGGATGGACTGTGCCAATTAAATACGAAGGTTCGCTGTGCGGTCTTGGACTCGAACTTGGACACGAAAGACCATTGAAGGTCTTTATAGAGAACAGTGATGGAGCTCTTTCGGACATGGACGAGCTAAGCGACGTCTCGCTAGACCAAAGCGTTTCTGGTTCCTCTAGCAAGTTCATTCATATCGAAGCATGGACGATACCTATCGATGTTCGGTATGCTCCCAAGGGGGCAGAAAAGCACCGATACAATAAATATTGGATTTCCAAGAAGAAGAAAACCCAACACTACAATCCTCGGGATGACGACGACTCCGGTTATGTTGCTATATCCCAAAGCGATGAGGGGGCAGTCCAAGTTCCCTTCTATCCACTACATCAAAAGCACAAGAACGATGTTACTACCCAGCAAATCGATGCGCCAGACTTCGAACAGGGTAGATTTTTGGGTATAGTGTTGGGCAGATGTGAAGATTTTTCAGATCTGGGTTATTTTGATTTCATCTTCATCATGGTTGTACTTGAAAAAGAGCACTGTTACGAACGAGTTGGGCACATACTCATTTGTCCGGCTACCATGTCATGGCCAATCTTTGAAAGAACCGAGATCCCCAAACCCGTGATACGCGAATTGCAGAGTTTCTTTCGTTCGAGGAAGAGAAGAACTATTCGTTTAGGTTGAAGGAGGCTTGCAGGATCAAATTTGCTAGCAATATCGAAGATTGCGGGCTAGACCCTAGCAAAAGATGTAATCAATACTTCACATTATGTGCATTACCGAAGTAGGGAACTGAAGAGGATATCCCAGACTGGAGATCTTACGTGAGTCCCCTCTGAAGTCCTATAAACAGTTTCAACCCGCACTGGTCATAACTCCTAATAGAGTGCAAGCGATATAGTCTACTGACCAGAGTCCAGACTACTACAACCTGGACCGTGACCTCTCTGCTACATGAATGCTGTATATAAGGTACCACTCTGTGTCACTAGCCCAGGCAGCATCCTGAAAAATTAGAGTAAGGAGGCTACCGCCCAAGAGGATCTAGGCCATAATGAAGCAAAGCACGTCAAACTTCTCTTCAAAAGCTACAGGGTCGTTTTGTAGCATGTGGATTTGCATTCAGATAAGGAAGATTACCATCAACATACAGGCTCATCGTTCTAAGGGCCAGACACCTTAGAGATCAGACACCAAAGGACTGTAGCACGAAAGAAACGACTTTGAGCAAAAGAGCAGTACATTTCGTACATTCAACTCCACACTAGTATGCCTACAGCTACATGTATGCTTACACAACCCCCAGCAATAACATAAAACCTGGCTCCAACGCCAGCAAAACCAAGTCATGCTCGCATCCAATCTAACCCACAACTCCTTCTTTGCCATGAAAACGAATGAAAATGACTCCAGCTAAATGCAACACACATCTCCTTCACTCCCTCCCTCTCCTTCTCACACCACTCAATGCGCAGCCGCCACAAGAAAAGTATTAGTAACCAAACAAACCACCATAACCACCACCCCATAAATACTCAACGCCAACGCCCCATTCCTCAACAACCCCCTCCTAAAATCGCGATTCGAATGCCCCTCACTCGAGACATACCCCTCGGCCCCCTCATCCTCATCATCCTCATCCTTAACAAGCCGCTGATGATGCGACGACTCCGGGTCACTAATCTTGTAATAAAACAATCCTGGAAGAATAAAACTAATAGTCGTACTACCCGTCGATCCCACATACGCCAGTACTTTTTCCAAACTACTCACCGTCATGGCAGTAATAAATGACAGGATAATAAGCACCGTGCTAATGACTGCGAATTTCAAATCGCTCATCTCGCTCGCTTTCGGCGGCGGAGAAGGTTTCGGCGTATTGGTAATGAGCGAGTTGCGAGATGGGCTGCCGACTTCGGATTGCTTGTGCTTGTGTTTGCGCAGGCGGCCTGGACGCCACTTTAGACATGCGTCGATGCTGGCGCGACAAGGGTGGATTTGGAGGGGGTAAGAGAACATGACGAGGATGACGATGGCGAGGCGGCCAATGGTGCTAGCTGCTGCAGTTGGGTACATGGAGACGATGTTGCCGTGAATGTTGTCGCCATAAGATAGATAACCCGTAATTCCCGTTAGGATGTAAAGACTACATGCGCCGCCAATGGACGCGAAGATGACGGTCGTGGTCTGGAAGTGCGAGTTGTCGGCTATTTCGTTGAGGATGGAGAACATGTTCTGGTGGCATGTGTACGCGAAGACGATGACGGGGAAGGCGGCGAGGGCGGAGACGGGGCCCGCCCATTCGAAGACTCGGACGGTACCTCGGTCGGCGAGGGTGTCGCCTTTGAGGAAATGTGCTACGACTAGAATGACAAGGTAGGCGATGGAGAAGAGGGCGATGACGCTGGTGTACTTGAGGGAGTCGAGGCGGCGGAGGAAGGAGAGGGGGATAACGATGAGCCTGTTGCTGTTAGCACATTACTTGAGTGAGAGCGGACAACCTACATGAAGGCCGTAATCCAGAACTGCCTATCAACTAGAAACGTGATGTCGCTCGCACCCGGCGCGAATCCTCGAACAACGCCCGGCATCAGATCTCCGATGATTATAAGGTAGCTGACAGCCACGCCGAAGCACTTGATAGCAATCGCAGCGTCGAAGATGATGGACAGATTCGGATATGTCATCTGTGACAGTGTCGCAAAGGACACATGGCCCCGATCAATATACCGCGCGCATCGCGTCTGGAGGTAGAGACCAAAGCCTGCTGTTGCACCCGCCCACGCGATGACAAAGATGCCGAGGAAGATGCCCATTTTCGAGAGCGCGGAAGGCATGGCAAGGAGGCCGGCACCAAGAACTGTACATGGTCAGTAAGCGTGCTGTTGTGGACTGGTGTGATAGAGGCGTACTGGTGTTGGCCAGGTTGATGACACTTGATATCCATGTCGCCTGGCCTTTGAATCCAACATCTTGCTTTCCTCGACCTCTCCTACTGCCATCAGCTTCTGTGCGATAAGGACTACACGGGCGTATCTCACCGTCTGCCTCGGAGCGACCCCGTACTCGAAGTCATAGGATCGGCCTCTGTGGGCTCGGGCCCGATGGCGGAGTAGGAAGCCATACTCTGAGGTGCGATGCGAAATGCGCAGTTAGGCTCGTGTTATTGCGCGTTCATCCGTCACAGGCTGGCGGAGCTCCTGAGATGTTGCGAGGAAGGATAGAAAGCGAGTGTAAGCAGTCAGATGGCTGCGATAAGCTCCCAGACGGTGAAAAGAGAGGGTTCGAGTCCGCTGACGTCTGTCTGGTGGTCGCATGGCGCCAATAATCCGGGGGCTTTTGCCTTATCAGCGGCCGCTAAAATTAACATCCGTGATCCCGACACTCTCAAGGCAGGTACGCGCGAACCACGTGAACTCCGAATACCATTCCGAGATACACAATACACACCAGAGACCACAACGGCACAATGGACGAATACGAGGAGGCTGTTCTATTCACGTTTGCGCTCCTCGAGACGCGATTAGATCGCCTGGAATATATTCTGGGTGGTTCCCAAGACAGCACCAAGGACAAGGCGAGGACAATTCCAGATCGCATACACAAGATGGAGCAGTCGCTGCAGCAGCTCGCCGGCAAGACCGCATTACTCGACGAAACGAACAGCCTGCGTACGTGTGCTCGCCTGGATACCTTTGCCATTCAGGACTAACAAAACCAAGTGAGCAAGCACAAAGATGTCCTTACACCCACTCTCCACAACCACGACTCCACCCCCGAAAACGACGATGATGCAGACGGCCCCGCACTCGACACCAACCAGCGCGCAGCCCTGGTCCTCGAACGCGCCCCCGCCATCTCCCAAACCGCCTCGCAACTCCAAGCCCTCGCCGACCAACAAGTCCCCTCCACCGACGGCTTCGCCAAGCTAGCTGTCCTGCGGCCCCGCATTGCTGAGGCAGAAGACCGCCAGCTACAACAAGCACTCAAAATATCTGAGCTGCGAAGAAGGAACGGGCTACTGAATCAGAGATATAGGCATGTCATGTTCCTTGGCGCGGGGAGGTGCTGGGTCGACTACAACGAGAGGCTTACCAAGGGGTTGAGAGCGCTTGTTAGGGAGGAGTACAGACGCAGGGAGGACAAGGAGGAGGGGAGGGGGGTGGAAAGGGATGAGGAAGAAGAAGAAGAAGAACTAGAAGGGGAAGGAGAGGGCGATGACTCCAAGTCTGAGTACTCGGATGACGAGCTGTGAGGCGTGTCAGCACCTTGAGCACACACACTCTCTCTTTCTCTGCACACAGTCCCATCGACACAGAGAAGCTGCAGTCGGGCAGCCGGCGTCATGAGCATCCGACTGTCGGCAAAGTAGTACCAGTCTGAGACGAAGACCCTACACGCGATATTTTTCTTTCATCCGCATAGCGTTCAAAGGGTAAGTCGCCATTCATGCGTTGCTGCAAATACAGACGTCAGATGGTTTCATGGCGTGGCTGAGGCGCTGCTGACAGATGCCAGGCATGCAGGTGCTTCACTGTTACCATGGATTACCTTTGTCGCAGCGTGACAACGTGGCAGCCACACCCGGTGACCGCATCTTGCCCCGAATACATTTGACAATACACCTGAGAAGAGACACGACTTCTGGACATAGCAAGTGAACCGGATCAGCATCGAGGGTGTATGTGTGTGCGTATGTGGTGTGGCCTGCGTCACAATCGTTGCAGCGATCCGGGGTCCCAACCGTTACAGTGTGGAAAAAGACTTACTGGCTTCGGATCAAGCAAGTACCCGGATTACGAAAAGTGACATGTTGGTAAAACAAAATCCACACATGACGACAAAGTATGGACAGAGGGACATTGATCCGGCCATGCAATTGGCCTCTTCTACAACGACATGCAGAAACAGTTCACCATGTCACATTTCACGGACGTAGCAGAATCAGATAGTTCAAACAGCAACTAACTTTGCAAGCGCCACACAGTCGATTCTCGCCCATGATGTAAAGTGATGTCGTTGCTGCAGAGTGACGGGTGCGGAGGGCTCAGTGCCGTGTTTCATCGTCGTCTCGCATCAGCAGCAGCGTGGCAGGTTACAAGGGTTCCCCGAAAGAGGAGCGTAATAGCGCCGAGCAGGGCCCCGGTACGCACAATCTCGTGCGGAAGTGATGGGAAGGAAGGAACTACTGCATGCGCCACGCAAATGAGGCGCACGTGTCACCAACAACCATGGAATATGTGATGGGGTTGGGAAACGTGGATAGCATGCGTAAGGGACGACGCAGGGTGCGACTAGATTAATTAGCCTGATATAATGTGCTGAGAAGCTCATTCAGATGCTCAAGTGCCATATTAAAGTGCCACAATTTTTTTGGTTGGGCGGGAAATGTCCGGTGTCGACTGCTCAGTAAGGGAGTGAACGAGGTGTTCTCGAGTGACTCGATTATGCATGATGAGGCGTCGACTGTCGTATTCTAGGGATCCCTTCAAACTACGTATGTGGCTAGACTGCGCCACGTTCTTGGCCAGAGTGGATTGAAGAGTGCGTAGTAATAGAATACTTCGACGTGAAGTCAAAGGCATATAGTCGTTGAAAGTGTCCCAATGCGCTGTACACGGAGCCCATCTCGTTTGCGTGCGTGCAGTGGCTATCGGCGGCTCGACGGCCATGTTCAAAGATGCTAATGCACTAGACGCGCGTGTTCCTGTCCAGACCTTTGGCTGACGAGCGCGGTGCCATTTTAATCTCAGCGGGACCCGCAGCAATCCCCGTATCCTTAGCCATTCAGCGCGGCCAATCGAGAACCACTGGGAACCCAACTTGAAACCGTCGCATCTCTCGTCTTTCCTTTCCCACACGCCCTCTCGCTCCAAACCCTTTCTCTCGAACAATCCACAGCCTTGCTACTACAACAACCGCCTACGCCTTTCGCAGCCGCCCGTCCACGTCGCATTTCCAAGCGCGTCCACTTCTGTAACTGCTGGTCACTGGACGTCCGCCCTCCTCCCGCTTACTCTGCCTTGCGCCCTGTGCACCCGTTCGCTCTGCACATTACCAACGACCGAGCCGCCGCGCCGATATACTTGCCCTCGCCCGTCCACCGAACAGCGCGCATCTACACCACACTCTTTGACTTGCCCTTCTGCGTTCGTCCTCTTCACACCATAATACCGGATTCGGTTCACCACACGCTCTTTCTCTTTTACATCACCTGCCGCGACAGTATAGTCTAATCGTCGCGCCCCTTTGAGCCCCTCTCGTCGCCGACGACGACCCCATCGACGGTTAACCAATATATGCCCGCTTACGGCTCGCTGGGCGAAACTCCTTCACTACGCAAAATGGAAAACGGAGGCTACGGCCAGAGATCGTCGGGCTTCAGCCTGGGTCGCATTATTGGAGATCCCTTTGCGCTGGCCACCATATCTATCGGTATTGTGAGTATTGAGTGTGCCGCCCCCGGGTGTACGCGGCATATAACTAACGGTTTGGTCATGAACAGCTCGCCTGGATCATCGCTTTTGTCAGCTCTATAATATCTGCTATTCACGGTGGCTTCCCCAACTTTGCGTGGTGGACGCTGGTCTTCATGTTCTTCTGCATCGCGGGCGTTACGGTCACAGTTGCCTCGGATGCTGAGAGGACGTACCATGTCGCGGTATGCAACAACAAGAACAAAAGAGCCCGAAGATGTCCCTTGCTGATTTACCGACAGATTGTAGGCTTCCTTGCCGCCGGCCTCGTCTTCACCACGTCTTCTGTGAACTCGCTCGTCTACTCCCCCGTCGCTCCCTTTGAAGCCGCAGCAGCCGGTTACATACTCCTATCCATGATCGCCGTAAGCTTCCCCGCCAACGCACGCACGCACGAACATGCAAGCTAACACACACACCCCCAGATTGTATGGATCTTCTACTACGGCTCGCAGCCCCAAGCCAGCCACCGCACCTTTGTCGACTCGTACGCTCTCCACAAAGAACACCCGGGCTCCCGCTCCTCCCGCCCCATCTCCAACGGCTACACCAACCGCCCAGAAACCCAGTCCGCAAACATACCCCCCCAGATGTACACGTCGGCCCAACTCAACGGCTTCGAAACCTCGTCGCCTGTATCCGGTTATCCCGGTGGTCCCGTGGGTGCCAACGGTCGGAATTCGTCCGCTGCTGCTCCTCAATTCGGCGGCGGCATGAGTCTAGGTGGTGGTGGTGGTGGTGGTATGAATGGAAACATGAGCACCATGACGCCTACGAATGACGAAACGATGATGAACCAGGAACAGTCGATTGAATACCCGTACCGTGCCAAGGCGATTTACAGCTACGAGGCTAATCCAGATGATGCGAATGAAATCAGCTTTCAGAAACATGATATTCTGGAAGTGTCGGATGTTAGTGGGCGGTGGTGGCAGGCTAAGAAGCCGAATGGAGAGACGGGTATTGCGCCTAGCAATTACCTCATCTTGTTATAAAAGAGGCTTGGAAAAGAGGACTGGTTTTCTCTTGTTTTAACGACCCCGCCACGACACATTTTCCTTTTTTTTTTTTCAAATTTGTTCCATTCAATCCTTTCCATCTTGACACACTTTGATGTGTTGCACATCTACTACGTTTCCGAAGAGGGGGAGAGAAGTAGAGAGCAGCAACATACGAGTTGTTTGATTCTCACCCAAGAGAGAGAGAGAGAGAGAGAGAGAGAGAGAGAGAGAGAAATCTCCATCCTACTAGCTTCGCCGTCTTGCCTGTAGTCTATTCAGGGGGCGGGAAAGAGGCCCATCTGAGGAGGAGGATGAGAGGGAAGAAGAAGGGCGTGGTTTTATGGGTTTGGATCATGTGTTAAAACCGTGTAAACTGAAAGTCGCGCTGCACGGGATGTTCTGTGGCTATACCTTTCTTTGCACGATACCCCAAAGTTTGTTTTTTTCAGTTCTCCCCACACCTTGTTTTTCTTTTCTTCTTGGTTTGACTTGTTTGTCCCGTGTAAAATGGTTTACATATAAGAGAGAGAGAGAAGAGTTAATTTCAAATCTTTTGTTCAACTTTTGTACTCTTCATTTCCTATTGTTCGACCTTATTGTAACTTTCACTTCTGGGGAATGATATGGAGGTTTTATGTGCTCACTTCTTACTTCTACCTTCTTTATTATTATTCTTCTCCTTCTGCGTCTCCATTCACTTTTTACCTTTGTCGTGTTTTCAATGTGCACAACTGGGCTCTTGACTTTATCCGCTTCTTCGACTCACTCTTCTCTCTGTGTCTCTCTCTAAAAACTCGACTTGGGATTGGCTGTTTTTTTTTTTCTTTCTCTCCACGAAATCTCCGGAGATGACGGGAAAACGGAAATTGTGTATACCGAGTAACAAACATGAAAGGGGCGTTTTCCAGCAAGTCTTTGCTTGATGGTCATTCAGTCAGTAAGCGTCAATGGTTGAACTTAAGTTAGTCAGGTTATTCACAAATGTCTGACAACGCTGGATGGATTTTGGGAGTAAAGAGGGTATCTATATACATATGAACTGTGTTTTCAAACTTTTGAGCAAATGAGGTTTAGCAGTGCGTGTAATGTGGAATGTGGCAAAGCAAGGTGGAAATGGGACGAACCGACAAACAAAACGTAGCAAGTTAAAGAGCAGAATGAGAATGTTGAATGTAAACGAAGAAATTGTGTGGTTATCGCACGTTGTGCATGTTGATCAATGTAGCAGGTGGGTTGAAGTCTTGTATAGAGTGTGATGGAAGTCTTGTGTACAGTGTCATGGACGTGCTGCGTATATCGAGGTAGAACTGTTATGTAGGAAACTAGTGTACGTAGTTGGGTACATTCCTCACATGGAGTGTGAGTGGGATATTGGACTGACGCGAACGGCACGTGATAGCGAGAAGGGTCGCTACAGACGACGACGAGGTTGTTAAGGGTTCATATATCCCTAATCATCCTTGTTCCGCTTTGCGGCGTCTGATGTCTCGTCTTCTGAGTGCCCAAGGCGCAGAGCAAAGACATACCCATTTATGGATGAGAATAGCTCATGACTATCCAGACGGCCAAGCTGACAATCAAACACGACGGTACAAAACGGTAGATTGTCAAAATAACATTGGGTATCTGAACGCCAAAGCGAATGCAACCAAAACACCTCTCATACCCAATAGACTCAAACGCCAGATCCCAGCCAAAAGAAGATTTCACTCGCTACACACTTCTTCACCATCTCGTTTCGCCAATCCATACTCTAACGAAGACATCTCTAATCGATATACCTTCTCCACCCATTCGTAACAACACACTTCTTGCCTTTATCATCAGGACCCACATGGAATCTCTCCCACCGCGCATCCTGCCCAGCACCGATAACAAGAATAGTCTCGTCATTCAACCACCCAATGAGGCCTTTTGTTGGACGCCCCCCAGGCACACCGGGTATCCCAGCACTAAGTGTTGCAGACCTACCATGCGGCCCCCAAGCAGTCGGTTCATCGCCCATTTCGAACTTGACAGTCGCAGTCGGGTACGTATCGGAGAACTGGCGGGGTAGCAAAGGAATCTTGGAAAGGATGCCGTACTTATGCTGACTGGGATCGGCGTTTGCGGCAGCTGTTGTTGCGGTGACGAGGGCGTAGATATGGAGTGTCGGTTTATCGGACGTGACAGCAAGGGTCGAGCCGTCGGGCGAGAAGGCGAGGGAGAAAATGGCAGCGGGGGCGACGCCGCGGCGCAGCTCAGCGAGCTTTGTGCACGAGGGAAAGGACCACAGGCGTATCAGCGTGCCCTGCTCACTAGCCGTAGCAATGAGATCGCCTGCCCTGCTTATCCCGATTGCGCGCAAGGGGCTTTCGTGGGCCGGGATGATACTGACGTTGCCCGTGTTCAGATCGTAGATCTTGACTTGGCCTGCCGCTCTGCCAGGGAATGCGACGATATTCGTGCCTAGCTCACACAGCCCGAACGGGTTGTTGACTGTCTCGTATTCCGCGATTTTGGCTAACGGTACCTTCATCTTGTATATGCATATCGAGTTCAGCAAGGCGACAATCATGTGTGTCTGGCTGAGGCGCACGCGCTGGACCGGCGTCTTAAATTCGACCGACGTGGTGAAGCGTTCCGTTTTATCGTTCCAGATTTGGACCTCGTAGATGATGTCAGTGTCGTTGACAAGAAGCCAGTCGGAGTCGCCAGGAAAGCTAACCTTGTTCTGAGGGTACTTGGGCTGCTTCCCTCCTCCGACTAGGGCAATGTAACTCTTGTTGCCGAGCATCTCTGCGCAGCCGATGCCGCCGCCGACTTCTACGGCCATGTTAGCATGCTGCAGTCGCTAGGGCAGTCTTTGTCCGCGCGTCGTCAATACCTCTGGCGATCTTCTCCTCGCATGTTGTGGAGGAGAATACGCGGAATCCCGTCTCCAAAGCCACCGAGAAGTGAGAGCAGTCGGCGTTGAAGGATGCCGAGAGGACAAAGGGCCCTGAATCCGAGTCTAGAATAGGTCGAGTATTCATGTTGGGCGCAGCAAAGAAATGAGATGTTTGTGGATAGGTTTCAACCGCTGCGATACGCAAGTGGGGCGTCTTGAGTTGCAATGCGGAGTTGGGTGGAGTGTTGGGCCGGGGAGACTGCGACGGGGATGATGTGGCCAGCAAACGATGCGAAAGGCGCTATCGCGGGGTCCAAAAGTGTGGCAGACCCATTTTCTCAGCAGCGACTGAGGCAGAGGCGAGGATAGTGAGGAGCGGCGAGAAGGTTGGTCTGGGAGAGATATCGAGGGTCCACAGCTCCCCAAGCTAGGTCATTTACCATGTCATCCGCCTACAGGCGCGGGTGCTTGGCACTGGAGCTGCGGGAGCTTTTCCACTTGTGACTAGCGTGGCTTTCTGGGTCTGAGATAGATATCCAACGATGCTTTTGGGCAGCATCAATTCTGATGAGATGCGGACACCGATTGATTCCCCCGAGGACCATGTGCACATCTAGGGAAGTGAATCCAAAATTGTTCATTACACGATTCCGAGGATCGTGGTGGACCCTGAGAGGAATACCCCGCGAAGTACCAGCGGCAGCGCAGCTGCCTAATCGTGTTCAATTACTACTACATGGTACCTGAACCAAGTCCAGGTAAAGAAATCTGGCCTCTCGTGGTTAAGCGTGTAATGGTGATTGAGTCTACTACTCGTTGTTGTATATCTTGCCAAAAGCAGACGCGCCAGGTGGTCGCGCCAAGAAGGAGGTACGACCGGGGGGTTGTACGCTAGCGAGCCCCTTTGCATCGCGCAGGGAGTAGCTGCCAACGTCCCCAAATTTCCACGACGACACCGCTCCAACACAACACCACAGACATACGCCCCGTCTCACCTCCAAGCAGTCTCGCCTCCACGCCTGGCTGTCTCAATTGCGTCTACTCGCCGCCTCCACCACCACCACCACCCAGCACATTCCCCAACCCCGAGTTCATCATGTCTTCGGTACGACGCTCCCCGATACCACGTCTCCCTCAGGCACACGATGCCGCCCTACCCACCACAACCACACTTGCCATTGACCACGACGGCTAACAATGTCACAGGCGCTTAACAAGACGCGCAGAAAGAAGAATGTCAAGAAGGGTATTCAGTTCTGCTTGATGGTCTGTGGTGCCTCTGGTACTGGCCGGACAACCTTCGTCAATACCCTCTGCGGCAAGCAAGTGCTCGGACACAAGGAGGTTGACGACCCAACAACCGCACACGTCGAGGAGGGCGTCAAGATCAAGCCCATCACAGTCGGTACGTGGCATTGATGGCCATGGCATCGTCGCGTCGGCTGCTAACAAACATCAGAACTCGACGAGGAAGGCACCCGCATCTCGCTCACCATCGTTGACACACCCGGTTTCGGAGACCAGATCGACAACGAGGCCAGGTAGGCATCTTCCGCAAGCTCTGTTGACACACCCGCTCACCACCCCGCAGCTTCTCAGAGATCGTCGGATACCTCGAGCGACAGTACGACGGCATTCTCGCAGAGGAATCGCGTATTAAGCGTAACCCCCGATTCCGCGACGACCGTGTACACGTCCTGCTCTACTTCATCACACCCACAGGCCATGGGTATGTGTGTCTCACCGCTCAATCAGCTTCCGCTAACAACAGCTAGTCTCCGTGAACTCGACATTGAGCTGATGAAGCGTCTGTCGCCCCGCTGCAACGTCATCCCCGTCATCGGAAAGGCCGACTCCCTCACACCCGCCGAGCTGGCAGAGTCGAAGAAGCTGGTCATGGAGGACATTGAGCACTACCGCATCCCCGTGTACAACTTCCCCTACGACATTGAGGAGGACGACGAGGACACGGTCGAGGAGAACGCCGAGCTTCGTGGCCTGATGCCGTTCGCCATTGTTGGATCCGAAGACATTGTTGAGATCAATGGCCGACGGGTACGGGCACGTCAATACCCCTGGGGTATCGTTGAAGTGGATACCCCCCGCCACTCCGACTTCCTCGCCGTTCGAAGTGCTCTTCTCCACAGCCATCTTGCCGATCTCAAGGAGATTACGCATGACTTCCTATACGAGAACTACCGTACCGAGAAGCTTAGTAAGAGTGTCGAAGGTGGTGCTGCTGCGTAAGTCTGGCGTCTGCTCTGTTCTGACATGGATACTAACACTCTACAGTGACTCATCGATGAACCCTGAGGATCTCGCCAGCCAGTCAGTGCGCTTGAAGGAAGAGCAACTGCGACGTGAAGAGGAGAAGCTGCGCGAGATCGAAGTCAAGGTCCAGCGCGAGATCAACGAGAAGCGGCAGGAACTCTTGGCTCGCGAGAGCCAGCTCAAGGAGATCGAGGCCCGCATGAACAGGGAACAAAGCGGCCAAATGCAAGACCACGACGCAGACGAGGCCTAGGCCATGTTGATGCACCTCTAGCTTTGTCGTCAAAGAGTGTACTGGTCATCATACACCACAGTTGCGGGCGTTTGTAATAGGTGGCTTGTGCAACGCCGACACGGAAGGAACATGGTCGGATGCCGCGCGGGCTTCAATTTCTTCTTATCTGGGGGCCTTTCCAACCTTTAACCGACAGTCTTGGATCACACTTACGTGGCTACAATACTGTCTAGACATGACACTGAAGCTTCTCGTATGTTTTCTTAGCTCCTTTTTCGATAACTTATTCCCCCGATCTTTTTTGGTCCTTTCATGTAGGAAGTAGTAATTAAACATTCTAATATCATGTCGGTGGTCGTCGATGTCGTCGTTTCTCTCTTTACGACTAATGTGATACCGTTCCTTGCGTAGTGTCAACCATGATTAGACAGGCTGAAGATGCGTGCCGCGCCTGCCACAACTGCACCTGCCTTGGACGTTTTTGGAAGCTGGATGATGCCGCTCTTCCCGACCGTGGCTCCATGTCCAAAGCTCCAGAACCGCCTTTTCCGCATGATCGAAGTAGCTACTTGGGCGCCTTGAGCGACACCACTCTTTCGGCCTATGACCAAGCGTTTTCAATTCGAGAGCTGCGTTTTCCGCATGACGGAAGCAAAAGCACTGTGACACGGCACAGTCAAGCTCTAGCAGACGCATCCTCTGTGAATTCCTTATGCTGTGCTTTCTTCATGCATGCTTGGGCGTCTCAAATGACATCGCTCCTTCTGATCGTGGCCGAACTGTTCGATCCGGAGACCCACGTATTCTGTACCATTGGACAAACAGCGCTCGTCACGTCATGTTTTACACTCACCTGCAAACGCACCAGCGCCATCGCCTGAATGCATCTGCTATTGACTCTCGGTATGGTATCAACCCGTCACCCTTCCAAGCGCTCTACTATACTAACGCCCACACCACAACGAGCATCGTGTGATGCCCGCGCCCCACGCACAAATCACGAAAGCACCTATCACGTCGGGTGCGAGTCTTCCGGAAAACCCGTCTTTCGAAGGCCACTCATTCGTGCTTTCATCATGCATGCTTGGAAACATGCTGGTACTCGCTCATCACTGCGTAACGTGGCGATCACTTTACTCTCATGGCCCGCATCTCTCGCGAGATCATGTCGATGGCACTCATCTCGTAATATCCAGGCTGGAATTGTCCAGCGATCGCATCCGTCAGCGAGCACGTCGAGCGATCTCGCTCCTTCCAGATCACAACTGAACTGCTTGAACTTCACAACCGCGCCTCCCGCACGATTGATCATTGGTGCCTCGCACGTCATGCTTGAAACTTCCAACCAGGGCATTCGCAAGGGTTACTCACCTGGTCGTTCAGATTCCTATCCTGCTGCATGCTTGGGCACCTCGATCAGCATCACTCGTTCCTATCGTAACCGAACACCGGAAACTCAAAACCCGCGTTTTCCGCGGAATCAATGTTCCTGGTGCGTCATGCTCCAATCGTTGAGACAAAACTTTCAGCTGACGCATCCTCCGTTGGTCGTGTTGAGGTGGACAGAGATGTGGCGCCTGTACGATATTTGTCTCTTCCTACACAACCGCGCATACATTACAACCTCGTGGTGCGGACAGCAGCGTAACGCGGCTCGCTGTGAACCAATCTACGGACTGGACTTGCCGTTGACTGCGTCTTTCCATTGCCGGAGTATGACCCCCAGCACGACACTCCTATCCAGCGTCTTCCCGCACTCTCGCACCCGTACCTAGACCTCAATACACAGAAGATACGCTAGACTAGCTTGCTGCTCACATACCGATCAGCTTCGCAATATTCGTCCGTATCCAGTCGGCAATTTTGGTCGTGCGGTTTTCTTTTTCCCAGTAGCGAGCTATTCTGAGCAAATGGGCGGGACGCGCGACCGTTGCCCTGAGGTGTCCGTATCAACGCTATTGGCCAGTGATTACTGAATTAGATCCTTTAGGATTGACAAGGTGTAGCAGTGACATGTTGTCTCTTGCAGTCTAGGCTGGGTGGACGGCACAATCACGAGAGTGAAGCCCGCTAAACCAACAGGTCCCTCTGGATCAGTGCCGGCCGACTTGAGAGACACTCTTGGAATGATAGACCGCACCGCTGGAGTTCCGAACCATGTCCGAGAGCTTTTTTCAGAGAGCCGTTCGGGAGATGCTGTACTGGGTTTTCGCACCTAGCACATCGACTTGAGCTTGGGCAGAGCTTGGGCAAGGCTCGTCTCCAATCACGATTACACGTGAACCACGATACTGATGGCTCCTAGATTCGCAGACATACCCTGCAATCCAAACATACTTTGCCACTGCGTGGCCAATAGCATGACGGTTTCCGCAGATTGCAGGTGGGATTTCCTGGCTGTTCTGCTTAGCACGCCATAGCGGTTTTGAACAAGGCTTTTCGTGAAATATCATCATACTTCGGCCGGTGGCCTTGGCTGGTTACACTGTTGCATATACCACGCACTCAGGTTTTATCCTGATTCCGCGTTTACCGGCAGTGCTATGACAGAGCTTGGTCAACGCCTATCGTCAGTAACCATTGCATATGATCGGCGCTATGCCGTACGTACATGTATACACATACGCCCTGCAGTCCGAATGTACCTCGCGTCCGCGTTTGCCGACGAAGCTGGAACGGAGAAGACCGCGAAAAGCAACTTCTGCAGTCAGCTCTAGGCCTTCTACCCCAGGTCTATCTCCCTCTACGCGATCTTCCCGCACCGGTCAAATCCTGCGCGTCATGATGGCGGTTCGTAGCGACCCTTTCCAAGCCTTCTCATCGGTGAAGTCTGCAAGTGCCGACGCGCCTTGCTCTCGCATTTTCCCTTTCGGCTTCTAGTCTTGCAGGTCTATTCACAGGTAGCATCGCGGGCGCATCAAAGAAACTATATTGTTGTAAATGTGTTGATAGCGAGCTGGGCTGGTCGAAAATAAAGAGACAAGATGTGTATGACCATTGCAACGAGTTCTAACGAAACTCATTGCAGTAGTTTCTACATACGGCCGCGAACTAGACCCTCAACGGCTCCAGGCGCTCGTCGGAAGACCATCGTTTCTGCGGAGATTCATGGATTTTCAATCTAGTGATCGGAATATGCCAGGGTTTAGCTTGCTTTCCATTGCTGACATGCCGGATTTATCCCTGGTAACTCGGTTGTGGGAAACGTTTAGGCATAGCGACCCAAGCCAAGACAAAGGTATGCACGTCTCGGCGCTTCAATGTTGATTGAGGTCAGTTCTAGGTCATATGCATCCACTCCGTCTCCGATCAGGTTGGATACTTTGACCCCGACCACGTCAACGGCCTGACCTTTGGCCGGAGAGACGTTTCGAGACTCTGAGATCGTCCAGGTACTGGCGTCTTCCACGTCAACGGTGGAGACGTCAGTACGCTTCGAATCAGATGTCTCCGATCTCTCCCCTCAGCCTCCGTTTGTGTATCACATCATCAGGGCGTTCCATGCATACAACCTTTGATAAAATGCCGCAGCCAGTCATGATCCAGTGATATACTGTCTCGGCGTCGGTCCGTTCGCACATCTTCGTATGCGACATCGGCATACCGAAAGTTGCCGGTTCTTGATTGCCATGCTCTGCGACCCCTCTCACCGTTCATGGCCTGGGTGCCGGACTCGTGGCTCGACGACATTGGCCTCGTTCTTCCCAGAATGTCGACTGATTCTCCAATTCGTGTGGGTCCAGGAGCAGAGCCGAAGCGCAACTATCCGTCCATGTCTCCGTGCTGACCATCATGGACGGATAGGTATAGCGATGCGGATGTGGCTAACCGTTGCTGCAGCACGCCGGATGTTACCCCGATGCGGAGTGTCTTTCGTTCGTTCTAGCAGAAGAGGGCTCGTTGAGACGTTATGAATGTGTGCAGATGCGTGAGACTCGCAGATGTCCTGGTCTATTATGCAGTGCCGTCCCGGCAACGAATCCTGCATATGCTCATGGTTCGACAAAACGCCACAACCAGATGGCGGCAACTGCGGCGGGGGACTTTGACGCGTACAACCACAACGTCGACCCATATGTTATCTCGTGTTCGCGGAAAAGAGCGCAGAGAACGTGTTCTCGACCAGCGTACATAACCGACGTGTTTGTGTGTGAAACGTATGAACCGAAGTTCGTCGATCTATAGAGCGTTTGGTTCTCTGGCTTGCGTGCATGGCGCACGCCCTAACCCCACCTTTTCCCAACGGTTCCACTTTATCGCCCTGATCCGGCTGGAGATGGACGGCCATTATCATCATAACCGCGCACTGCGCGGCTGTCGTTATTATGTTCGGAGCTGGCGACGCAATGACTCTAGGTATTCTTTGGGACCGAGGCGGCGATTTGCCGGTTCAGCTGGTCCCTAACGACCCACTGCCTATCAGGTGCCGCGAAAGCTTCGAACCCTATCGTGCCTCGAGGACTGGCCTTCCTGGCTGCGCGGCCTAGCTTAACAGCATGTGCACTCAATTTTATGCCGCATCTACATCACTTGCGGGCATGTAGTAGTTAGCTAGTCGCACTTGCAATCTCGGCCATCACTCCATCGTCAGCTACTGCAGACTGCTGCGAGCCGCCAGGAACCGAAGACTAGGCACACGCTCGGATGGGGAAAGCAGAGCCTCCTGCTAGCTGAATCTAGTTGCACTGTATACAAGATCGAATCACAAAACCGATTGACGCCATCTTATGCAGGCGGGGTCCCACCTGCGTGGTTCGGGAATGCCAGGTGATGCAGGTCTCAACACAGCCGCCAACCGCACGTCAGCAACCCACCTTCAGAGTTTTCAGGAACGTCCTGCGATCTACTGGAGTGGCATGACATGCGCCCGCCAACCTCACCGGACGAGCCGAATTATCAAAACGAAAAATGACGAACTGTGCTCACAGCCGCAAAGGCATGGTGTTCGCGTGAGCCGCCAGGAGCGCGACGGGAGCCTAAGCATCGACCACATCCGGAAATATCTCTACAAGGTTACTTATTGGATGCAGATTAACTTTACCCTCTTTGATATGCATTACTCCGTAGTATACAGACCCGTCCCGATTGTGAGCGATTGGGTTCACCAAGTTGCCACTCTATGTTCTTTCTTTGACGCTCGATGCAGGGACCCAGCTAACCTACCGAGCCCTACATGCAGCGACAACTAGGGGTTTCGTCACCCCCCCTCCAACGCGTCTGCATCGAGATGGAGTGGACCCATTTCCTGAAAGCGACGATAGATGCAGTCACATACAAGTCTAGACTCGCCAATCGGGTCGCAGATCGGCCTGGGGATGGATAAGTATCCCTGCCCACACTAACTCAGCCACCCTTCTTACCGAGTACTAACAAGCTTGTCGCTCCTCGCTCTTGAGCGGCGGAAGCAGGGGCATAAGTTCCCCGAAGAGCTGAAATCTCACTAGCTGCCTAGTCTAAATCGCTCTATCGAAGGACGATTGTGCACTGGTAATGACACTCGCCGACTATTCTTGCACGCGACTGTCGCGGTAGAGCTAGTAAAATGCAAGACCCTCTGACAGCTCCGTCATCACGCACAACATGTTGCCTGATACTGGTGCTGGTGCAAATGCGGGTACCACTTTTTGCCTTCGCCTGGGTGCTGGCGTAACCGGCTCGTCTATCATTAGTTGGAGCTTTCTTTTGTACAACCTGCTCGCTTCCTCACCTTACCATTGGTGACATCTGTATCGCTACTTCTTTCCACCTTTACCTGCTGCACGTCAAACCAGGTACTGGAGCGACTGTACGTTTGCTGCAACGTGAAACGCCACCGGATCGCGTAACTCCTAAAGTTCTACACTTCTTTTTAGACTGGCATAGTTGGACGATCCTACATCTTGTCTTACTTGAGCCCTTCTCCTTCCTCTGCGTTCAGTCTTCAAAGAAGCTCCATACCCTTCTACACACACACCTATTACCGTTATCCGACACACAGTAATAGCCGCTCCTCCAAAGCCATGGACAGACCACAAGTCTCAATACCACCTGTAAGTAATCCCTACCATATCGCATTACAGCCTCACGTATACTGACCCGCAAACGCTAGGCTGCGAATATCCTTGGTGTACGTTTCTCCACTTCACCCACGTTCCCCGACTTGCTTGCTTGAGTCATGATACTGACATACGATCTTCTCGTTCTGTAGACCCTCGGCACTGGTAAGTAACCCCGAGAACTTTTTGTGGCTAAAAAGAACCTATGCTAACTTGAGTAAAGTGTATGTAAACCCCCCACGTCAAGCCCTTGGCTAGAACAAGGTGGTTGCTAACAGTTGATTGCAGTTGTTGGTGTATACAAATCATCCCACAGATATGGACAAACTGGCGGCGGAAGAGCACAGAAGGCCTTCCTGGCACCATGCTCATTCTCTGGTCGATATGTGAGTTTCCCCCGCCCCCCCCCCCTTCCTGCTCATCCTCGACCGAGGTACGGAGAATTAAGCTGACCCAAGAAACTACAAAGGCGGCGTGCCATTTGGTGTCTACGCGATTGTTCAGAACTTCAACTTTGCTCTCAAATTCCAACCCCAAGCCTTCGCCTCCCTCACCTTAATCGCATGGGGTCAAACGCTCTACTACCATAACAAATGGCGTGTCTGGACCGCTACTCTTGCGACCATTGCTCTGGCTGCTAGCTTCGGTATCATGGAGCTCATTCTCATTCTCACCCTGCGTGGGCCATATTCCCGAGGCGTCGAATGGCCTATGATGTTGATGGCTATCTCTGCATCCGTCATCCAAGTCATCGGCCTCATTCCTCCGTATTTTGAACTCGCGAAGAGAAACGGTCGCGTTATCGGCATTGGTGAGTAACTTGCGCGCCTTTTTGCTTTATCCTCCTCCTCCGTCTCCCCGGTACGTCGAAGCGCTTGTACTGACGTGTTTGTTTCTGCCAAACAGACTTTTGGTTCCTGACCATCGACTACCTCGGCGCCTTCTTCTCCCTCATGGCTGTTGTCGCACAACAGTGGTTCGATGCCCTCGGCGCCAGTCTCTACATCGCGTGCATGGCCCTCGAAACCGGTATTTTCGTTTCCCAGGCAATCTGGCTGTGGCGCGTACGCCATGTCCGCAAGGAGGCGAAGAAGGCGGGTAAGACGTACGATGAGTATGTCAAGGATAACCAAGGAAAGAAGTTGCCGAGGTGTGGAAGTGAGGAGACATTCGTCGATGTTGAAGCGGGTGCCGAAGGCGTAGGATGTGAAAAAAAGACGACGACGATTGGAGGCGGGGAGTATGATGCAGGCAATGAAAAAGCCGACGTGAAAGCTTCCACGACACGAGAGGAAGGTCGCGATATGTTGGCGGCGGATGCGACACCTACAGCGACATCGCCATCGACACCGACTCTGATATTTGCATCGATGACGAGCGCGACATCGTCCGAAACACTCCAGACACCACCGGCTGCTGTCTTGAAGTCCAGCACATCTAGCTGATCGTTGTCGTTCCACTTGTTTTCTCTCCTTTTTTCTGATCGTCTTGGCTGCTTTGCGAAGAGCGGCAGGTTCCTCTCTCTCTTACTTCATGTCCCCTGTACGATACCTCATGATGCGACTACGGTGCATAATATCCCCCTTTTATTTCTTTTCCTCTTCGTCTTCGACGAGTAAAAGCTCTGCCTTCTCCTCTGGCAGGAGATCAAAAAAGCTGTTTTCGGTTTGTCCTCTTATTATAAAGGTCGTCGTTGATTGGGCGGACATCTTTCATTGGCTTTCTGGTGGGAGGGCTAGGGAAAAGCGGGGTGCGGGATGGTATGGCATGTCACGGCTTGTACGAGTAGGAGTGCATGACTAATAACACGGTTACTCTAACACTGCACTATCGTCATGCAAGCTAGTGAAGTGTACTCTCCCAGTATGATATCGAAATAGCTTACTCATGTCGCGACTCTGCCATATAGGTTCCTCACATCAAGCTGACACAGTAGTAAGCGACCAGAACCCATAATTGAAAGCATTGTTCAAGGACCATCTACACTACTCTTTTTCCATCCGAGCCTTGCCTCGCTGCTCCTTGTTCTCAGGACCAGGACGGTTAGTAGACACGGTACCCTTGAGTTTGGCAGTTTCAGCAACACCTTCACCCTTCTTGCTCATCTCTGGCTGCTTGGAGATTTGAGAGCTATGGTGAGTGTTCCCATTGGAAAGACCCTCCTGCTTTCCAGACATGTAGTTGAAGCTCCTGGGCTTTCCACGAGGATCGGCCTATCGGTAATTAGCATTGGTAACAAAAGAGGGGGAGAATATGTTCTTCGAACGAACCGGATCAGCCTCGTCTGGGGATATCGCGCCTGGGTTCATGGCTTTTGAGGAGTCTTTTGATGAATGGCCTCTCAGGCCTATATCATGGTCGGGCCTGCCAGCACCTGGTGCGCTGGGATCGTCCCCCTTCGTGATCCTGTGGCTGCGCATGTTTTCGTCATTCTCGCCTACCAACTTGCCAGGCTGTGTCGGATGCGCCTGGAGATTTGCTTCATGGTCGCGATGCGACAAGGGACGTAAGTCGTTGCTGAGAGCGAGATAGATACCGCCGACAGCCAGACCAAGACCTGCCATCCTAGAAATATACGTTATTTGAAGCTCAATTACCATTGCAGCTTTCAGTTCATGCGAACTGTTACAACGAGTTAAACGTACACCGTCACATCACTGGTCTTTGCTTCAGGGTTACTGCCCATGCTGCCTATTGTCCTACGTTGAGCACCATTTTGCGATGGATGGAATCGGAAGCTACGAGGGCATTTCGTGGCCTGTCTGGTGTTTGCAGCGGAGGCCGCACGTAGCTTTGCAAAGCGAAGTGGTTGCATTGTGAATTAGAGGTAGGTGTTGATTGAACTGAGCATGGCGGAATGATTGGTAGTTATCTTGGTGATATTTTGAAACTTGGTACTAGCTACATCAAGTTATCGTCAGAGCGCGACAGATCATGCGTCATCGATTCACCGGAGTTATCGCCGTCAACTTGGTAAATTAACAACGCAGCACGGGCGTCACTGAGCACCAGAAAACGTGACTGTTTGGGATTAGATGGTCAATTGAGGCTTTTGGGTGCATGTAGACGTATGTCTGTTGGGGGGTTGGAAACTGAAGTGCAGGTTAGGGTAGTGGTTACGTCACATGTCGTTCACAGTGAGCCAGCAACGACGAGCTACCGACTCACCACATCTAGAACTTATACAGTATCCATGCAGAGGAATACTTCTGAAGGTGGAATATTGCAGACCAAGAAACACATGTCGACTGGTGGTACTGTGTCCAACAAGCCACCTCGGGAGCGAATCACAGAAGCGAGCTAACCAGCCGTCACACGCGACGCATGAACACACGCTTGAAAAGCAACAACAAACTTCCTATCCATCCAAACAATCTCATCCTCAAGAAACTTCCTTTTCGGTGGTCGATCTGACATTGATGCAGGCTAACATGATATTGTCTGAGCAGTATCTCCCTTGCACAACGCTCCATGCTTTACGTTACGCCGACGACGCGGCGACTTCCCTTCCACAGCGCCGTACTCCTCCAATAGATGCGAAATTCTAGCATTTGAAGAAATAAAGTTGCGTCTTCTGATCGGAGGTTGAGCGTCTGTGTCTCTTCTGTGACTCCTTTTCGCATCGGTTATGAATCTTTTCCTGGAAAACCTTTTTGGTGGATTCCAAGACGAGCCGCATTTCGTAGTCAACGATGCGTTTTCCATTATATTGCGCATCTCTCTCGACGAAAGGGCATACACCACCCCTGTACTGGCTTCGTATCGTGGGCAGAATTAGCTATATGTGTGTATAAATCAGTGTGCATTCGCCTGTATTGATCCTTCACATATACTTGGCACAACTTGGCGAGTTGAGCGAAGCGCAGGCACGTCTGCGGTCAATCAGGACTAAGCCTGATGCTGATTGGGCGGTGTCATCCTTCTTGGCTCTACCACGCCCTATTGTTCGTTTCCTGCTAAGCGAGAAGGTGGGCCTAAAGAAACGGAATGTCGTGCTTTCTAAGTATTTACAGGTAGTTCGTATTTAGCTATTATAACATGAAGACCCTACGTCTTATCATCGATCTACAATCACGACTATCGATTTCTGTACTCCCGTTCAACGATACCCTAGCCTGAGCATCAATTCATCACCATGACTTTACACGAACTTCGCCTTTTTCACTCCCCAGGTTCGTGCAGTACAGCGGCCCATGTTTTGCTGGAAGAATCCGGACTTCCTTTCTCGACCGAGGTCATCAATGTCATGCAAGGCTTCCCCGCTGAGTTCCTCCACCTCAATCCAAAAGGCCGAATACCTTTCCTGCATATGGACGGCGAGACAATCACCGAGATGCCAGCCATCATGACCGCCATCGCGCAACTGGTTCCCGATAAGAAGTTCCTTGGAAGCACGAATCTTGATATCGTGCGCTCTTATGAATGGTTCAACTTTCTTGCCGGAGATCTGCATGCGCAGGGCTACTTCACCTTTTTTCGTCCACATTATTTCATCGACGACGAGACCGTACACGACGAGATACGTGAGAAGGGTCGTGGAAAGATTGAGAGGTGTTATACTATCATTGAGGAAAAGCTCAAGGACGTGCATGCAGTGGGGAATGCGTTCTCGGCTGTCGATGCGTATCTCCTGCCGTTTTATCGCTGGGGCACTGCGAACGAATTTGCGATGAAGGTAAAGTATCCAAAGTATACGAAGCTTGTGGAAAATTTGGCGGGGATGGAGAGTGTGAGGGCTGTGTGCGAAGTGGAGGGGATTGATCCGATGTTCGGGAGGCGACCGCAGTTGTAAGTCAGCACGATCGAAACCCGAGATTATGTATCATTGATCAGTATCCGACAAACGATTTGTAACCTTACAATCTATGGTATCCTCTGGATTGGTTGAGGACATAAAGCTTCTTTGCTTTACTGAGTAGGCTCGAATTGAAATACCGGTGAAATAACGGAACTCGCTTCGAGAAAAGCTTCCGTTCCGCTCATTGTGAAATGTTTAAGTCACTGTGAAATGCGGGGAAAACGGTCTCAGGTTCATGGGAAGCCGAGTCTTCGGACGTAAAATGGTTGAAAAACTTCAGGCGGTCTTTTCCGGAGGGCATGATAAACGAACTGTGTCTGGCGATGATGTTCGTGTATGCTGAACCTGCGGAATTGCCGCGCGCCTCCAAGATATAGAGACCAGGGTGCAGGTCCTATCCCACCTACTCGTGGCGGTAGACAAATTACAAGAAATACACACGTGTTGACCAATCGTTCTCTTCTAATTCGGATTACATCTGCCGTCATCCGCCGCGAATGGCCTGATATGTGCGCACCAAGCTTATACATAATGCGCGTCGTGTAATGCGGGGCTTAGCTATGCGACAGCTGATAGTATGATGTGGGGGTGTCAACGTGGTGGCACAACGAACGCTACAATCTTTGCTGATGCGTTGTCTATCGCGTTGTCTACCGCAATGTACTTGCAGGCTGAACCTGGTCAATGATGCTACACCGGGTGTGACTGTTCGCCAATCATGGCAAGAAGTCGAGTGTTATCCGGGTAAGTTGGCGCGGACGAGCGACGTGGGATAGACGGGGTCCAATAACAAAAGGAATCTCACCAATCGACGCGTTCATTCGTGTGCATGCCAGCGGGCCGCAGCGGGAGCTACTTAACAGCCGGATAGCCGTCCGTCGCTCTTGCGCTGTTCTAAAGCGCTCAAGAGACGGGCTATAGGTGGTTCAAGTCTGGCATGTGCTGAGCAGTTCCGATTTACGGGATTTAACTGACGTATCAGAAGACTTCTTGATGTGGAGTGACGATCTAAACTATGCAACATGCACGAGCGCGGTTTGCAGTCCAATAGGTAGATGCCACGTTGACCCGATGATCTTGTTTTGAGCATCGTACAGCCTTCGCGTACATGATATCCTATTGCATCGTTCGCAGCAGCAACTAGTCTCAAGCGGGTCGCGGTTTGTAGCGGCAGATCCCAGTACAGTTGCAGGCGCCGTGCATATAAGCGCTGCTACCGTATAAACATGCCATACGCACGAAGCTCAGCATATCCAACTGCATGGATTCACCGGAATGCTTCATTGAAGGTACTGCAGTCTTGATGATTTGTTGGTGGTTGATGCTGTTATCTCTGAGGACAGAAATCGCATTGAGTACTTGTCAAAGCCAATGAGATTTTCATCTTGTACACCATCAGTCTGCGTACGTACCGCTGCCTCATCTGATCAAGAGAAATGTCAGTAAGTCGCAGCACTTGATAGGGCGATCGATCGAGTGGTCCTTCCTCTAGCGTCCACTGACGTCGCTGTCACGCCCCACATTGTGGCATAGTTGATTCAACAAGGCTGTGCGCTCAAAGTATCTATAAGTGGATCTCAGACGACTTCCAAGTTCAAACATCACTAGATCCATCATAGGCCGGTAACATCATGGCCAAGGAACCAAGTTTAGGCCACGCGAGAGCTGATTCAGCCATGGACGAAATTGACCCGACCACAAAGACTATCATCACGGCACAAGAATTCTGTAGTGCTGTGTCTTCTTTCGCATCTCATGACAGTTTCAAAGCACTCACAGAGGTTCTTGATCTTCTGCCGCAGCGAGAGAACGATATCATATCACGAGACAATACAATACGAGCCTTGAAGAATGAGTTAGCTGCGAAGAAAGAACTGCACAAAGGACATACCCAACAATTAATGTCAGATCTCGAAGATAGATTTAAAAGTTGGATCTTGGAGAAGAAAGAGCTCGAAAACGAGGTGAAAGAAGTGAGAGACATGTCTGACGCAAAGGACAAGGCATTGGAATTGCTTCGAGAAAATCTGGAAACGAGCAGATCCAGAGCTGAAGATCTCGAAAGAGACATTGCTCAAAAGACTACGAGGCTGAAAGAGATGATCCAACAGGTTAGTGTAATGGAAGGGAGGCTGCAGACGATGCAAGTAGACAAGAAAAATTATCTCCAAGAGGCAGAGAGATCACGCAGCGAGATCGATGCGATAAAAAAGTCTCTAGAAGATAGTGAGAAGATGAATCAGACCCTGGAGGAGAAATTCGCAAAAGCAAAGAAAACTCTCGACCATTACCTGCAGTATTCCGTTGAGATGAAGAAGTTAGACTTGTCAGAAACGTAAGTCGCTTGGACTGCTTGCAAGAAGCCCACTAATGTTCGATTGAAGAGCTGAAAGAATCGAAAAAATTTGGCAATCCTCAATAAGTTTGATCGCGGATTTCGCGGGTCAAGAGCTTCCAGAAGACGTCCTGCAGGTATACATCATCGTGTAGTAAGAACTGGTTGACATGATTAACCAAGGAACAGATTGATTGGAACGAGCTCCGCAAGAAGAACATGTTCAAAGACCAAATCCCGCTTCCTCGGACCAATTCTGATATCGCGAAGCTAATGCGAGTCGCGATGGTCGTCGAAGCCTTTGCAACGCTTGTTGATAGATTCGTATTCCAACCAACGTATTTACTAAACGAAACCAGCCGGCTGCGGGAGATCCTGTGTCAGCAAGCGAGTACCGATCCGGGCAGAGAAAGATTCGCTCGGGGTATCCTCCTTTCTATGTCTTCGGATTCGCAAGAGGTAAACAGCAAGGATGGGGAGGACGTTGTCGACTCGGTTCTAGACGAGTTGCTGAGGAATTCGATGATGCGGAATTTGTTCACCGCTGAAGATATTTCCTCCCTTGACAAAGAATTGACGGAGTTGGTAATCCAGTTCCAGGAAGAATGGGAGAAAGTTCAACGTGGCAAGCAGAAGCTCGAAGCGGATTTTTGCCATTCCAACTCGACCGACCATGCATGGAATGTTATCAGCATGCGTGCTACGAAATACAAAGAAGATCAACACAGCGAACTATTTTCCGATAGTGGTATCCACCAAGAGGATGATATCGTCATTGTTCCACAAGTCTACGTCATCATAAGGGGAGAGGAAAAGACAGCACTGACGCACGGTTTTCTCCTTCGAAAGGCTGACTCGGATGCTGCAAAGGACGAAGCTCGCAGAAATCCTCCAACAGCCACGTCTTCGCGCGCACCTCCAGGCCACCAGCGACGCAGGCGGCCATCCCAGACGACCACAGTGACTAGCCAAACATCATCAGGTCCCAGTAGACATAGAAGCGATCGTGTTGTATCTCGAGCTCGTGGGGTACTAGGTGTTTGATCGGAGTGAACGATGTATCGAGAGACCTGCGTCTCGGGCAGCGATGCAGAAGATGTTACTGAAAGCCAAGAAGCAACGGTAGGCTACTTGAGAAATTGTGCACCTTTGCGTACGATCTCGATCTCCTGTATGTGGGAAGGTTTATCGTAGGTATTTAATCTGCCTATAGAGCATTTTAGTCAGGAATGAAGACCCGGTTGTGAGTAACTATATGAATTGCTATATCGAAGGGTAACAACGCTGAGCTAAATCTGTCGTCATGCTTTCTTCTGAACAGAGAAGATAGAATGAATCACAACGCCGCTCTTATGGATCTGTTAAAAGACCTGGTACGCCTTTGCCTAAATATCTGAAAGTGTTTGACATATAACTATCCTTCAAACAGTGGCGCAGGCATACGTGCTCGAGATTCAAGCTATACAATGGCGAACAACAAGGTTCGAGATGTGTCACGGCTGAGCCCAAATATCGGCTCTATTGGAAACGAGCTAAAGCTGACAGGGTATCTTTCTTGGGTGATCATCCCACCTTTGTTGCACAATTAGGCGCAGAGTTCATGTCTGCATTGATCACTAAAACTAGAAACTATTGGCCGCTGCCATGAAACTGTCAAATCCCAACAAGTCCAAAGGCAAAGCGATTTCTGTTTGCATATCTGTGCTTAGCGTAACGGAGGTTGCACGCGGCCTGATGAGTGCACGAGGGTTCATAGACGCTTGACCGCTTACAGCCAGCTTGCCGATGGTCTGCGAACTGTCGCATACTTCTGCGAGCCATGCGCCCCCAGTATGCTTTAGCGACCTTGGAATTTTCCCTAAGGCTCGGGGACACCTTTGATCCAGACCTATGCGAAACGTCTTTTTGACGGTCGAGAACAAGCATGGCCGTTGGGCCACAGCTTCACACCATTTTCGTGTCTGCGTCCAGAGTCCCAACACGGAGAATTGTGCTGCGTCAACGCATGAGTAAAATAATTGCCATCTACCCCTCTGTGCAGTGAAGACGCTTGGTTAGCGTGCATCACAGCGCTGTTGTAGCAGATATTTGTCTCAGATCCGGTGGCGATCTGCTTTAGGTTTCCCGAAGCATCGGAAGATCTTCAAGAAATGAACCATCATTAGCGCGTGTGCATATCTAGGTGTGCTTGAATTCCGAGCCATGCAATGACAGAAACCATGCAAGAATGGCGTGAGTAGACATATATCGTCTAGTTCGGCTGTAGACGAACCACTATCAAACTATCGTAGTCAGTGAAATCTGATTACATACTAGCGAGTATATGGCGTTAGAGCTGCGAGTATTACTGGATTCTGATAGATGCTAGTAAGTTCTAGAAAAGGTCGCTGCCTGATAGCTTTGCGATATCAATAGCATTGGCCATCCTCTCGTACCCATTATTGTTAGGGTGAATCCCATCTCCACTGTCATATGCCGGGTCTAGCTTGGCTTCATCTGTCTGGGCGGGTAAAGTGGATGCCATGTCGAAGGTAGCGTCGAACAACTGGCTTCGCTCTCCGGACACCCAGGCGTTGACAATCTTCCGTTGCTCATTTTGTTCTTCTGTGTACCCGCCTGGTAGGATCGTAGTTCCGAAAACCTTTTGGTAATGCATTCTTGCATTATGGACGATTTGCTTGAACCCGTCGATAATGGATGCAGCATTGACACCCGCCCGCAAATCGTTCGAGCCAATGTGTAAGATGAGATCCGTTGCTCCGGATTGCGAGGCCAAATCCCATTCATAGTGTACAAGTCCGGCTTCACCAAGCATGAAATCAGGAATACGTACCCCGCCAAGTTGGCTAAAGTTTCGGTTGTCAGAGCTCGTGAGTTGATTTCCAGAGAGTCCTGCGTTGATGACTGCCATATACCGTGATCTACCTGCTTCTTCCAGACGACGTGCCATATAGTCAGGCTAGCGTCCATTCGTGTTTGGCGTCGATCCAGCTCCATCTGTAGTGGAAGATCCAAATGTCACCACAGCGTTCAAATGCGTCGATGGCAGTACATCAATGCCTGTAATAAGCCACCATGAACTTGTTGATAATGGGTACTCCATGGAAGAAAGTTCAGTGGGGAATTGAAACGGTTCCATTGAGGAGATGTACGAGGTTTGTGATGAGACCATATGACCCGTAAGAGCATCTCCCTTCTCAAGACGGAAAGAGATGGCGAGAACACTGGAAGCTTCAACATCCATGGAGACTGAATCACTGGTAATCTCTGCACCAGCATCCAGCACGACGTTCGTCCGCCCATTGAACATCAGCTGCACTGAATGGTTGCTAACCACAGGCCCATGATTAGATCTGGCAACGAAGACGTCCGCGAGCGTGACTGGTTCGTTTCCGTAGCGATTAGACAGCCGTAACCGAATGGCTTGACCAGAAGCCTTTAGGTGGACAAGTTGTCGGAGTCCACGGCCAGCATTCGTTGAGGCGCGGCGTACCACCCAGCAACTCAAGATTGAGGAGAATTTGCTGACATGGTCGAATCTCAATGCTGGAATGAAAATAATGGTGATATATCGCGGCTAGCAGGCGAGGATGCTATTGCAATGGGAGTGCCAAGTTTTAAAGTTAAGGAGAGAGTCTTTTTGACAAGCAGATAACGGTCGGATGTAGATCAAGAGCCGCGCTGCCGATGGAGAAAGACGCATTGCCGGTCGTAGCGGGAAGTCGTTGATCCGTTTCCGTCAAGCTAATAACGTCATGATATGGGTTTTACTTTCCGGTGTTGCTGGCTAGCTTAATTGTAGGGAGAGCTTTTTCAGAGTACCCTGCACGCTATCCGGCGCACCCCTTTGTCTCCTGAATGAATGCAAGCTGAATTGAGAAACTAAACTGGTTCAGGCGCGAGAAGCTCCTGGAGCGTTCAGCCACGCTTTAATCATCGGTTGCTGTAGAAGGCTGGTTCCTACCACTGCGATAACGCATCGGTGCCTCGGCCCCATGTCGGTATGCCGGAGTCAAGCACGTGGCATCTAACTGCCCTACCATGCCAACGGAACATCGATGCAATAGCTTCCGAAAGCTGAGCGCTGCTACTGTAGCGGAGTGTTCAGGTGTTTTTCATCGGAATGGGTGTCCGATGCAGATTAGTTGTATTATTATTATGTGTGTAGGTAGTTTGTATTAAATAAGTATCTTATGTGTTTGTTGTCGGAAGGCCTTCCAACCTTTTCCTTTCCTTCTTTCTTTTTCTCGTGTTCCTCTAATCTGATCGCCCTTGAGTCTTTTTAACTTCTATATTTCTCTACTAAACTATCTGTATTGATTTAGTGGATATCGACCTGGGAGAAGCGCAGGTGATGATTCGCTGCCGACTTTAACTTCATTCTTTCTGCTGCATCCTCTCAAGAAACTCCGCAGCCTCCGCAGCATATTTACAGCGCTGACGAATGGCAGGACCATACTTGTAGAACAGATAAGGAAAGGGTAAGCAAGCTAGCGACAAGAATGCCGGAATCGAAGATGCCCAATGTATGCCTAGGTTTTTGTACATATCGCTAGTAAACAGCGGGAATGCAGCGCCGAACAGCGACCGGAGTACTGAGTTGGCAGCAAGTGCAGATGCCGCGTAGATAAGGTATGCATCGATCAGGTAATTCATGATCGAAAGGAAGACAAGAACCATACTGAAGCCGAAAGGCACGCTCGCTATGATGCTGACAATCCAGTGAATACTCGGTCCGTTGGTCCAAGCAAACCAAAACAAGCCGATGGGCATGACGATTGAGCCTAGTATCGCGGGTGGAAGTCGAGCTTCTGGCGGGGCGACGCCACCAGGCGAAGCGTCAGCGACCTTGTTGTAGCGCTTGTTGTCCCATATCGAGTAGGCAGTCGCCAGAATCATGCCAACAGCTACACCCAAGAATGCGAGGCCACCAATGCCTTGAGACCAACCGCGACCTTGTTGGTAGACGATGGGGAAAGCGCCGAAGAGCATATAAAGCGTTCCATAGACGACGGCCATGTATAGGGATAGGAGGAGAACGATGGGTTCGCGGAATAGCAGTTGCCATGGACGAATGAGAGCGGTCTTGAAAGCCGTGCCGATAGATTTGGTGCCTTGATCGGCGTCGGATTTGCTCTTGTACACTTGTCCGGTTCGCTTCGAAAGGGCTACGGCACGCTTGCGAAGCAGGACTGGTGCATAGGTTTCGGGGATGAGAAGAGTGTAGAGGATCCAGAGAACACCAGTGAATATAGCCATGACGCCTTCGATCCAGCGCCAGCCGATGGTCTGGCCGACAAAACCACCAACTGTTGCGTGTCAGTCCTGTACTAAAATCTCGTCTCGGACCTTTGAAGCACTTACCAATTGGACCAATGACAGGTCCCAGCATCGGAGCAGCAGCGAAGAGACTCGTGGCTAGACCTCTCTGAGATGCAGGAAACATGTCTGCAATGACACCGCCAGCATTAGTCAATGGCGAGGAGCCAAAAGAACCAGCCAAGAATCTCAGGATAATCAGAGTCTCGATGTTCTGGGAGCCGGCGGCACCGGCGTTGAAGGCAGTGAGAAACATGTAGGTACCAAAGAACAGGTACTGACGTCCGTACAGTTCTGGGCAGTGTTAGCAACCTGCGAGTGCAACTTATGAATAGCGCGAGATACTTACCACTTAGCGGCGCCCATGCTAGCGGTCCTATAGCGAAGCCTAGGACGAATAGCGAGATACCCAGCGTACCGACGATCTGTGAAATTTGAAACTCTCTGAGGACCTCAGCAATACCGCCAGAGTATGCAGAAGACACAAAGGCTACCGCCAGCGTTGCGATTGCGACAAGTATAGTGATGCTCCATTTCATCGTAGTCGAGTAGTTCATCGGATTTACTGGGTCATTGTCGATCCAGGTGACCAGGAAGGGGTCATCTTCGGTGCCTGACCCCCTGTAAGGATGGTTGATGATATCGTCGTTGAGGGCTCCCTGGTCAAAAACCCGTTTGAGATGAGGAATAGGGCCAGAGCGGCCGGCCTCATGGTCCTTCTCCATCAGACGTCGATCGAAGATAAGTGTGTTGAATGAGTCTATTATCGGTGTTGTTCGGTAGGGGTCCTAGATGGCGCTCTGTGCGGCTGTAAGGTTAAAGTGAAGACTGTTGATCTGCAGACTGCCCAATAAGGCAGGCAAAAGAGAGTATATCATCTACTCTCACATTCTCCGTTTTTGTCCGCGTTATTGCGTATCTGTCATCTTATTTTAGGTATCAGGAATTGGTTGCGACAACTTAAATCCGACCATCCGCTTTCGCATAACCACACCAACGTAGGGCTGAGAGCGTACGTGCTTAAAGCTGTAAAAAAAAAAAAAACGGCGTAATGCTCGGATATTATTGTGATCTTCGACAGCCGACCGTAGACGAAACATTCTCCGATATACCTTTTCGCATGCGCCGTGTACGGTCGTGGAAGTGTCGAATTGTTGTTGTTGCCCCCGGATGGTCGATGTATCTCCGTAAAGGGCTCCACATGGCGTTCCCGACTTGCTTAGAGCCGCATCTACTGAGCGGACCATCCGTTTTCGCCCCACTCTGCAGGATGACGGAGTTTGCACCTCGATTACAAAAACTTCTATGCTCCGATACCCAACGGTGGATCGGCTCTGGACTGCTCGATGTCGAAGACACAAAGATTGCGCGACGCCACAAACCGTGATTCTGGGGAAATTAATGACCCCTCGAAACGGATGCGTCTGCCCAGGAAGAAGGTTGGCTGCCAGATACACACGCAATGGTATTTGGTGCATCCGCGACATCGCTCATGCGGTCTCCGATATGTCGAACCCACGCAAAGTCACCGAATACGATACAGACCAGGAAGCTCATGCTCCCCATACTATGGCGCTATTCACAAGGGAGGATACCCTCTTGCTCGCCGTGTCCGCTTTACCACCCACGTGTCTCACTACCCACGACTCAAAATCCACGAAGGCTAAGATTGCCATGACAGCTGTAGCAGGAGCTTCACCTATAGCCGGGCTCGATCGCCAAGCAAGCTGGCGTTATGCGAAGAAAACGCGACCTTGACAGCAGCGCGTGAGCTGGGGGCCCGCGAGGACGCGCTACCCCGGCTTCGGCTACTTAGGGGACCGCCCCCCCTCTATCTAACCCTTCATCCTCCCAGGCTGCCACCATCACCTCTCTTCACCAACCACGACTGAGGAGCTCATAGCTCAATGTTTTAAGTATTTCAACAAATATTCTTTCAAGACACCCAACGAGAGAATCGATCCGACACATGGCCGAGTTTTGCCACGCCTTTGCACTAGGTCATGATCCTTCGCCTACAACGGCATTCAAGTCGACATTTGGGTTGCGTCTACCCACGTTAGTGATGGCCACCGAGTATCGCTTCTCGCTAGTTCCAGTGCAGTGGTTGTCGATGAAGCTGTTGATACGGAACTGATCAAAAAACCTAATGTTATCATCACAGATACTAGTATGTGCCTGCTGAACCGGGCGATCGACACTACTCTCAGTAAGAATCCAGAGGTCTGGCTCTGTGGCGAGGTCAGACATATGGCCAAAAACAATAGAACTACACAACCCAAAAGGCTTACTTATGATCGAGTGCAACACGTTCATGATTAATGAACATCTAACCTTAGTCACCACTAGCGCCCTGAATCTCTTCCATCGCCTTTTGCAATACTTTCTTCGTATTTTCGTCCACCACGGTCCTCTGTACCTCCTCTATTCGTTCGACCCATAGCCTCCATCTCGCTTCGTTAAAACCATTCCAATCCTCGCCAACAACATCACTACCCTGCTCAGTGCCACGACCACCAAATTTCCTTCCCTCCTTACAAAAGGCGTATAGAACTTTACCCGCATATATGAACCATGCCGCAGCTGCTTTACAACCTTTCTCTCCACTTTTACTGTAAATCTGGCTCGGTATAGAGTCCTCCAACACGGAACGCAGCGTCCAGATCGCGTACATAGAAAGATCTACTAGATTAGCTGCTGTAAGGCGAGCCGCAAATGCGTTGATGTTGAATGGCTCTGCGTGCCGCTCTGGCGAGGTATTAGTAAACCGACGTTTGCTTCATGCTTTCACAACGCATAACACTGATAAGGTAGGGTCAAATACCATCATCCCAACTCTCTCGAATGGCGGGTCCAAGCAACGGGAGTTGTTTCCAAGTAGCTTGCTTGCCCCAGATTTCGAACGTAGCCGGCTCTTCTAGGTCAGCCACGACTTTGAGGATCTCGATCACCCTGTCGAGCTCATGGGCTGGTGTTTGAGATGCGTATTCGACCACTTGGTTCCAGATATCCCACAAAGCAGCCTCACCAGCCTCTGAATCACCAGCAGCAAATGCCGATCCAGCAGGTGCTACAAGAAAAGATGCAGCAGAAGACATCGGCATAGAATCATCCATAGCTCGCAAGATGGTTGGAGAGGGACGCGGTAAACTTCGAACACCACCTCCGCGACCACCTCGTCCTCGCATTGAGGGGCTCATGTCTTACGCGGCGCGCTGGAAGGAACAAATGATTTACACTGCAGATAACCTTAGCCGAGACATTCAAATCATCTGTTCGCGGGAGGATTGAGACTGTACCTGGAAAGTTTCGGGTCTGATGTGAAGTTCGTGGCCACCTTTTATCCACTGCTCTCGTATCAGCAGTTGAATGATTGGAACCAGTGAACTTTATATTCGACATAGCAAAGCGGGAGGTGACGTATACCGGTCACAGCCTTGCGCCCTTGCTCGGATGTGTGTGGCTGCTGAATCCTAGCTAGTGTTTAGTTAGCGCCCTCGCATGAAGGATGTCGGACTTGTTTAATGAGACACGTGCTGTTCTGACTAATCAATAGTCGACCAACCTCTCGCACTTGGCAGGCTAAGAAATACGCATGAAGTTCCAAGACTTTGAATTCAGAGTTGTCGTTGCCAAGCGCCGTATGTCGGGCCCACAACATAATCATTTCTCAGTTTACGAGCCATAACCGCGCGGCGAGACAGTGCATGTCGTGTAGCTTGAATGCACCCCATAGTACATGGTTACTGAAAACAGGGATCACCAGAACACTTTATCTTTTCATCTCACAAATCAACTCGAGATTCAGACTCCAAACAACGGCACTTAATTATCTAAACATAGTACAATTGAGCGTCTATTCTAACCTGAACAAGCCTTGTAGATACTGATCTTGTACGCATCTTGCCAATCGCTGTGAAACCGCTACCCTGTTGCAACCAATACAACCTCGGAATCAAACACATAGAACAAAGGCATTGGGTCGAGAATTAGGAGGGACGCCGTTGTGCGTCATCGCACCAACGGAGTCGCAGTTTCCTGTGGTTTGGTCGTAAGCAGCCACGCAACGGTCTGCTCCCGGTGCACCTGAAGATGAATTATTAGCAAGTAACACTAGAGGATAACATCCGGCAATAGCAGTACCAATATTGCTATTGATACGACAATTAAGCTATGCGATGCGGTTAACTTCACTCACCTCCATTGTAGGGCCTGTTCCCACGAACTAACGGATACTCGTACAAGTCTCCGGTGTATGACCCGAAGTTGAGGCGTTCACCGTTATGTAATTTATGAGGGTAACCTCCCGGGCCCTGTCTATCATCGTACAGACAAAGAGTCGAACGGCAAGCTTCCAGTTGGGAGTCAGTATACCTAACCCCGTCACATGTCACAGCACGTTTCTCGAGCACGTGGGACGGAGTGGGCGTTGCAAATGCCGACACGGCGAGGAGCGAGACTGCCAGTAGAGCCTATAAGATGCTGTTAACTTGAAGCTCGAGCTAGTGTTTTGTTCTTGAATGTTCATGCCTTGGTAAACATAGCTGGAAGGTGTTGACAGGTGACTCCGAGGTTGATAATCAAAGTTCGACAAAGAATTTTGACGATGACGAGTGACAAGTGATGATATTTCGATCCTCCATTGATAACATGCTCTTTATACAGAGGTGGTACTCAAGCTCTACCACTGTCTTACGATACCAAGCTAGGTCGGTTTTACCAAGGAGAATATCTCTCCAAACACGCCTTGGCGTAATGTCCGGCATTCCCGGATCCAGAGAAGTTACGCAATGTTCATAGAACAACTATCATCTAGGGATTACACTAATCATGAAACTGTCAGTGATTACATATTGTCTACGATTTTGTGCCTCCGTAGCTATGTCTTTTGGTACGAAAAGAGTAAGTATAAGGGGCTACGCTCAAAGGTCTATCACCCAGGTAAAATAAAGTTGTAGTTGATAGAGAGAAGAATCATAAACAGTTGGAGTTCTGGAAGCTGTTCAAAAAACGGTGGTCCAGAATATACGTACGCATAATCTATATCCTTGAGGGATCTTGGATAGGTAAACAGTGACGTCCTAGCGCCTTGTCAGGTAAGCCCTACGTCGCTTCATTTTGTTAATTGTATTGTGGTCGAAATCTAAGTCGGAAATCCGCCCTACATCGGTCATAGTGGCTGGTGCTTCCATTGTAAGCCCGAAGATCAGGACTATATCGCCTTGAATCAATTCATGCTTCCGATACATACAAAGGGAGTCGTCTCTATAGTCTTCTCAAATCATCACTCACCATATCTTAACATCTTCGCACTATCATCATCAACACCACCTATCGTCTCGATCAAATCCAGACTTTCTCCGATTTCTATCTAAGCTCACTTCAAGAGTCCCATCACTTCAACGTAAGTCTTCTCTAACAGGAGAGTCCTGCTTTTATATTACATTTCTCAGATGGTCCAACTCAACACTCTCCTGCTCACCACCCTCAGCCTCGCCCTTCCCGCAGTAGCGTAGAGGGACTTTTGTGCGGCTATTTCTGGCGAACCTTGGGCTGAATCGGCAACCGGATTCAGGTTCCAATGGACTAGCGCAGGGACTTGGAACTGGTTCTCCCGCGATCGTGGAACAGATCTGAAGATCTACCAAGATTGCAATGTTGTACAGAACCGACCCAACAGCCAACGGGCTCTTCGAACAGTCTGCATCGCTACGTCCAACAACTACCGATGCTGGGAGGCTCCTGGCCAGAACGACCCTTCTGGGAATTGCTTCATTCCCGATTGTTCCAACATCCGCAATGTCTGGGGCTGGTATGATTAGATGCTCCTTCTTTTAGGTGCAGGATGAGGGGGATAGGACTTTCACAGTTTCTCATGTCTTTTGTACCGACGAAATGGTATCAATTAGAATTGTTAAGAATAAACTGTTAGGGTTCGACGTCTCGAAACCATCACAAAACTACTTCAGAAAAGAATCTTCCACCCATGGCCTGCTCTTGTGGGTATCAGCCTTGTCACTGATTCCCTGTAGATATATGCGCATCCGTAAGATCGCATGTACCTCTTCCCGGCTTAGTTGGCATTGATAGGAGTGCAGCCGAAGTTGACAACGCCCTAGAATGTTATTGTTAGTGGATATTCGTTTGAAGTAGCTTAGGATCTGTCTTACATTTTGCTCCATGTCTCCACAGCAGACGGCAGTCTGTTTGCACATGTTCTTGATGGGAACGGCGCCTCCAATAACAGCAACAGTGATATCGCTGCACTGTCCGAGGAGGTTTTTGATTCCACCGACATCGGGACTGAGGCCATCATGGTTGGTGACCGCCTCGGCCGTCTCGTCGTTGCAGCAGTGAGCGGTGCTGCCGGCGCCACAGGCATCCGAGCGCTGGAAGACGTTGAAGTTGGTGGGCACAGCCGCGATCATAGCGACGAAAGTGAAGAGAGCGAGGATGATAGATTGGATAGACATTTTGAAGTGTTGTTGATGGGTTGTTGATGGGTTGATTGAGGAGAGACGAAGAAGTATAGAGATTGTTAATGAGTGTGGTTGGTTGGTAAAGAGTGTGGTGGTTGTTGTTGTTGTAAAAGATTGTGATGAGATGTTCGACTTAGGAAGCCAGAGCAGGCGATACTTATACGTGACAGGAGACAGCAACGTTTGAAGCGGATGGACTAGTAACTATCGATCGTGATCGGGAAGTTCGGGTCACAAGGAGACAGATCAGCAAGACTACTACACCGCAATACAGCACTGACTGATTAGGAAGTTACTCCACTTCACTATCGTATACATCTTTGTTCAGAGCGACGACGGGTAAATCGTAGTGACGTCAGTGACACTTAGTGTAGCACTGACCGTACTTTCGACGTCCTAAATGCCGGTGCATTATGCGATAGACTTTCCAGCCTAGCACAGCGTTAAACGCGAAAGCTGAGGTGTCTTTGAGATTTAGGGCGATACAACAGAAGAAGCATAATCTGCGATCACCCAGCTTTTGATTCATTCGCTATATCTAACAGCCAAAAAGGCTGTTGTACAATAGATGTCCAACTGCCGTGAACGGCCATATCGGGTTTGCAGCATCGATTTGTGAAAAGCGGTGTAAAATGATCTTGATTCCCCATCCCGCCGTGATACGTTGGTCGCGCTAAACCACAAATGGGATCAGCGGCTTACGCCTTGGCAATATCATATAGTTGGTTCCTAAAAGCAAAACCACTTCAGGCCAGTCAGCACTATTGTTGGGATCAACGCCAATAGGCGGGTACAGCAACCGTACTGGATCAACGACCCGACCCGCCAGAACATCGCAATCTCTCCCGATCTCAACGCGTCGTAATTTCACCAATATAGATCCAATTCATGAAACAATTGAAACCACCGGCTTCGTGCGCGCTCTGGCCATATTCGGATTTGGACTATCTTAGCAACATCGAGATATTAAAAAGAAAGGCTGCGGAACTATTGGACTCCACATCATCGCGCGCGGAAGTCAACTACCTTCCAGTGGCATGTGCCTCCGGCTAACTGTCGAGACACCGATGAATGAAGTCGTGTTGATCCTATTTTGTCGACTGATGAATACGATAACCATCGAGTCGCCTTTCACCTAATAATACGTCCTCCCTCCCTCCGGCTCTGTGACTGGTTTCGAAGAAAGCGAACAATGCCCGAAACCTGTAACCACCTCGTTCTCTGTGACGTCCCATCGGACTTTGGCCAGATGCGCATTGATGTCGCCTGGTGGTGGATGACATGCGGCGCTTATGGCAAGACTGCAAGACGCCACAACAGGCACTCTTACCTGTCTCTTCTGAAGACCCATAGCACCAATAACCCCCAACAACAGAAACAGAACACCAAGCAGAACCATGAGACTCATGGCCGAGAAGCCAATTGCAGCCCTCGATTCCTTGTTAAGATCGGGAGGGCGCGTATCGTTCAAAGGCACTACTATGCCAGTTTCGTTGTTCACAGGCAACACAAAGCTCAACGTTTCCGTCCGGACAAGGAAGAAGGTCTGGGATAAGAGCCAGTGGAGTGTCCCACTGATGATGATGAGGGGAAGACTCCATCTGTATGGCAACTGCAAGAAGTACGTGCTTCTTTGATGGCCGTACGGCTGTGTGACTCTTAGACCTTTCCTGGATGTTCCAAGATTGTTCCGTTCTTCGGATGCAGCCATGCCCGTCCAAGCTAGATTGATCCAAAAGTAACAAAAGGACAATACAAGCTGTGGAACGTTAGAAAGCCAGGCACTCCACAAAGTAGCGACATCTTGTCCTACAGCAGGGTTCATGTAGGAGGTAGACGAAGTTCCCCATGCTGAGCGAGAGACCAGAGCCCCTGCTAGGGCGCCGGCGAAAATTACCACAGACAACACAGATCTAAATGCTTAGCCACATAAATGGTGGGGAATAGCGAAGGGTTACTTACAGATACACATAAAAGTTTAGAGCTGTCTTGTGAAATGGAGAAAAGTACGACCGCGAATACGGAAGCCAAGCGCCTTTCAGTCGTAAATGGAGCTGTTCTATCTCTTGTTTGTCGTGGCTGAGGTTGTTCTGATTGCGTCCAAGTTTTGGAAGGTCCTTCCGCTTCAACATGCCTTCTCGGCTAAGCAAGCATTTATCCATTGTGTAGCGGTCCCTTCGCTCCAAGAACGAGCTTGCGGCATCTCCCAAAGTGACAAGGTATGCTGATCCATCTACAACAAGCACCGACAACATGACAACAAGCTTGATGAGATTGAAACACGCCACTAAGATCAGGAAACGCTTGCTGACTTGCACTGTACTTGGAGTTCCAGATTCCTTCTTCGAGGCGGCTTTCACTACGTGTAGTGAAACGGCGGCGTGACGCTCCCATGACGGAGTGTAGTTTTCAGGTAGTACAACGCTAGGGTTGTAATTGTAAGGCTATACAAGGCTTGAGTAGTCCAACCATTCCAACGATTCTTTGACGAGGTTCTTCACTGTCGAAGGGCCTCCAACGGAGACGGCGGTTACGTTAATGGGTTCGAATTGCGTGGAGTTTGGGTTGAGTGTGAAGAATGTGAGATTAATAGCCACCATGTCGATAACGAGATACAGATCGCCATGGACAGAGTTGTGTTCCCTAGAATATGGCGTGGCCCACTGGTGTGCAGACAGGGCCCAGTAATCTCCTTGAGTTCAGGTGCTATTGTCAGTACTGGTACATATCCGTTTCCAGTCTTCTGATGCGACGTCCATTGTTCTGATCAGGTAACTTTCTCTGTTGGTGACAACTTTGAACACTGAGGCGTTGTAGCTAGTAGAGGTAAGTTTGCGCCTTGGTAATTTTCATCTAATACGTACAACATATGTAAGGGTGTTGATGATAATACCAACACAAGGCAGAGCATCGTGCGACTCGGTGGTATAGCTCTCAAATTGCGATTGCTCAATCGGCCGATGTCTAGCCATTCTTCTTTTGCGTGTGCAACATCTAGGTCTTCCCGTGTCGGTGCATTCAGGACTTGCGTGGTATAGTTCGACGAAGATAGCAGCATAGTACTGAGTGCGTTGATAAGAACATGCAAAGCAGTATTCCATCTAGAAGCGCGATCCTCGTCGCCTTCAATAATAGTAGACAAACCTTCATCATCGTAGCCGGTTTTACTGTTTGCTCCGATAGCGATCAGGGCGATGTTGCAACAAAGGACGAAGAAGGACATGCAACAGCCCAACAGCACACCCATGCGCCATCCGTCGAAGCGACTTCTTCTAACTCGAAGATCCCAAGCGTGTGATAATTTGCTGATCAGGCGCGGAGGCTTTAGAGATGCCCGACGTTGTGAAGTCTTCGATGCAGCATCGTTGGTTGTGGCAATCTTAGTGTTCCTCGTGTGTGACCTGCATCAATCAGCCTTGCGAGCATGAGGTCAGCTTTCAGGTTCGCAGCTCACGCAATTGTGTCGTTCACACCAATTTCCTCCTGTGAATTTGTCTGATACTGACCCGAGCTGTTGTTGTGTAGCGAAAAGTCTATGTTGCGCTGCGACAGGTGCATGAGCGGTATGGCATCGTCAAATTCCTCGTCGTCTGCACGCAGAGAGGGGCGAAGGAGAGCCTGAGAGAGGCGCGTATATTCAGCAGCCATAGACACTGGCAACCCTTTGGTAAGTCGAATATCGAGATCACAGGAGATGGTTGAAGAAGAGAGTTTATAAGAGCCTATGATGCTTCTGTTTGTGCTGCGGTATTACAGTAAGGCTGAATCGCTGATCTTGGTGAGATTTCTGAAAACGCCTCCGAGTGAGGTGGCACGACATGTTGCAATCATCTAATTAGATAGCAACATGCGGATCATACCTCATTGTGAGACTAGTCGAACATGCGATTGGTAGTGGTTTGCAGAAGTGTGCATCTGGGCTGTGTGTGGCTGAGCCATTTTGAACAGGCGCCTCGATGGTGAACAGATTTCGATGACTGCGAACTGCCCAACGAGGCTGTCCTGGGTAGACCCCTAGGCCCCCATATCCGGCTGACAGCATGAGACTGGTAGTTGCAGTGTCGCTACAGATGCCTCTCTTGTACGCCTCTAAACAGTCAAGCCTTACCTGGGTAGCTCTCCGAAGGGTTATACTACGGGTACTTGTAAGTAAGACGTGGGTCTTTGAATAGAGACCTGCACTGAATCGGTGCTACGCAGGATGGTCGACATTTATCCCGAAGTGCAGGATCCTGCTTTGTCATTGTATTCCAATAGCTGCCGGAAGATGAATCGTAGACAATGCGAATGGTGATTTGGAGCAAGCTGGAAGATTCGATGTTGTCGGCTCGTGACGCGCGCACGTGAAGCAAAGTTCCGCGGCTCAGGTGTGACCTCATAATGTCAGCACAGCCCTAGTGCATCTCACTCGCCCTTCGTCCTTCCACCTATACCAACGCGCACCTCAACCTCGCACATCGCATCGCACGCAGTCGGATATCGCGACACACTCATCACCATGGGCGCACCCAAATACCAGAACGTGCCTCAGCGCGACTCGCTCGACGAGGCCGCGCCGGCGCCCTCGTACTCGCAGGCGCCACCCAGTTATCAGGCAGCCAACGACCCCCAAGAAGCTCTCCTCAGCGGTGTTCCTCGAAGTGAAAACGACAACGTGCCCGATGACTTCAAGTTTGGCGGCGTCGTGGCCGAGGCGACGCTGGACATCCGGATGGCCTTTATCCGGAAGGTGTATGCCATTTTGTAAGTAACGCAGGTCGCGGACAAGTATCGCAGAAGCTAATCACGCGCAGGACCGTCCAGCTCCTCGCAACTGCCGCCGTAAGCGCCCTCTCGATGATGTCGGAGTCGTACAAGAACTTTATCCAAAACACCCCATGGCTTATGTGGGTGTCGCTGATCGGCTCCTTCGTTTTCCTTGGCCTCACCTTCTGGAAGCGCAAGTCGTATCCCACAAACCTCCTGTTCCTGGCCGGCTTCACTGCCATGGAAGCATACTCCATCTCGGTCATCGTGTCGTTTACCGATTCCAAGATTGTGCTGCAGGCGCTCTTCTTCACGCTGGGCATATTCATCGCGCTGAGCTTGTTTGCATGCCAGAGCAAGTACGACTTTACGCACTGGGCACCGTACCTCTTTGGCGCGCTCTGGGTGGTTGTGCTGTTTGGCTTCATGTCCATGTTCTTCCCCAGCAGCAGCACGGTCGATCTAGGGTATGGCGTCGTTTGCGCGCTCATCTTTTCTGGATACATCCTGGTGGACACACAGATGATTATGCGCCACTACCATGTTGAGGAGGAGATTGCGGCATCCATCTCGCTCTACCTTGACATCATTAACCTGTTCCTCGCCATCTTGAGGATTCTCAACTCGCAGAACCAGAATTAGAGGGAAGCAAGGTAGGTGTTTAGTAGGGGCTGGAGATTCACTTTGGAGAAATTGCTGGGCGTATGGGGTCAAGCGACTGCGCTTGAATAATTTTCAGTCTTTTAGCCGTAGTAATGTAACATGACTACTGCACTTGTTGACTCCATGTTGGTAGGGCTTCTTCCAATAGCTGTGCATGCATATCAGGTCAGGCCATGGCGGGGTATTATGGGGCTGCAGGAGGCGTGGGGGGTATGATTGGTCGGCAAGGTGAAACGCCCGCGACCCTTGATTTTCGGAGCAGGAGCACGAAGCTTGAGGACTTGGCACCGTGATACTTGCAGCAACTTGACGATAACGGCTGCAGGGGCCGCATTGGGAGCAGACGAGGACGGCACAGAGCTTGCAGAGCTTTCTCGTAGGATCGCCACCTCCTTTTCTCCGTCGCAACAGCCTCTCGCTCTGTTCTCGCTGCACCCGGAGGCGCATGCTGCGGTGGAGTTACGCGAGCCCCATTTTTGAAGTGGCCCATATGGTAGCGCGCTCCAGAATCACAGCTACTACATACTGCGATTGCTGCTAGCTCCCGCGACACCTGTCCAGAAATACAGCGGGAGCAATTGGATACCTGCGAGACAATCCTTTCACTCAGACACACAGCAGTCAGGCAGAAAGAGAGGCAACTCGCGTGGCCAGCTCAGGAGATTGTTGATGCGCGCTTGCCCCATCCATCTCTAAACCCTGAATATCTTTGCTTGGGACCACCACACCGCTTCCTCGACAACACAACTCGTCTGCCCGCGCGCAATTCGTTCCCCTGCGCGGCTACTCCTCCCGTACGCTATCAAGGAGCTCCAGTACCCATTCTTTTCCCGCCCTTTACTGCTCAATGGCTGTTGGTTGCTGAGACACGCACCCACCCGATTACGTCGTTCGCTAAGAGGTGATTGCTGAGCGGGCAATTGAACTTGCACCCAGAAACCCACACGCCGCATCAACCCCCGGGACCCTTCGCCGGACTGCAATCACCACCGTCCATATTGCAAAACAGCCGCCATGGCGACAACACAGCACAGCGACGGCGCGCTGCCAAAGACACACTCGCTGCACATGCAAACCCAAAAGGCACCGTCCGCGCCCAAGAGGCGGAAGATGCAGGTGAAGAAGGTCGACGATGAGGGGCTCATGGCCTCGCTGTGCACGCTCATCTGCGACCACCAGATCGGTACGCCGACGCATTATTCGTCATGGTTGCTCCCGTACTGACTACTGCAGGCATTTCCGTCAACCTCCTCACCCTCCTCTGCCTCACCCACACATTCTTCCCCCGCGCCCGAAGCCGGACCTCCAAGTTCTTCCACATGTCGTACTACAACCCCGACACGGACATGTACGGCTGTGGCACCGACGATCTGCCCTTTGTTCTGCTGTGGACCGTCATATTCACCGGCGTCCGCGTAGCAGTCATGGAATACATGCTCGATCCACTGGCCAGGCTGGGTGGTATCCGCACAAAAAAGGGGCTGGACAGGTTCAAGGAGCAGGCGTGGCTCATTGTCTACTACACTGCATCGTGGTCTCTAGGAATGGTATGTCACACTACGACTTGATTCGCGGAACGGTAATGCTAACAAGCCGACAGTACATCATGTACCACTCGGAGTTTTGGCTGAATCTCCACGCCATATGGGAAGGCTGGCCTTTCCGGGAAGCAGATGGCCTGTTCAAGTGGTACTATCTCGTCCAATGGGGCTTCTGGGTCCAGCAGATTCTCGTCGTCAACATTGAGGAGAAGCGCAAGGACTATGCGCAGATGTTCACACACCACATCTTCACTACTGCGCTCATGTGCCTGTCCTACGGTTACTTCCATATGCGCGTCGGCATCGTCATCTTGACCATCATGGACTTTGTCGACATCATCTTGCCCGTAAGTCATCCACACACACACCAGAACCTCATGCTTGAAACTAACCAAATAGACTGCCAAACTCCTCAAATATATGGGCTACTCCAACGCCTGCGACTACGCCTTCGGTCTCTTCGTCATCTCCTGGGTCGTCACCCGCCACGTTCTCTACATGATGGTCTGCTGGTCCATCTACGCCTACGCACCCGTCGACATGGCTCCCGGCTGCTACCTCGCCGACTCCACCTCGAAGCAGACCTCGTTCGTCCCTGCATCCAATGCTTCGCAATTCGAAGCATACGGCGGCAACAACCACTGGGGTAACCTCCTCAAAGCATACAGCGACCGCAACGGACCCATTTGCTGGAACCCGCAGATCCGCTACTACTTCCTCGCACTCCTCCTCACTCTACAAGTCTTCTGCTGCATATGGTTTGCGACTATTGCGAAGATCGTGTACAAGGTGCTCAAGGGGAATGCGGCCGAAGATCTGCGTTCCGACGACGAGGGCGAGGATGAAGAAGTTGAGGTCGATCAGACCAAGACGATCTTCAACATGGCGACTACGTGTGGTGAGAGTGGCATGAGCTCAAGCGGTATGACAGTACAGCCAAAGGAAGAGGAAGTCGGCGTTGATGCGCTGACTTTTGCACGTCTGAATGGAGCGAGTCAGCGACGACAGGCGAAGAGGGAGAGTGCAAGGGAGAGTGCGAGGGTGAGTGGGATTAGTATTCCCGGTCATGGGGATCGTAAGGAGCTTTTGGGGAGGATTGGGTGTGATAAGCCCTCTTGAGCTTGTCTCTTTCTGCCTCTGGTGATGCAGGGTTCTTGAGTTTTGCAAGTCGCGAAAAGTTATTCGCGGGGTGTCAGAGGCGTGTGTAGCATACAGTTGCAGGTTTCCAATTTTTTTGCTACTCTTCTTCTTTGATGGTGTACAGGTTTTTTCCGAAGGAATATGTCGCTCGAGGTGTGTAGTTCCGATCTCGTTGATGATACATGTATACTATACCCCTACAGATCGAATTTAGAGTATTCATAGCTCATGGGTGTTTTGACGAATGTGCTGGTGCTGGAGCACATGGAGGATATTGTTGAATGACACTGTAAACGATGTCATGTAATCCCACTGTCAAACCTCGGCTCATATTTAGTGTGAGAATAGGATGGTGGGATGGTGGGGCCGACATAGGTACTAACAACGAACGTGTACCTCGGACGACAATCGACAAACAAAGATTCAACAAGAACACGTGCTGTGAACGGAATCTCTGCGTTGCTTCGTGATCCATGGTTAGAACCCGTGTTGTGAACCATACGCCTCCACTGCTGCGGTCATAACAATACCTCCACACTGATCGTATACCGACTACGCATGCAAACAGCGACCCGCAACCACTCGTTATAAACTTCTCCACCACCAACCAACCACGCCAACATCAACCAAAAAACACCAGCAACAGAAAACGCCCATAGCAACTAGACAATGGCGACGCCAGACAACGCTACTACTCTCCCCTCCCCACCCTTCTACACGCACATTCCCAACATCGACAACCTGCGCCTAGCCACGCACGCCCTCACCACAAAATCCGGTGCAACGCTCCGTCCAAACCTCCTCTTCCGCAGCGCCGAAGTGTCAAAAGTCGATGCCCAGGGCTGGATGGCACTGCGCCAGCTAGGTGTTGGCCACGTCTTTGATCTACGGAGTAAACCTGAAGTAGACAAGGGTCATTCGAACAACGACGACAACAACGACGCCAATGCAGACGCAGGAGGAGGTATGCAAAAAGCGGGCGTGCAGAGAACGTGGGTGCCAGTCTTTGAAGAAAGCGATTATAGTCCCGAGCGCCTGGCGGAACGGTATGCAAAGTACATGGATCAAGACGTACGTGGCTTTGTAGAAGCGTATTCTGAGTTTTTGAAGAGCGGGGGGAATGCATATGGAGTTATACTGCGGTATCTAGCAAATTTATCCGCTGTTGCTCCAGGACAAGAGGGAGAAGGAGTGGGGGCTTTGATACACTGCACAGCAGGCAAAGACCGAACGGGAATGTTTTTTGGTCTCCTGTTCGATTTTCTGGGTGTGCCGCGCGACCAGATTGCTACGGAGTACCATCTCACGCAACGAGGTCTTAGCGGCGTTCGCGAACAAGTCGTCACGAGGTTGCTTGCTAGTCCGGCTTTTACCAAGTATATGACTGCGCAGGCAGCCGGTACGCCCATTTCCCCGGGCGATATCGCAAAAGCATTGCATGATGACGCGGCGAGGGGATCATCAAGTGGTAGCGATGGCGATAAGCAGATTCCACAGGAGATTCTGGATAAGGGGAGGGAGGCGGCGTTGAGGATGGTGAGCGCGAGGAAAGAGAGTATGCTGGGGGCGCTGGAGATGTTGGATAGGCAGTTTGGTGGGGCGGAACGGTATATGAGGGAGGTTTGTGGACTTGGTGATGGAGAGTTGGAAGGGTTGAGGAGGAATCTTCTGGTTGGATATGGACGTGAGGCGTGACTAGGAAACTATACGAAGAACAAGATAAATAGACTGTGAAAGTGGGCATAGATTGCACGACTGTCATCGATTAAATAGGAGGGTATGATTTAGAATAGGCGTTGCTTAGGACTTGCGATAGATGTCACCTGTTCGCCTAATCTCATCTTCAACGTCCTTTCCCCTCCCTGCAGCTTCTAGCTTTCTTACTAGTGGTAATACCTCCTTTCCAAAGCGTTCAAGATCCTCCTCGTAATGCAGATGCGCCGTCAGCACCAAGTCGACCCCCAAGCTCTTGAGCAAAAGAATCCGATCTGCAATCTGCTCTTTCGTCCCAATCAACTTGGTCTTGAAGCCGTCGTTATATTGCACCAAGTCTTCGAGTTTGCTGTCCGCCCACATGCCCTTTTTGTTTCCGGTGCTAGCACCAGCTTGTTGCACGGCTTGACGAAAAGCTTCAACAGCTTCCGTATCCGCTTTACCTTGAATCTCCCTCAACACGCGAATAGCTTCCTCTTCCGTTTCGCGGATGATGACGAAGCCATTGACGGCAAACTTCACCTTGCCCTCGCGCCCCGCCTTGCGCGCGCGCTCCTTGACATCCGCAATCTGCTCACGGAAACCATCTAGATCGTTGCCGTTCATGAAATACCAATCGCTCACCTCAGCGCCGTTGTTCCTCGCATCATCGCTATTCCCGCCCTGGAAGATCTCCGGGTGCGGTTTCTGAAGCGGCTTAGGCGCCAACTTGTAGTTTCGGAACTGGTAAAAGTCGCCGCCAAAGGTGAACCCTTGCTCGCTGTCCGCAGTCCAGATCCCTTTTAATGCGCGGATGAACTCGTTGGACCGCCGGTACCGCTCCGCATGCTCGAGCCACCACTGCCCCACAGCCGTGAACTCGCTCTTATTCCAGCCTGAGACGATGTTCACAGCAATACGCCCATTGGTGTAATTGTCAATACTCGCAATCTGTTTCGCAGCAATAGTAGGGTTCCAGGGCCCGGGGAGTATCGCCGCGATGAGCTTGATGCGCTCGGTGCTGTGCAAGAGCGCTTGCGACAGGGACACACTCTCGTGCTGGTTTTCGGCTCCGTACGAGGCGGTGAAACGGATTTGCGTGAGCGCGTACTCGAAGCCGTGGGCTTCGGCGGTCTTGGCGTAGCGCACGTTGGAGGCCAGGTCCCAGTTTGTTTTTTGGGGTATCTTGGAGACGACGAGGCCGCCGGAGACGTTGGGGACCCAGTACGCGAATAAGAGACGGTTGGGGTCTTGGTTGAGGTCTAGTTGCTTTGTGGGCGTGTAGCTATCGGATGGTTCCACGGAGTGTCCATTTGTGCCGTTTGTTTTGTTGCTGTCTGTTGCGGTTGAAGAGATAATCAGCTTTGCTCTTCTTGTTATAAATGCAGTGTTCTGGCAAGTTTACCTGTCCTTTGTCTCTTTCGTGCTGACATGTTTGTTCGCAAGAGGCAGTAGAACTCGAGCACGAAAATGGACGGATATACTAGAAAGAAATGTTGAGCTATGATGCCATGCGATGTCAGCCTGGAGTACTGTTGTCGGTAGGATGTGCGCACATTAAGCGTGGATTGCGTGCTGTGCAGCCATCCGTGGGATCTGTGGGGTTGACGCAGGTTAGATTATAGCCCTGTAGATCGTGGTTTAATCGCCGAGGATCATACAACTCTAGCATCCCGGCCGTATGGATGATAAGCTGTGACCGAGTAACCCGCAGCAGCCCCAGACGTCCGGCTCCTTCAATTGGCTGTCAATGATCTTCGGTCGCTTGTCGATGAGACAATCCGGGAGTCCCAAGACGTCATGTCATGTGCTGGTGGTTGCAGTAAAACAGCTCTATAATATCGACCCCACACTATCGTGCAGATACTCCAGCATAGTGCCCTTCAACGAGGGTGCGAAATCATGTCGGCACGATGATGATGCTGAAAATTGTCCAGCGCTATCAGTAAGGCCGAAGCACGTAATAAACCATCGCATAGTCGTGATGACTACACATAGACAGTAGAGATGTGCCGCGTCGATACCGGAGTTACATCAAGTATATGCCCATGTCCATTCAATACAAAAGGCTGTGACTTGGAGTCAGTTGGCAGCATGAAGATTCCCGTGCACACAGACAAGCATGCCCGACTTTTCGACAATCGACTTGAACAGCAAAAGCAGCACTGGCACTACTGATGTCGAGAAGCAGCTCACCCATGAAAGTCCCGCTGTGCCCGTCGCAGCTCCAAAGACACTGGGTGCAGGAGTAAGTAGCGCTGAGTAGATCAAACATTGGTTAGCTGACTTGTCAAGACAGCACTGCCGATTGGGGTATTTGCGACAACCCTGACTACGCTTTCGCTCAGTCTCATGGAATGGCGAGGAGTGACTACGGCCAATGTCTTCGTAGCCAACTTCTTCTTCGCGGCGGCTTTCGGTAAGTCTTCTGTATGGACAGGGTATGTGAGACTTGACTGACTCCATACTAGGCCTGGTGGTTACTGCACAATGGGAGCTGTCCGTCGGTAACGGCTTCGCGTACACAGTATTTAGTGCTTTTGGCCTGTTCTATGCGGGCTATGGTGCAATCTTAACACCAGCTTTTGGAGTGCAGGCAGCGTATGGAGACAACGTGAAGGAATACAACAACGCTCTTGGGTTCTTCATGATCAGTCAGTCGCTCTAGACCAGCGAGGAACAAGAATACTACTAATCATAGCGTAGTGTGGACTGTTTTCGCCTTGGTGTTCCTTGTAGCCTCGTTGCCGACAAACTTGGTATACATCATCATCTTCTTCTGCGTAGAGCTAGGATTTCTCTTAGTCTCGGCGTCTTACTTTGCCGTGGCAGATGGACATCCAGATGCGTCCATCTCTCTCAAGAAGGGCGGTGGTGCATTCTGCTTCTTGGCTGGACTGACTGGATGGTACCTGACGTTCGCTCTGTTACTCAAAGACTCTATTGTCGAGTTACCACTTGGCGACACTTCGAGGTTCTTTGCGAAGAGCAGAAAGGCGCAGTGAGCGATAAGCGACACCCTACTTCCTATGGGTATCAGGGGGTACCTCGGCGACGTGCGGTTTGCAGAACACTGTGATGGGTGATAGTGATTCGGGGTTGAGGATGATGCGATTGAGGGGTTAGATGGCGAACGCGGTTCGGGATTAATAGTGAGTTCGGAAGTAAGGCTAGTCTAGTTCGAGCTTAGCACATATGCGAAGACGCGGATGTCCCCACCGTCAGCGTTTGTCGACGCGTCCCACATCCATACTCACGCGTTCACATGTTGCAACGCTACTGCGATTCGCGCTCTACCCCCACGGCATCGCAACAATCTATTGCTGCTCGTGTGCCGGCAGATAGCTCGATTCTCACAATGTCGGCGGCACATCCCTGTCTCAATGCTCCGTTCTGATGACCACTCACGTTTTGCCTACCTGCTCGACTGCATCCACACAGATAGGTCGCAGATGAGACGATAGCACGCAATAATTTGGGCCTCTCGAATCATTTCGAAGCACTCCTAACGAGTGCCTGCATATAAGGACATGCATCGGAAAGTTGATGATACACGCCACATAATTAGGCTCCATCAACATTTTGAATACGCACACGATGGCTATCACCAACGGAACTAATGGTCCACGTGGGAACGCAGAAGATGTGGAATTTAGGGATCCGGCTGTTTACGCCGGGTATGAGAAGCAATGGTCGTCGATTCCGGAAGATGAAGCAGGTTGGCTCCAGCGTGCGCAAGAGGTTGCAGACGTTCTTGCCACTGATGCCGTCGTGCGAGACCAAGAGAACAAATCTCCGCGAGCGGAAGTAGCTCTGCTAAAGTACTCTGGGCTTCTCAAGATCCTTGGTCCAAAGCAGTATGGTGGTGGTGGTCAGCAATGGAGTGTTGCCTACAAAGCAATTCGGAAGGTAGCTGAAACAGATGGGTACGATTGGTCCCCTCCTGTTCGCGTCTGTGTATTGATCATTGTAGTTCAATCGGCATGCTGCTCGGCTACCACCTCCTATGGTCGACCACGGCGAACATTGTCGGTTCACCTGAACAAGCCGACCGCTTCCAGAAGCTCATAACCGAGAACAATTATTTCATCGGAGGCGCTGTGAACCCCAGGGACAGCGACTTGTCGATCAAATCGGATGGGGCCAACATTGTGTTCAACGGGTTCAAGTTCTTCAATACTGGCGGTGTTGTCTCCGACCTTACCGTTCTTGAGGGTGTCTATGAAAGCACCGGCAACCATATCTTCGCTTTCGCGAAGACCAATCAACCTGGTATTCAATTCGGACATGATTGGAACAATATCGGTCTTCGCTTGACCGAGTCTGGTAGCGTGAAGATTTCCGATGTGAGCGTGCCTTGGACGGATGCGCTCGGCTGGAACGTAGAGACAAAAGAACCAGACCCGCGCGCGCTGCAGATACCCTTTGCCACGCTACTACTCCCAACTATCCAGCTTGTCTTCAGCAACTTCTATCTCGGTATCGCGTTAGGCGCACAACAGTATGCAGCAAGATATACGGTCAAGGGGACCCGGGCATGGCCATTTGGCGGTGATGTAAGCAGAGAAGTATCCCACAAGCTCTGAAGAATGTCGCTAATGCAGATTTAGAACAAAGAGAGGGCGACAGATGAGTTCTATATCCTCGAACGCTATGGAAACTTCCACGCTCACCTTCGTGCCGCGTCAGCCCTAGCAGACCGAGCGGGCCAAGAAGTTGACGCCATCTTGGGCAAGTATGCAGGTAACCTGGACACCCGTGGGAAGCTCACGGCACGGGAGCGAGGCGAGCTGGCAGAGTGGGTGGCAAGTGTCAAAGTCGTCGCAACGGATACTAGCCTACGTGTCACTTCTGGGGTATTCGAAGTCACAGGCGCGAAAGCGACAAGCCAGAAAGTAGGCTTAGATCGGTTCTGGAGGGACGTCAGGACGCACACGCTGCATGATCCAGTCGCGTACAAGAATCGGGAGCTAGGAAGATTTGAATTGCTAGACGAAATACCTGAGGCTACATGGTATACGTAATTGCGCTCTTTGGATTCCCTCAAACTTGTAAAGATGGAGCGTATCCAAGTTCATACAAGATTAGGAAATGTTTGAGCAGCAGAGATACTCAAGGCCTTGGCTGCCCCCTGCTTCACTACCCCAAACGTAGCTTCGTTGGTCCAGAATTCATAGTCTGCAGAACCTTTGCCTGGCTTGTTGATCTGCCAAACCATCCATGGTACCTTGAGCCCATTGAAGATGTCGATATGCTGACCTACAACACTAGCCTTGTCGGAACCAGTAGCGCCAAATTCTTCGAACAGCACGAGTTTCTTGGCGGCTTGAGCGTGCTGTAGGGCGATGGGCGCTTTGTTGCGCCATTCGGAAACGCCGCTGTAGGAGTGGATATCGATGAGATCAAGTGTTGCGCAGCTCCAATTCTCGGGGATATCGGAATTGGGAAATTCATTTCCACCACCTGAATATGGAGTGGTCAATACCATAATCTCTGGGGTCTAGAGTCTCAGATGGAAGCGGGTAGATTACGTACCTGTTGAGATGAGAATCTTGCTATCTCCCATGATGCTTCGCATCTTCTTGCTTCGATCACACCACCATTTTGGTGCAGGTGCGATGTTGTTGCGCAAATGCCCCTGCCCTTCATTTTGTATGTTGAACGCGAAGATGTAATCCGAAAGATCTTTCCATTGCGGTGAACCCGAGATCAACTGATTCTTGTGTTGGAGGATATATGTAAGGCGGTTGTCAAAGTCGTAGATTGGCGATGCATCCTGGTAAAAGAATGTTACATCGTTCTGAGCGGCAGGCGTTTTCGCGCAGTCAATAGCAGGAAGTTTGTATTTGGAAACGTATGTGTCTGTGTCGAAGATGCGTCAGTGGCCGTAAAAGCTTTGGTCCAATTCGAAGAAGTCCATACCATTTCCCCAACAACCCAACTGGTAGCGGTCATGCATAGCGATAACTAGTTTGATGCCTCGTTCACGCGCTTCAAGCATGAGCTGATCAATGGCACGTAGCTGGGTGTCATCGTATGTGCCGACCTGCCGTGGCTCGATGTCGGGCATGTTGACGGAGCCGGTATCTTTGTTGTTCTGGAGTGTATGAGAGATGAAGATACGCAACGTCTTGAGCTTGGCATCTTTGACTGCGTCAAGGACGGCCAAGCGATCGGATCTGTGAACAGTCAGTCGAACTCGAAGAAATCCTGAAGGATCCGTACTTTTGATAGGCATGAAGAAAGTAGGAGTTGACTCCAGCCCAGCTCGAGGATATGTCTCTTTCTTCGAGTGGTTGCGCCGCCGAGATAGATGCGCTCATGGCGAGCGGAAGCAAATATTTGAGAAGCTGCATGATAAACGTGTTCGGGATGAGGCTGCTCTGATGACCGTCAATGTGCGAGGGCTTCACTCCTACTTATGCTTCCTAGCCTTATGTCTTTGACCTAGTGTCTGTAATATCGGGCTCGCGACCTTCCCTCTCGAACGTTGCGCATGCGTCTGCAACTTTCTGTTTGCGACCTGCCATCTCCGATCTTGCAATGTTCGGACGCTCCGATTCTGCCTTCTCCACACTATGTCGAACGTCAATGTTGTGGTGAGGATACACTTCAAGGCTAAGTCCAAAGGAGTATTCTGCAAACACGGAGCGGCAGGGACCGTATGCATCAGAGTTAGTACATCACAGCAGCAATATCTAGTGCGCAATGATCCGCTAGCCTTGAATTACCGGAGCCTGGTCGCCCGCGCCGTGTTTGGACTAGAGTATATATAAGGCTCACTCGTGTTCTAAAACAATCCCTAGCAATCTCTATAGTGACATTCCTAGTTCGAACTTGCGCAAACTGTGGGTGGACATTGGACCGGAGTTGTATGATCGACATTGGAGGGGTAACTAACGGTTCTCTGACAACCGCGGTTATTTGGCTGTTGGATCTAGATTTAGCACCGAAGGCTTACCGCCCGCCCACGCAGATCGGAGTAGCTTGCAGCATTGCATCTGGATACTCTTGTGCCCCGGAAGCCACGGAGGGTTTGAACAACAACACGTTTTGCCATGCGCCTGTTCCCATAATGGACTCTGGTCCTTGTATGACCCATTCCCTGGGTGGCTGCAGCTGCGCACGAACGCCAAAAGGCGCCATGACTTTCAACGTGCCATGACCCTCCGCTTCATCAATCTTGATCTCTACGCCGATACTACCAGCGACGGTCGCAAGGGTGCAATTGATCCTCTCTAGACCGGCAAAGACTGGTGCGATGCGAAACGACGTCCAGCCTGGCTCGGTAGGCTGAAGCCCTGCTAGATATCGAGGCAGAAGTGATACTGGCCACGTCGACCAGCCATGCATCAACGACGTATCGTGACCGTGCGGCGTTTCGTCTGTCTTCATGGCTTCCCAATGTCCTCCAGAGTAGTTTGGATTCGATGTGTCAGCCATCGGTCCCCAGACGCGCTCGATGAGCCTCCGCGCTTCAAGACCTTGTTGTCGTGAAAACAATGCCTCAACTGCGAACCCTGTTGCGTACGGACTGACAATGTCCGCTACACTCCAATGAGCAAGGCCCCGGAAGGCGCGAGGAAGCTGCGATTGTGGGTCAATCAAATGCTCAAGATCGTTCGCATGACTAGGAAGCAGCCCCATAGTCACGGCATGGGCTTTGTTATCTTGACAGATACCGTCGCTTGGTAGATATTCATTCAGGCGATAGACACCGGTGGAAGCATCGTAGAAGCGTTTCAGTACCTCCATCTTAAGCTTCTTGGCTTGCGATAGATATTTTTGCTTGGCTTCAGGGTCATCGGACATCACCGACATGGCTTGCAGGGCCTCGTAATATGCATTATTCAGTGGACTCGAGGGACCGAAAATTGGGCCGCCAAGTGGGAACCAATGCACTGCAGGCGGTCAGCTTGTTGGTTAGAGAGATCCCATCCAGACTCACTTGATAGAGGCGGAGGAGCTACTACTACCCCTGCGCTGAGGTGCTCCGCTGTGTAAGCCATGAGATGTTCTAGACGCTGGAAACATCGCGTTTTCATCCTTGCGTCACCCGTATGTAGCCAGTAATCTTTGATTGCAACAACGAGTAGCAACGCGTACGACAGGGAATAGAAGGCATATGTTGGAGGCTCCTCGTTCCCTTCATGAACGGGCGCCTGAATGGGACAGAGGTTGCCGAGATATCCCTCGCTGGTTTGGTGGCTGGTCAGGAGCTCAATACTGCCTGCTATCGCGTCGAACGTCATAGTAGAGTGAGCAACTGATCGACCCATGACATAAAGGTCTCCACCGAAACAAGCGCGGTCTCTTTTTGCACCATCGATCGTACAAGCGAGCCCATTCGTTCCAACTTGGAAGTCATCCAATGTTCGGCTTTGGTCAAGAGGCAACATGGTATTCTGGTATAGATTCTCGCCCCCACCACTGAGCACACTGAGGTGGCGATACACAGCTACCCACTGACACGGTCCGCCAAAGGCGATAGATCCCGTGTTATTCGCGCTTCCGCTAAGGATGGGTTTGATGTTCAGGCCCTCGATGAATGCAAGTCGTCGGCCTTGTACCGAGACAACCACGGTATCGCCGCGCGTGACCGTTTCGACTTCGAGCCAGGCGTTCAGGTCCAGATCGCCAATGTGCCAGCGACCTTTCTCAGCAACAGGAAAGACGGTCGGTTCCGTGGACAGACCTTCGCATGCATATAGTTCCCTTGTGGCTGTGTCCAAACAGAAGATCAGCCCATTTGCCACCATGTGAACGGCCCAGCTTGCGCCTCCATGTTCGATGTGAACCTGGAAACGAATGGTCTTATCCGCCCATCTTGTGCCGAATCGGCACGGTGCCCAGTGCTGGCCGCGGACCCTGGTTCCCCCAGTAGTAACCTCCCATGCGGCAGATGTCTCGCCCTTGGAGACTGTGCACATATCGACAGTCCTGACACCATCTTGCCATATCCGATTCAACAATGGGCTAGAGCACGAGAAAGTCGAACTTGCTGAGTATCTCGGCCGGATGCGCTCGAAACCGATACCGGAGAAACTGATGGTTGAGTATGGGGTCGCCAGCCGTATCTTTTGGTATCTTTGCGATCGTTGGGTGTACACAGCTCTCACAACCTGCTCATGTGCTGACTCGGGAACCTTCAACGTGGTTCTACGATATGTGTCCATTGCATTAGAAAACAGGAAGAAGGGGCCATCGCCTAGTCTGTTTTAGTAAATCCTTCCAATCATATCATCGTCCTGTTTCCTTACCTGACGCGTGGTCTATTCCCTCAATACCTTCGCTGTATACAACAGTTAAGTCGAGCGTACTGTTGCCAGAAGCAGACGATATCTTGAAAACTGGAAGACCTCCTTCGCATTGTCGGTAGTCCAATATGATTTCAGCTTGCGTCGCATCGCCGCCTTCGTTGCTCAAAGTGAAGGTGGAAGCTTTGAGTGCAATTGTCACATTCCCAACGTATCGCAAGACGCGGATCGGTTCAATGAAACGATCACCGGCCATGATACTGGTAAGAGCTGCGCAGTGCGGACAAAAGAGAAGCTCGACGATGTGCGAAAAGGGAGCAGTTGGGTCGCTGATGACCTCGGGTACGACACATTTTCGGACACCTTGATTTGTCGCATAACGACTCCATGCGCCGAGCAGTAGTTGCCGAAGAGCTGCCACTCTGAGGAAAGAGACGCAAGCGATCGGAGTAGCGTGTTGTTTGGGTGGACGTTAGGTGGGGCCTAGCTTGACTTTGGCGAGGCACAGCCCAATCGGGGCGGCGCCGGCCAGCATTTCGGGTGGACATCCATCAACACCTGGTCACGCTACAGAGTGGACTTCCATCAACAGCGCCTTCCTCGTGGCCACCCAGCTACACAACCGAGTGGACGCTCATCAACAGCATCTGCTTGGTAGCTACCTGATCACATCGCACTCGATGTCGGGTTCAGGTCACGCCGCAATCAGTCCCCGGCCACTGATTTGTCGACAGTGTGAAAAGAGCTTCACGCGCCCCGAGAATCTAGCTCGGCATGCGAAGATACGTAAGTGCTGTCAACCATGATTGCGGCGCAGCAGGTGATTTATTACTGACTGATGTCTTGGACCAACAGATGATGCAACGCAGAAGCATTCCTGCCAAACATGTGGGAGGCAATTTACCAGGAGTGATCTGCGCAAGAAGCATGAGCGACTACATGCACGAACCACAAGTACCAGAGCCACTCCAAGATCTCGGCGCGGTTCTAGGGTCGCGTCTGCTCGCATGGAGCCTTCAATTCAAATTCAAAGCTGCTTGACAGCTTCTGACCCTCTTGGTGATCAGGCGATCGCTGCATCGATTGATGATGGGGACGTCAATGCATCATCGTTCCCCGAACATCAGCCAGTACCGCTCAATGAGAACCTTGACCACGACATCTACGCAGGAACAGTTGGCCTCGACCCTTACTTTGACTACACTAGCTTTGCAAGACCTTGGAATTATCAGTCCGAACATACTGTCGATTGGTTTTCGTCTCAATTCTTCGACGCATTGCGTGAGACGGATCTTGCGTGCAGTCCGCCTCTCCAAACTTGGGGTTCTTCGACTGAGTATGACTCTTTGCGGGCCAGCATGCCACACGTGTCGCATCGCTCGAATAGTACATTGCCTTTTGACCACTTCCTCGACCAGGGCGCCTCTTTGCGCTCAAACAGTAGCGAAGCAGTGCGAACCCCAGGGGACGGTATACAGCCAAATGAGGATGCTGAAACTTCCGCAGCAGGCCAAAATCCTCGGATCGCATCTCCTCCAAACGAGACCTCTCATGAAGACCGTCTGCCATTTGCATGGGATCCGCGCTCTAGGCCCGTAGCAAGGGCGAAACCGATAGTGCTCCCACCTGGAGACCCTATATATACGACCATCAATCCTAGTATCACGATAACAACAGCCAAACTCTCACGTATACGTGACTTCCTGAGCCCAAAAGAGCGGCTGGGCGTAGAGGACAACTTCACTCTACCCGAGTTGCCTCTTGTTAACGTCTTCATCAATCTGTTTTTCAATGCATTCCTGCCTCAAGCGCCTGTCCTACATCGACCGACCTTGGACATGGAAGATCTTCCTTCGGGACTACTAGCAATCATGATGGTGATCGGCTCATGTTACAGTCGATTACGACATACACGAAGATTTGGCATCATCGTCTTGGACCGCATACGCCTCAATCTACTTGCTCTGATAGAAGCAGACAACAGTCTCATGCGAGAACCTCACATCATATATGCTTCCGCCCTCGTATGCTACATGGGTCTTTGGTGCGGCAACAAACGCGCTTTCGAACTGTCCGAGGCCTTGCGCGCAGTAGTAGTGACGTATGTCAGGCGTATGCCAGCAATGGGTAGTCATGCGGATAACGCAACACATTATGGGTATCAACACATGAGCTTTGAGTATACGGCCGAGACTCCATGTCCTGAATCACCAAGGACTTTAGATTCGGACTGGATGGAGTGGACGAAGAAGGAAAGTCGGAAAAGACTATCGTGGTTTGTATATATGGTGGACGCACAATTCCCAGTCCTTCTCGGCATGGGTGGTATGTTGACAATGGCTGACATAAAAAAATGGGAGTGCCCTTGCGACGAAGAATTTTGGACTTTGGCGACTCCAAAGTCCTGGAAGAATCGCTTAGGGTCTGCATCTGAGCCTGCCTGTCCAGTATTTGGATATCTTGCTGCTCCGTTACTGTCTGCAAGGTACCGATGTGCTACCGAGGAACAAGAGCTACTGCCTAGACTAAACACTTGGAGCTCACATCTTCTATTGCTCTCGATCATAGCAGACGTATTTCATCATCAAGACGCGCTTGCGCTACTACGAACGTATAACGAGAGTGAAGCGTGTTCGCCAGGATCTTTCCACACAGATGATGACGGAACTCGTCTGTTTCATACGCTTGAGCTATGGAGGAAATCTTACCAAGAAAGATACCATATTCGTCATGATGCAGAGCCACAGCGCGGAGGCCACAGCTCTACGATCGCATATCATCTTGCGCGGTTGTACCTGGTCTTCCCCATCTCGGAGATACAAGATTGCCTCGGAAGATCCGGACCCTTAGACGCCAAGGCAGCGATGTGTAGGTTGATGTCCTGGACTCTCCAGCATCCAAAGAAAACAATTCAAGCTATTGAAGACGCGTCAACATGTATAGGTGTTATCATGTCCAATGAAGGAGCGGACGACCCCTACGACATCATTGGCCTCTTCCTGTGTCACGTCATATTGTGGTCGCTCGCACGTGCAACTTCATCGGAGCAGAGATTGCACATTGTCCAATACCTACGTGAAAAAGAAAGCATGTCGCGTTCTTTAGTCGAGGTGATCGAAGCTGGGTTCTCACTTGACGACACAAATGCTCCAAAGTTGATCTTCCGACACGCAATTCAGTCTTTGGTGCAACTAGGAACCTGGGGCTGCTCTTCAAATCTGGCGCTACTTCTTCACCTGCATCCAGGCGTTTCCAAACAATCGAGCTGACGCACGCGACCCGAATCGAGCTTCCTGCGTCCACCCACCCGTCCACCCGTCCACCCGTCCACCCAGCTCCACCATGCTATGGCGACGTTTCGGCAATTTTCGCATCATCTCTTGTCGCTAACAAAGTTGCAATCATCCTCCGCCGATCAAGCTACCCCGGATTTCTCCCCGCACGTTTATCTTAGCGCGACGCAGCCAATTTCGTTATTATATCAAGGACCACAATCGTTACCTTCAGTCACACAAAGCAAATTTACAAGACGGCTCGACGCCACGGATGATCCGATTACGTACTTTTACAATCACTTGTACCAGAGGATACACAGCTACGCTACACGCTGAACATGGAGGTCAAGACCGAAAAGCAAGAGGCCTCCAGTGCCAGCATGATCGAAGCCGTGGACGACAACGAGAATGACCTACGAATAGGTGAACGACTCGTCGAGAAGGATCGCGATAGTACCCTGTGGTCTTCGTCCGTTTCGCACAAACGGATTCTGCTTCACTCCATTGCTGCACTCCTAGCTGGCGGCGTCTTCGGATACGACAGTGTCATCAACGGCGCATCTATCTCCATGCCTGCCTTTTTGCTATATTTTGGCGATCACACTACCACGGGATCCCTCTTCGTCCCTTCGATATGGGCATCGATGTGGACCGCGATGTCATACTTGCTACAAGCTTTCGGCGGATTTGGTATCGGTCTCGTATCTGATCGGATTGGACGCAGATGGGCCTGCGTAGCTGCCGCCTGTATATCGATTGTCGGAGTTGGCGTACAATTTGCTGCTATGAGCCGAGGTATGCTACTTGGTGGAAAGATGATCAATGGCTTGGCCATTGGCTGCATCTTCGCATCGGCTACAGCTTGGGCATCTGAAATCTCACCTTTACGTCTCCGTGGTCCAATTCAGTCCGGTATCGTGCTATTCATGGTCCTAATGCAAGCGATTGGTCTTGTCACGATTCGCATCTATGTCGAAGACATGTCTACATCAGCCTTCCGCAAAGTCTTTGCATTGCAGTGGATCTGGCCTGTTGCTGCTGGTGTAGCCTTCATCATCATGCCTGAGTCACCGATCTTTCTCTTACGCAAGAAGAAGGTTGATGCCGCGAAGAGATCATTGGCTCGCCTCTATGGGATCGACAATCATATCGCGGCTCGTCTTGCAGTTTTACGCAAGCAGATGGAGCAAGAACACTCGCAGAACGAAGCACATGGTGATGCAAGCTACCTGGAACTCTTTCAGGGCACGAATTTGAAGCGTACGCTTACCGTCATCTGGTTGTTCCTTGCTGCAGGACTGAACGGCGCGTCGTTGCTCTCCCAAAATACGTACTTCCTCATCATCGCAGGACTTCCTGCCGTTCACGCTTTCGATGTTGGAATTGGCGGATTTGGCTTGGCCGTAATTGCTATAGTTTTCAGCTGGTTCTTCATGGAGAGATTTGGTCGCCGTTGCATTTGGCTCGTGGGTGTTGCTGTCAACATCGTAGTCATGGCAATTATTGGAGGCCTTCATTACTCCACATCTCAAGGTAGTCTTTGGGCTATTGCTATTCTGATGTGAGTTTCTGGTCCCTTCCTCTTCGACTGACTTCCACTATCTAACAGTGCATTGCAGGAATGTCCTTCTCGCATGGCAGCTCCTTACCATGACGTCTATTGGATGGGTGATCACGGCCGAAGTCTCATCGTACCGGCTGCGGGCAAAGACGCAATCGGTCGGCGTCATTTCGAACGCAGCGACGACATGGTTATCTACGTTCACTGTACCTTATGTGTACAACACCGATTCCGGTAACCTGGGTGCCCGCACTGGATTTGTGTTCATGGGAAGTTCAATGCTTCTGCTGATTGGCTCCTGGTTCCTTGTGCCGGATCTGCATGGTTTGAATACAAACGAGGTCGACTGGCTGTATGCACAGAAGACTTCGGTAAGACATTTCCAGCAGCATGCCGATAGCGCAAAGACCAGCGCACCGGAGAAAGTACACAACACCGACGTATGAACTAGGGTGGTGTGCAGTGTGTTATTCAGATCAGTTGCCCATCGTCCTCCAGATATGCATTTTTCACTTTCTGTTATTGTTAATTTGACTTGTGTGACAAAAAATCACGCTAGCTATCGTAGCTAAGCGTGAAGACCACGCTAAAACGTGATCTTGCTCAGCTCCAGACGGCTCACCACTTGGCGTGATACGCGTCTAAAACAGGCAGCTATTTCAGCCCGCAATTGCCTCGGTACAAACCTAAGGCAGCCATCAAAACTTCTTGTTCAACAACAACCACTTTGGGCCGCCAAGATGTACTACCAACAAGTGGCACGTATACCTCGGCCTCAGGCGTGTGTCGTGGCGCGAACCAGCAGCGACCACACCCTATATAAAACGCCGATGCAACGGTACATTCGTCGACACAAATCATGGCAAGCATTCCTCCTCCTCCGCCCCCTCTTCCTAAGAGCAAAACAGCTAGATCAGTAACGATGACTGCTTCGGAACCTGCGTCCCGTCCAGTTTCAATCAAGGGAAGCACGAAGGAGGATCAAGTGTTCGAATTCCGGCACATACAGGGTGGTTCTGGTGCCTTATCTCTCCAGCCCATCATCCGCCATTACCTTTGCGTACCCCGGGCGCATCAAGTTTCCACGACCGATCTGTACAAAATATTGGGACGACTACGGTGCTTGCAACATACAGTCGCGAACTATAATGAGTGAGTCGTCTTATCTACACCTGCCTTCTTGTACTACTGGAGACCACGGACTTTGAATCTCTTCTCAGGCTTCGGTTTCCGTCTCAGTTGGGTTGACCAAGTCATCCAAATACCGGGGCTTGAAGACGTGATCCGGATCGTCAAGCATGCCTTTCAAGAGCAGATTGATGAAGCGCGTGACACCATCCAGCGCGGTTTCATCACCTTCAAGGCGCTGGGCGAATTATATCGCCCTGGAGTTCCAGTCCAGGCAGTGATGGGCTCTAGAGATACCGCCGAAGTATTCCTTGTCAACGAGTCTTTCTACCAAGAGAATCGGGGCTTGACAGGAGTTCAGAGGACATCCAACTGGACAATGGAGTTCGTGGCGACAATGGGCACGCACTTCACCCTAGTGAACCTGGCCGAGCAATTGAATGGTTGGACAGGCGTTCGCGCAAGATCGCTATCAGGACTCACGTATACGCCAGTATCACCTGTCGAGTTGAGCGACCGCAGACAGAGGGGAAAGCGATATGTTGAGTTTGCCACTGGCAGTGTCAAATTTCTGGCATACTCTCGCGCATCATTCTACCGCCATGTGCGACCATCACGTGCAAGCTATTCTTCTCTTGCCAGTACTTCGAGCAGCCAGCTTACCTCAGAAGGCCGCGTTATGATCGATGTAGATCGTGGCGCTCTATTGAAGCACCATCCTTGCCAGGTTATGGATGAACCAACGCTAGCCATGACGAAGACCGCCGAACGTTATCGACAGTGGCGCAGCACATCATTTAGAAAGAGCTCTGCAACGGATATGCTCACTCTATGGGATAATGTCCCGGAGGAGTTCATTTCCTACTGCTGGCTTGCCCTTGTCGGCTTTAGCTTTACTGCAAAATGTTGGGACCACGTGTTGGTCTCTGGTCTTTCGCCGATCCAGTTCCAGGACACCGCATTTCAACATCTTGTCCTAGCCGGGGAGTACAAACACCTCATTCGTGCTCTCGTAAGATTCGGAAACGACGCTAGTGTCGAAGACATCGTTGAGAATAAACGCAGCGGCAGTATCTTCCTGCTCCACGGCCCTCCCAGCGTCGGGAAGACACTAACAGCCGAAGCTGTTGCTGAAGTCCTGCATCGCTCGTTATACTACGTGACAATGGGAGAATTAGGCACGACGGCAGAAGACATGGAGCGCCGTCTTTCAGATGTGCTTGAACTATGTTCCGAGTGGAATGCTATCATAGTCCCAGAGGAAGCCGATGTTTTCCTCGAGCAACGCAGCACTTCCGACCTGGTCCGCAACTCGATGATCTGTGTTATGCTGCGTCTTATGGAGTACCACTCAGGCATTCTCTTCCTCACTACCAATCGTGTGCATAATCTGGTTCCAGCGTTTGGAAGCAGAATTACACTTGCCCTACGATATAACCATCTGACGCCCGAGGCTAGAACCCAAATTTGGAGCAATTTGCTCACACGGATCTCGTTACAGGTGGCAAAGAACATCGATCCCATGGTCCTTGGACAGCACGAATTCAACGGTAGACAGATCGGGAGCGCAATCAGGCTGGCGTGTGTAATCACGAGGGAACGGGACCAGTCTAAGCTAACAATGGAGATAGTGAAGGAAGTAGTGAGAATTATGGATGTTGGGAGGGCAAATATAGCGGATGACGACTCTTGGAAAATGCGCGAGGAGTAAGATAAGTCTTATTCGGGGTTTTGTATACTATAATAGGAAGTAAAGAGAGTAAGAATTGAAGATTTCTTTGCTAAAGAAAATGCCCCTTTCTTATATGCTCCGATAACGAAGCATCGGATACATCTACGCTAAGAACTCTATGGACCGGCGCACTTCCTACCTGAAGCTCGTTTCCTAACTCTGTACGCCGCCCCTCCACTATAAACGAGCCTCTTATTAGTCTAACCTAGGCAGGAAACAGCAATCTCGCCATTGATCTTCCTATCGGGGGTAAGGACGGGGAGCCAGATCTCGTATTCCTTCTCACTAGGGTGTCCCTTGACCTCATAGTAGTTGTAGAGAGGCCAGAAGGTGATTTGACCCTGTTTCGGGCAGTCGACGTCAAACGTGATTCCTTCAGTGACAGTAAACGTCTCCGACTGGCTGACTTCCACACCGACGCTTGCAGAGAAAGCTTCTATAGCGCCTCCCATGCTCACTGATGTTGTAACGCTGTAGGTCTGGCTTTCGGAAACTTCATATGAGTAGCCGACTTTGCTGTCGAGGCGCAAACCAAGTGTAAAGACATCAGGGTTGCGGACGTTGAGCGCCGTGAAGCTGACGTCCCAGCTGTCATCCTCGCTCTGGCGCTTAGCAATTCCAGTAGTGTCGCTGCCGCTCATAGTGTCGTTGCGCCACTCAAGGTAATCCTCCAGACTAGAGTGGCCACTGTTCATGCCGTTGGCAAAGGTTTCCACGTTGAGGCCCGGAAACTCTGCTCGTCTTGTCGCACGCTTAGTCGGGGGACCATCACCTCCCTCATCGTTGGTGACCTCCAGAAACTCCAAGGCACCCGTGAACTTGCCTCCGGAAAGGAAGGGCATGCATCTGTCCCTCACACTTGTATAGAGCTGGTGAACCTGACCATCTGTAATGGTGCGAGGGTCGTTTGGGTCGTCAGTCCCTGATTCTTGAAAACAGTGAGAGATGAGGCAGTTTCCACCGTCCCACCACCAGTGGTAGCAAGATGGCGCGGGGTTAAGTGCGCCATTGGTGTGGGTGATGTGAGTGCTTCCCTCTAGGTTGAAAAACTTTACGGTCTCATCACCTGGAGAAACAAAGTGTCAGATTCAGGCCACAGCAATAGGGCTAAATGAGCCGAACTTACAATCTTCGTAGCTGGGCCTAAATGCACCATTGCATAGAGCTGCTTGGCCGTTTACGAGCCCAAGACTCGCCGCGAAGGAGACGAGGGTGAAGCTCTTCATTTTGAAGAGACTGTCAGGATGTACAGATAGAGACTCGTGTTCGTAGAGTATTCGCTGTGGTTGATGGAGAGAGCTGCTGATGAGAGAAGATGCAGGCTGGCACTGCAGGACATCAGTCTGTTCTTATAGATATCTCGTCAGGCCTCCAGACTCTTGGAGTCTCTCATAACGCCCGGCTGAGGTTACATGTGGTGAAGCACGTCCTGTTGCTACACATGCTGTTGTCATGGCCTCGCACGGGATGATTGTCTTCGGGAACGTGCGATTCCATCCGAGCCAAGAGTATTGATGACATTCACAACTGCACTGATCGAGGTCATCGTGGGAAACGTCTAGTACGTGATTCATGTCTCGGAGCCTCCGGTTATTGGGTTTAACGTTATGGGGTGGTGATCAGCCATGCGGTCTTTGCACATAATAGCAAGATGGAACATCATGAGAGTAGTTCGCATCGCCTACGACTATAGTGCCCAAAGTTCTGCAGAAGTTTATCTGGGCGCCCAGACTATTTGGGGCGAAGAGTGAGCCTTAGTCTAGTACCTGAGCCTTAGCCTACGTCAGATGGTTACCGCCAGTAGCACCGAAGTGGTGCGAGGGGTACGCACATAAACGTGGTAAGCTGGAAGCCTAACAGTAAAGGCCATGGTATCGCATCTTCAGGGCGAAGTTGTACGTAGCCTCATGGAAGGATAAATCGGCTACACGGCAGATTGGCAAGGCTAGATACCCATCCCACCGGAAAACGGCACACAACCCTACCTATATTACTGTCACCTTATGACAAGGGATAGATGGACTTGTTATCCCATGCTCGATCGATTCGTTGCTCAACAACAAGAGTGGACCTGGGTGGGATCGGCTGCGGCCCGCTCCTTGCTTGAGTAGGCAGAGCGGGGTCGTAAACTTTCGACCCACATCCCCCTAGAGTATATCTGTGGGGTATATCTCGTCTGATGCTTCCTGAGCTTGCAAGAGAGCGGACCAATAAGGATGATGTCGGGCTTCACAACCAACAATGCGACCCATGTAGTCAACTTTCGCAAACGCCAGTCTGCCTTGGAAATGCAAGGCTCATTATTGTCGTGTCTGATGAAACGAGCGCATCAGGATGTAGCATTCTCGCACGACAGTCTAGTCAAGAACCAGGTGCTGCTGCTACAATTGGTAAGGTCGTGATGTACACGAGGCAGGAGGCCTAAAGTAGGAATGCCTTACACCAACAATTCTGCTGACGAACCCATCGGTGGAGATGTCGGCTCGTGCGCTGAGTTCTCTAAGAGCTCTCGTGTCGCCTGGTTAAGCGCTATCACGCTATACGCGTTCGGCTCTATGTGCGCCCTTGTATCCGCAATCTTGACCTTTGGGGTTAGGAGGGTATGTACCTGATTTCCGCCTTCGCAATAATAGTATCGAGGTGCTGGATTCTGTGTTCTTGCTGCAGCCCGGCGACGCCTCTTGCGCGTTCTGCTCAATGCTTGCGTCGAGCTTCACGATCACGAGCCGGCTGTAGAGACCTATTGGCAGCTCTTGCAGTGCATGTGCGGACATGTGTGCTGGGTTCCCCACTGCGGGGATGACAGTGTGTAAGGCTTTTGCTAGGAAGCACCAGGTAAGGCTAAGACCTATACCTCGATTGGCGCCTGTGATGAGGATCGTGGTTGAGGCTATGTTGTCAAGGTGAAGATGTGATCTTATTCCTCTTCTGGCATGTTGGTCGTGAAAGTTTGACGGTACTGGTGGCTCTTATCAAAAGATTATGAGGTAGATCTTCTGCTCCGCGACAGATCATGTCTCTGTCTTTGTGGATTCGAAGAAGCTTGTAAGATTTAGAGTATGGGAGAAGGTAAGTATATACGAAGTTCAGGGTGCTAGTCGTTGAAAGGGTATGTGTAGGAGCTCACCACTAACAACCATTAAAAACTCCGTCAAGCTTTGCATTTCTAAGCCTGAAGTTCCATGTACGAACTGTCTGTGCATCATAGACCTGCTTCGTACATAGATTATACCAACCACTGTGCCACATACCCAAATTGGGGTTCATCTCCAACGCTTTTCAAATATGGCGGGCCGCAGATACAGGTGCATGTAGCTAAGCGACCTAAGGTAAGCACAAAGCAGCATAGCGCGACACTAATCAATGAACAAGCGCTCGATGATGCACTGCTAGCTACATACAGCCAGGCAATTGATAACCCATTCCACTCCTTTGACGATGAGCTCAGGCTGGGTCATCTGCACGAAGTGGCCACTCTCACGCGCGAATACCAGCTTGCCCTTTGTTGAAAGCTCGAGATGTCTCTTCTGGATGCTCTCACTCTTCTCGTCGGCTGTGCTAATCAATGCGCGTACTCTGGTCCTCTGGTCATCGCTTCCATTGCCTCTCCCAACTCCAGCATTATACATCCCATTCCAATCCCTGCTTCGCATGCCACCGATCACGTACACTGGCTTTCCGCCTACCAGCGGCTGCTGTTGATCAAGTTGCTTACTCCGTAACGTCTCGAAGCTCGCAGCGTACTGCTCATCCTCCAGGCGCGCGATTGTTGCGTACTTCTCTGTCGATTCAGCGGTCATAAGCGCATCCCATTCGGCCTGCGTCATCTTGTGCTCTTCCGCGAGACCCTTGGCAATGTATGGGTCAATGCCCTCAGAAACAACCTGCAAATCGGGGTCATTAACGTTCAGCACCTGCGGCATTGATTCATGATTAGCGTCGACAAGGACCAGGCCAGCGATGTGGTTGCCGTTTCCCGTGAGGGCGATGAACTCATTGATGAGCACCCCAGCCCAGGAATGCCCGACAAGGATGAGAGGATTGGTAATGGGAGCGTTCTCGACAAGATGTCGGAGATCCTGGGCGATGTTCTCAGCTGTTGGTGGATGTGGGGAAATATCGGAGTGGCGATAACCAGCGCGGTCATAAGTATAGCATCGCATTGAAGACGAAAGCTGTCGAACTACTGCTGCCCAATTCAGCAGACTTGTCAACAATCAAGCCAGCTTGATCGCTATCAAGCTGGCGCATCAAGCTGGCTAATCAATCAAGCCAAGCTGGAGTAGAGGTACAAATCAATCAAGCCAAGCTGCTGTAAGCTAGCTTGATTGTTTGGCTTGATTGGCTTGATTGGCTAAGGCCTACGCGTGAGGTTGTTGGGTTTGCCGTAGCAGCGATCACACGATACTTTTTTGGTGTTGAGGTCAGCAACTAATATACAAAAAAAATTCCCAACAACGCTGTATATACATATATATATACAAAAAAACCTCACGATAGAGCTATTACTGCCGCGATTCGAATACAGCAAAAAAAAATCTCCTAATACTACAGTGTGTCGCTGACGGCTGCCTGCTTCGGGCGACCGTGGGCGACACACTGTAGCACCAGCAAGTACAAATACAGTGGCTATTATACACCTCTACTACCGCTTGCTAGGCGTAGTAGAGACGATTGTAGGCCTAATATTACTGTATATATCTATAGTGTTGAGGTTGTTGCTACAGGTAAAGGTAGATGTTGTGAATAACAAAAAAACGCGTTGTTTCAACTGCGCAATTGTACAACTACAACACAATATTTACAGTATATTGCGCTGCGTATCTCACAAACAGACAACTACAATTCAATTGCCGCTATCGAATTTAATTAATTGTTGCGTTGTTGTAGTTGCTTTTAGTAGTTACGATAGAGGGTGCCAAGCAATACATCTCGTGCTACTTGGGTAACTATCTCATATTGTAACCGTACAACTCTGTATACACAACGCCACCCACAACACGTACTTTTCAGCTGTATCACGTACCGCCTACGCGCCGCTGTATTGCCGCTGGCTTTCTGCATTTATTGCTATATCCTTGTCGCAGTTATGCCGCAGAAGAGACGCGCCAAAGACGCTGTTACAGCGTCAACAACAAAGCGTCCTAAACCTACACCTAGCAGCACCTACAGCCAAGCTATACCTATCGAAAGCCCTCAATCGTCACCTCGTCCGTCGCCCCGTAAAGCCCTGGTTGAAGCGTCCCAGGTATCAAGTTTCGAAGCGCAATTGCGCGAGTCGCAAATAGAGGAGTATATCAACCCACCCACCGAGGGCAGCGAGGAGGCAACGATAGCAACCAGCGAGTCCAACAATACAGCTTTAGACGAGGAGTTAGAGGATAACTTCAATGGCATTGATTGGGATCGTCTCCCTCGGTTTATGAAGCCTATAGCGTCGCAGCGTCACAAGAAAAGCTGGGTCTATAACTACGGCTGGCGCGTCGCGCTGCGAAGCAATCCTCAACGCATATATTTCGTATGCCGCTATTGTTACGAGCATAAGCTTATTGACCTCGGCGTCACGAAGGTATACGAAACAACAAACTCAACGTCTTCTGCCCATCGACACCTTGGAGAGAAGAGACGCGGCCATGGCCACCAACCACCTCACGTAACAGCTCGTTCTACAACGATAAGTGTCCTCCAACAAGTACTTACTGGCAATCGGGTTAGCCAGAGTATCGCGAACGAGCTCTCCGGCTTCAACTCCCAGCGCTTTCGGCTTAACGCAGTTAGCTGGCTTATTGAAGCTAACCTCCCACTGTCTACGTTTGAATCGCCAGCTTTTCGACAATTAATATCGTCAGCCAACGTCCAAGCAGAAGCGGCACTGTGGACGTCCCACAACAGCGTCTCTCGTTACGTTATGCGCCTGTACGACCACTTACGGCCGCAAGTCGTCACAGAACTGTCGCGGGCACAGAGCAAGATACACATAAGTTTTGACGGCTGGACGACAAAGGGTGGCAAGCGTGGGTTCTTGGGTATCGTTGCCCACTACGTTGACAAGCAAGGCGATATTGTAGACTTACCTATCGCGCTGCCGCAGTTGACAGGCGCCCACAGTGGACATGGGATGGCAAAGGTTGTTATCCAAACGTTGAAAGAGTTCGGTATAAACGCTCAACGTATTGGCTACTTCGTACTCGACAACGCAAGCAATAACGACACCGCGATAGACGCAATTGCGCTAACAATGGGCTTCAACCCACGCCATCGCCGCCTCCGTTGTAGTCCTCATACAATTAACCTTGTCGGCCAGATGCTCCTCTGGGGAGAAAACAGTGCCTCGTACAACAACGATACCGCTGAGATTACTGCTGAAAGCGAGTATATGAACGAGTGGAGGCGCGATGGGCCCTTAGGCGTACTCCTAGGTATCGTCAACTACATTAAAACACCACAGCAATACGCTCTTTTTGCTGACTTTCAGCGCCTTGCCCATCGCGAGCTACCAGCTGACGCA